TTGACACAAAACATGACCTCCATCAATGGATGAAAGAACTCCAAGGCTTACTAGCCACAAATATAGGCACCCTTAATGCTGATGTTCGCCAAACAATGGACAGGGTAAACGATGTTGAGGAGAACATTCTTAAAATAAACAATGGTGTGTCTCACCTCACAGACACGCTGCACACCTTACAAGCAGCCCACCAGGCGTTAGCGATACAGGTGTCCACCCAAGGGAACCGCAACCACATTAAGCTCCACGCGATACCTGCAGTGATCACACCAGGTGAACTGCCACACTTCCTTGCTTGTAAAATCTCACTTGAGAGCACATACCGATTACCGGCAGGGCCCAACTCACCACCCACAGAGGCTCGGGATGTTATCTTATGCTGTGCCACATCGCACAATAAAACCACCATAATGACGGCGGTGAGAGGCAAGACACCCGTGACATTTGAAAATGCCCAATTGCTCTTCTTCCAGGACCTAACAAGGGCAACACTGCACTGGCGGAAAACAATGTACCACCTTACCAGCTGTCTGAGAACAGCAGGCATACAATATTGCTGGGGGCACCAAGGGTCCTAACGCTCACCCATAATGGGACTACCTACAGAGCCACGTCGGAGGTGGATATACCCGCAATTCTCACTTCATTGGGACTCCCGGGAATACCTATGGCCAGGGCCACGACAAGCCCATCACAGATGGGAGATCCTGCCAAAGTGGAACTATTCACCCCTTGATCCCTGGGAAGCACAGATACAGCCCCCTGAGGAAGACTGCACTTCTATCCACCTACGCTAGCCAAAGAGGACGCAGCCTCAGCAGACTAATGATATGTTATGATTATTTGTATACTCTACAAAGTTATGTTATGATTTTTCATATACTTCACAAAGTAATGTTAGGATTTTTCATATACTTGACAAAGTTCAGTTAGGATTTTCAATATAACCTTAGTCTCTCACGTTGTGTGGGGTTACGCGGTTCTTCACTCTATCTTAACAGGAGCCATGACCGGTCTGAGTGGAGGTGGCATGGAGTCACATTAGTGTGGAGTACCTCCCGACTCCCTCCCTCCCCCCACCCCGCTACCCCGTTAATTAGGGGCACCCATCATACACGCAGCATACTCTCAGTTAAACGTGATATATTTCACATAGCGCAGCGGCCCATAGTAGTTTAATGTTTCACTGGGCAATTGGGCGGCCTCCAGGGCTTTGATAACTCGTACCGCACAGCTACAGGCGGCCTACACTCACCCCATGTTCCCTCTGTCAGGATTACAGAATGATCCAGCACGTAGAATTGTGTAACACAGAGGACTGATAGGTAACGTATACCGGACCTTAGAATGGCCGGACTAACGTACCAAAGAATAGTCAGGAATAGCCGAAGTCAAGGGATACAGAAAGAGACACAACTATAAGGAAAAGCCAGGAGTCAGGGATGCCAGAAAACAGGGAAGTCAAAAACAATGCCAAAGTCAAATAACCAGAATAACAAAAATAAATAACGCGCTCTCGGACAACCACAAGGGAAACCACGACAGGGCACTGAGTAGGATGAGAACTGGGCCTAAATACCCCTCCTTTGGATCTGATAGGCTGTAACCGGCCTTTGACCCCAAAGGCAGTTACCAGGTTCTCATTTGCATAATTGCTGCTCAGCATTAACCCTTCTGTGGATTTGGTTGCTGCTCGGCACAACTTTTCATGTGTTGACAGTAAATGCCATTAACCACATTTTTATAAGCGGATGAATACGTGACACCCTCAAGCTTTACAGAGCTACCAAGGTGGCTAACAGTTGTACTAGCAGAACCTCAACTTGATTACCTCCGGTTTATATCTATAACCTATATGGGAGTGACCTAACAAGACAGCTACTCCCCCTAAAAGAGCCATAAGCAGTCCTTGTAACGCGACATGTTAAAAAATGTTAAAATTGTGTGCAGCTACACTTGACAAGTTATGTAATACCTCTAACCAGTCTTATGCCATGTTACATCTATTACTTTTGTCACTGTAACTCATGATATGTTGACATGCACCTTCAAAATAGAGAATAATAAAAAAAAGAATGTAGGCTGATGCCTAAGTATGCTATATGATCTTATTTCTAGTTATATGTGTAACAATGTTGTGACCTTTCAATTATACCTGTAGGTAGGCTTGCAGCAAGACCCCAAGACATTGAGGTATTAATTCTATGGTATGAGACCTGGCCACATTTGTGAAATACTGTGTGTTATCTATTGTAGTGTTTGGGCTCCTAATAGTGAGACTTTGAAAAAAAATTTTTTAATCTATTCCCTTTATTTACCTATGTCTGATAGATAAGGCAACCTACCAGTTCAAGGGGCAGGATGTATAATAGTGGGTGCAGGGGACACCTCTGTCTGGTACCATTCATGATAGAAAATGGAGATGGTAAGCAACTCATGGTTAAAATCCAGGCAGTTGGGTTGGAATACAGGCTCATAATGGCTTTAATGCAATGAGGAAGTTCAAACTTTACAAGGGTTTTCTCCATATACAGCCAGTTGTATTGGTCAAATGCCTTCTCCGTACTTAAAGATAGGAGAAGACATTCAACCCCTTCTATTGAGTCATAGCAAATAAATTGATATTGAGTTGTTAAGCATCAAACGCCTGTCTATCCTGCACAAAACTGCAGGAACCTGTGTGATTAAAGTTAAATTTACAGAGCAGGAGAGAAAAACTTCTAAAGTAAGTTACATATGACCTAATGAATGAAAAAATGTGTTTCATTCAGGCTGGGTCAGTCACAGCAAGGGGAGGTGTGGCTAAGGTGCGTAAATGGAAGCAACAGGGATTTAACACTTAAATGACAGAGAATTGAGCAGTGAGACTGCAGGGGCATAATCTATACACCAAAACTGCTTTATTAAACTAAAGTTGTTTCGATGGCCAAGTATTCCCTACTTTTTCTTATGGTATCTTTGGATTGCATTGGAATGTAGTCTTGATCAGTATAGTTGGTGAATCAATTTTAAGTTTGTTTTCTTTAGTTGTCCTTTGTGTGCAGAAATTAATGAATGTAAAAAAAAGGGTTTTTTTTGTTTTTTTAATTTAAATTGTATTCCTTTTTAATATTTTATTATTGACTGCTAACTGTCCGAAACTGATAACACCCCATCCATCCATAGTCTACAGTACATTTAGCAAGAGTGGTGAGGGATTAGAGCACAATAAAAAAAGTGTATCGAGTAAATGGAGCTCCATCAGCGCCCATGTTAATCCGGCACTACTACCATATTTGACATGAACACATCATCGACATTGGTCAGGAGGAAAGAAACAAAGTATCAATTTAAAACACCATTAGCCTCTGATGAAGTGATCTTGTTTAGTCCCGAAATGCGTAAGGCAATTGTACCTACCAGTTACCCTGTTTGGAGGAGGATTGGAGTGGAAAGTAGGAGAACTTTTCCCGGTTCTCCGGTGGAACACACGCGACTGTCTCCTGTCTACAACTGAATACCATCTTGCTGATTCTTTACTTCTAAGCCAGCGAGAGTAAACGTATCAGAGGGACTTCATTGTTGATAACTTTTGACAATAGGATTCCTGCATTCATTCTAATATGCCTCTGATTTCTGGGAGCTTATAAGTGGTTTTAACCGTTATTATGACATTTAAGTGCTTACAGAGAACACTGTGCTTTCTTTTTGTTGCCCTATAGAGATTTCAAGACATCTTGCAACACAAGAGACCACTACATGGTCGGGTATTGTGTATTGATAAGGAAGAATATATACCTATTTGTCACTGTCTATTATAGGTTATATTATATCAGCCTCTGACTTTTTCCAGCTCCTGCTATTCAATAACAGGAGTTGTTTATCCTGACAGCTGATACATAGTTGTACAAAGACATTGTTACATTTGATTCCACAAACTGTTATTTCATGAACTTTCACTTGATGGGAACTAATACCTACATATTATTTTGGAGTGACTATTGATATAGCATTGTGTATATATATATATATATATATATATATAGCAATCAGTGCCCCCTGCCTCTCTCCCTCCCCCCATTTCACATTGGGGTATCACTTTTCCTGGATATCCCTTCAGCCAAACTCTGAGTTTCAATATCACAGTTATCTCACAAGTTATTTCCTGGTACGTTTAGTATCTAGTATCCTTACTTTCTACTGTATCTTTTAAGCCAATATGGGGGCTTTTCTATACTAGTCGAGATTTGTTGTGAGTTTGTATCCAATTCATTCAACGGGTTGCTACCCTCCAGTAAGTCCTCGTTCATTACCAACTTTCCACTCTCTCTGGTCAGTTTTTTCTGTCCGTACTTATCTCATATCAATATATGTTTGCATTGTATTAATCCCTTAAGTACTAACAGGGATTTTACCCCATTTGACGGCAGTGATCATCATGTGGTCTTTAAGTGGTTAAAGCAGTTGAACCTTTATCACCTGTTCTTTGTAATATCCCAGCAACAGTTTCTCATTTCGTAAATGTGGATGTAAACAAGAAAATAATTCTGTCCACACATGGCCAGCAATCATGTTCTGCTTTGTGTTTTTCCAAAAGAGACGTTTAAAGCTCTTTAACTCAGTTACCATAGAATTCGGTGTCTAGTAAACAGACCCTCTAATGTGAATTGTTCAGGATTAAAAGTGAATACAAAGTAAATTAAAAATTTAAGCCATAATAACCGACTTGGATTTTTTCCCCCAGTTTCACTGTTGTGTCCTACAATCTTAAAGTCACTTTGAATTCAGTTTATATTCCGACAATTCCCACCATTTGAAAACGCCTGTAAATCTAAGGCAACGGACTAAAAGAGCTATCTTCTTAGTATATATCGAAAAACAATATAAAGTGACTACCATACTACAAAAACATATAATGATAGATAGATATTTATATTATGAGCCACCAAAAGAACCTTGAGATACAGGACAATTATTGTACCATGCAAAGTTTTATTGAACTTAAAAAAGGATATACAATTGTCACTAACAATACAATGGGGTGCATATAGATTAATTTACCAAATGATTACTGTTAGTCATTGCAGGGGGCTAGTGCAACCATGAGGCAGCACAGGCAGCTCCCTCGACCCCCAACCCTGTCACTCTGTTCCACTAAATGCTGCTATGGGGGTTAAGAGGACAGAGTGACACATGGATAGGAGGGACAGAGAGACAAAGGGTAAAGGGGACAGAGTGACAAAGGGTTACCCTTTGTCCCCCTAGCCCTGTATCATTCTGTCTGCATTGCCTTGTTGTGTCACTCTGTTCCCCTAATCCCCTATTTATAATGTACCTCACCACTAATAAAACAATGCATTGGACATATCATTGGTAAAAGATTAGAACAGCCGATTCTGTAATCTCTTTACTGGAACTCCATCCTGTATGTGTCCCATAACCATCCCAGTCAATGGCGGCAAAGTCTCCACATTGCTTCGGATCTCCTTGAGGGATATAGCCTCCACCCCCAAAACAGTGCTGAAAGACATACAAATGAATCATCTGGGCAGACATTTTCTCCTTGTTCACAATTCAATCTGGTGGTCTCTGGTAAATCACACAATCAGTGCGAAGTATTAGAAACTAAATGTATGTCCTACAATGCTTCCTGGAGACTTAGATAGTAGTATTGCTAAATATAAATATAACGTAATTAACCTGTAGCAAAGTAAACGTCCTCTGAGATTCTGCAGTGCAGTATTAAAATAAAAAAATAACAAAAAATACAATACAATAACCACCTTGTACGGTAAGCCTCCTATCTCGAAATAAGTATTGTACAAAGTCTCACAAGGCTGGTATCACAATAATAAGGAGCTTTATTAAATATGGCTCTCTATATAAACACAAGTCAGCCCATGTGAGAACAATTGATTGCTGTGAGGAAAGAGAGGCTATGTAGTCAGTCAGTATACATAGCACCAAATGGACCTAACAGTCCACGAAGCATTGTAGTAGGTTCCCTTGTGGTGAACCTACATGCTCTGTTTTGCTTTGTCTTTCTTGAGTATCTGGGGTTATGCCCTGAGAGACCCCTGGAGTCTCTCTCTGGTGCTTAGGAGCATTTGGAACACTCGGACACAATTCACTTAGGATTGTGTCTAAAGTTGTTTCCCTCTGGTATCCTCTGGTATCCTATCTCCATACTTTTAAATTTATATTGTGTTTACATTTTGGTTTTGTCTCATGTGTACCACGACTTTTTATTATGCCTTTAACAAACAGTGGGGCAAGTGAGAGAACCACAGGGATAATGCCCTTCACAAACAGTCAGATACTTAATCAGGACTGATGAGTGTGTTTTAAATGTTTATGTAGACTGTCCTATGACACAGGTTCACCAGGTCACAGACCTGGGACCACATGTTTTTAAGGTAATAAAGCAACAGTGGGATCCGGCTTTAGAATCAGAGCTTCTCCCTGATCAACCACCTCTATATGGAGTCACAGATTATCCCTTATCATTGTAATAAATTAATGGGAATAAGCCTTTAAAAAGAGGTATGGACCAGGAAAAGAATAAAGAGCAATGTGTATCACAGGGCTCCAAAAGTATTAAAAGGCATTCTGTAAAAAGTAACTGATAGTAATGCATAGAAATGGGCAGTGGGTATGAGTATCTCACAGTTATTATGATATTTTCTATGTTATGTTATTTTCTATCCACCCAACCACAAAATAAAATGACAGCGTCTGTCCAAAGATCTGTTGGAAACATAGCAATCACACACAACGCAGAAACCCGAGAACTAAGGTATAGTAAGTTTATGTTGTTAATACCTGCTCCGTGTTGCACTGAGTAACCTTTATCCCAGGACACAGTGCTAATGCTGCTTTTTCATAATTAAACACTCGGAATTGAACAAAGCCCGCGATAAACTCATCTGTGGAAAATAATGATAATAATTATACCAATAATGTGGCTACAGACCTTTATATAAAATAGCATCTTGCTAGACACATATTCAATATATAGTGGAATTGTTTATGTCAAATGAATAAAAAACTTTCACTAGTACGCTAGTCAGGATTCCAACAAGAATATTCATTTTAATGAGCATTACTGGTCCAGATACCTAATTAATTATCAATCCTTTCAGAAGTCCCTAAAAAACTAACTTTTCAAAATAGCCTTTGGAATTGCAGAGTAACGGTCATTCCTCAAATCTATATCTTCTCTCACCTTCCAATTCCACCGTTGTCCTACTCTGTCACTGGTTGTTATCCTCAACACAGCCACTACTACACTCTACTACTAATTTTATACCCCACTTCCTCTAGATTGTAAGCTCGTTCAATCAGGGTCCTCATCAACCTAGCATTCCTGGCAAAAGCTGTAATAGTTTGTCTTATTTGTTGTTAAATCTCCCTTTATAACCACTGCAGAATGCGTTGACAATATATAAATGTTAATTATAATATATGTAGCAACTTTACCAAAACAAAATAATCAGTGTCAAAAATCTAAATGGATTGGAAATTGAGTAAACATTCTAAAAATAAAATTCTAAAACTTCATATGAAAAGTCCAAAATATATATATATATATATATATATATGGAAAATATCCCAAATTCCTGATTCTGAAAGAACAAGATCATAAGTTCATAGGGCTTATTGTAAGCAACTATTTTATGTGCATCATGGAAAAAGGACTAGACAGAACACATATTAATCCTCAAACCCACATTCACATATATTCCACATGCTGCACCTTATATAAATTACATACAGAAGCATGCAAACACAATATATTTAAATCTCTTAAAGGATTCTATAGTGCCAGGAAAACAAACTCGTTTTCCTGGCACCATAGATTTCCCCTTTGTCAAGGCCCCCTCCCGCGGCGGTGAAGGGTTTAATAACAACTTCAGTCACTTACCTGGGTCCAGAGCTGATGTCTCTTGACGCTGGCTCAGCTCCGCCCATGCTCTTTCCCCGCCGACATCCGGCGGTGGGGAAGACCTAATGTGTATTGAATAATGCTTTCTTATGGGGAAAATCTGATCTCATGCAGACCAAAAGTTGTTTCAATTCCGGAAGTCCCTCTAGTGGCTGTCTGGTAGACAGCCACTAGAGGAGGAGTTAACTCTCAGAGGTAATTATTGCAGTTTATAAAAACTCCAATAATTACCACTGCAGGGTTAAGGGTGATGGGAGTTTGCACACAGATCGCTTCAATTTGTTGAAGTGGTCTGGGTGCCTACAGTGTCCCTCTAATATACGTTAACATATCTATAAGGACCAAAAATAAGTGGTAATGCAATTAAGGGTATACACTGATCAGCCAAAACCACTTACAGGTGAAGTGAATAACATTGACTATATTGCTACAATGGCACCTGTTAAGCAGTGGGATATATTAGGTTAGTACGTACCAAAAGTAGCGCAAGAAAGGTCAACCCAATGCTCATCGATGCACGTCTGGTGTGAATGCTAGCCTGTCTGGTCCAATCACACAGAAGAGCTACTGTAGTTCAAATTGCTGAAAAATGTAATGCTGGCCATGATAGAAAGGTGTCAGAACACACTGTGCATCACAGTTTGCTGCTTATGGAGCTGCGTAGACGCAGACTGATCAGAATGACCATGATGACCCCTGTCCACCACAGAAAATGTCTTCAATGGGGATATGAAAATCAAAACTGGACCATGGAACAATGGCAGAAGGTTACCTGGTCTGATAAATCACATAACCTTTTAGATCAGGTGGACATAAGGTGGATCAGGTGTACGTAATTTACCTAGGGAAGAAATGGCAGCAGGATGCACTATGGGAAGAAGGCAGGCCAGCAGAGGCAGTGTTATGCTCTGAGCAATGTTCTGCTGGGAAACCTTGGGTACCACATACCTTGAGATTGTTGCAAACCATGCACACCCCTTGATGGTAGTAGTGTTTCCTGATGGCAGTGGCCTCTGTCAGAATAATGCACCCTACCAAACTGCATAAATTGCTCAGGAATGGGTTCCGAAACATGAAATAGAGTTCAAGAAGTTTCCTTGGCCTCCAAACTCCCCAGATTTCAATCTAATTAAAGATCTGTGGGATGTGCTGGAGCAACAAATTTGATCAATGGAGGTCCCGCCTCACAACTTGTGGAACTTAAAGAGTCTGCTGCTAATGTCTTTGTGCCAGATACCACAGGACATGTTCAGAGTTCTTGTGGAGTCGATACCTAAACACATCAGAGCTGTTTTGGCATCACGAGGGAGACCTACATGACATTAGGCAGGTAGTTTTAATGTTGTGGCTGATCAGTGTATGTAGAGAGCTATCATCTTATCACTGTATTCATTGCATGTATAATTAATTAAATTTTAACTAGAAAAAACTTTAGCAGTCCTTCTCTGCTAAAGGTGAGTAACTAATTTGTTTTATGAATATTTACTTTCTATCAAAGAAATAGAATCAATGTTTGGTGTTTACAACTTATAAACCTAAAATAATTAAAACAACATTGTTACTGAGTTTGCTTTTCTGATGATCAAACAATCATAAACCAAAAATCAATGCAGACACTAAAAATGCATTTCTTACTTCTTCCATTTGGTGAGAAATAATTGGCTGTCTTTGCAGCGTTTCCAAAATCATAGACAACTGGTATTGCCGGTCCATTGTCTGTTGGGCAGCTTCCGGCGTTATATTTTACAGGGTATTTCTAATCAGGAGACAGATTATGAGTTACAGTTATATGGAGTTAGGGTTACCCGTTATATTTTTATTCAGAGTTCTAGCTATACATACAGAGTTACAGTTTTACCAAGTTATTGTAATATGGAGTTATAGTTATATAGAGTAATAGTAATACAGAATTATAGCTATGACTTATAGTTACATAGTTATGGTTAAAATATTCTGTCTTACAGCCTACGTTTAATTTCCCAACCAAAACCCAGAATTGTGCCTCTGATTTGTTCAACAAAATAAATGCATACATTAGCTATTACCTTACATCTAGTGTTGTGCTGGTGTCCGTGCTGCCATTCTGTGTCTATGACTGAGCTCATGTGTCTTGATGATCTCAGCCAATACAATGGAGTTTTGTGCATGTGCGCAAAAAAACCCGCCACGCAGTGCATAACAAATTCTCTCTAGGTATTATTAACTCAGTAATAGCTGTGGTAGCACTTCTCGTTGCTGTCTTCCTGACCCCCACAAGAGGGTTACTAAGCCTACAATGAAAAGATTGCTATACACGCGAAAGGGCATTGCTTTTAGTTGTAGGGTTAAAAAGACAGGTTTGTTCAACCAGACCACTTCATTTTATATAGGATAGATTGTTCGGATATTGGATTTTTTTTTAAAGTTTATCCAAAATATGAAATAATTTTTAAAACAATTACGTTGGAATGGGATATGGCAATAATGCAATTCTTGTGCTCACTCTCATTTGAATGGCATATCATCTTGGTTTGCATATGCCATGGATGCCTATATATATATGAATCACACTCATATGGGCAGAAATGCCCTGGAATAGCCCAAACATAGCAGAAGCAAAAAAAAAATCCAAAACAATTAACAAGTAACACAGTATCAGCTGACAAGTGCTCAAAAATATCTGCCAGATCTGGGACAGTTGGAAGAATCCCAGTTGGGAGAATTTAAAGAGTCCGGCACCTAGGTGTTATGGCTGTGGCTACTAGAGGTTTCTTGTCCCTACTGCTCGCTGGAGGCTTCCTGTCCTTCTTTACTGCTATATACATCCTCTGCCCATTACTTAATTACCTGGTTGTGGACTGAAGATCAAATATATCTTGTTATTGTTTCTTATATATTCTTAAATGCCGTGTCAATATAATGCACACATTATATAATTCTTTGCCACTTGGCAATAGCTAGCCTGCCGGTGTGTTATATGGATCATACTAATGGTGGCTTTGTATAAATCGTATTTCTCGAGTTCCCAAATCACTGGGGTACCATCTCTACCCTACACCTCTGCAGGTTTGGGCTCTATCTCGCCGAGTATACACAGATAGTCCAGCATCCCACAGCCGGACATCATGGCTTACATTATCTATACCTGAACCGGTTAGGGATTCATCAGGCATATCGTGTCGTATCCAAGTAATATTGAGGTATTGTAGAATATATATATATATTTGTATGGTACACTTATTTTTGCCCTCTTTATTACATGCCTACTGCATTGTCGGTTCCGGCACACCACAACCGACTGGTGCTATTGACTAAGATGTGTATTGCTAATTATGTGTTACTTAACCATTACGGCAATATTGCCCCGACCACAAATATATATATATATATATATATATATAAAATAAATCTAAATATTAAAAAAAAAATAATAATCAAAATTCTAAATATTAAATGATTTGGAAAAACTATCTAAAAATATTCACTCAAGGCCTTAATGCATTAAAACATGGGAGTCTTTTCCTTATTATTTTCCTTTTAAGAAACCAAAATAAGAAAGTGTTTATATTTTTTCTTAAGCTTTAATTAGACGACTCTGATATTTTATAAGTTTGCTATTACCTTATACAGATTAAAGAGATTTCCTCCTTCTGAAGAGAGAAAGCCAGACTCTGTACGGTATCTTAGAAGAGAGTTTTTTCTCCACTGGGACATTGGTGTGTTGTTTGGTACATGCCACAACTGCACATCACCAGCTGAAATATCGTAATAGCCTGGATTCTATACATGTGGGGAAAAGAACATAAATTATAATTCAGAGAACCATTGCCAACATGTTATTTATTTAGAGAAGCAGAGTGCATTCAACATCTACTTATTTGAAGGGCAGCTCCAGACTGGCTTTGTAATTTAGATTTTTATTAGATGGTTAATAGCAAGTTAATAGTACTTGTTACGTGACATAATACAACAGGGTACCAGTATTCAATTGTAAAGAATCTAACAATGAACTGTCAGAACTATAAGTAGAAATAAGGAAGTGGAGAGACAGAATAAAAGAAAATAAAGGTACATAACGTCCTGCCCTTCTGTGACTGACATAGGAGCATTGGCACTAGTGGCGTGTCATACTTATTAGTGTTTAAAATGATAACTCTTAATGACACTTACCATTCATTTCAACTAGATGGGCCCTGTATTAAATACTTGCTAAGAGGCATATTTAACCCCCATTGCTCTCACAACTGAACAGGATATTTGAAAGATTCTTCAGTCACATTAAATGTAGAAAGCATCTCCACCTATTTTGATCCATATGATGCGGTGACCTAGGCCAATCTACAGGTGACAAATCTTTGTGGGTTATTCTACTAGTAACAGCAAAAAGAGATTTTGCGTATAATCTACGTGGTCAGTGTCATACCATTCTCAAGTGGTTTGGCAAAATGTAGGGTTCTTCTAGGACATTAAGTCCGGCTCTTCTGCTGTTGCTTGACTATTGTTTCCACTTCACCTGTACAACGTTGGGCAACTAGGAAACTCAACCTATCACTGCTGCCCAAATATGCTTAGAACCTAATCATAGAATTTCAGGTCCTTGATTTCCAAGGTTCATAAAATTACCATAAATCTTCACTTCTGAAAGATAATTATATGAAATATTCCTTGACAATTTTTTTGTTCGGTACCTTGTAGTCATCGCTGGTTGCTCCATCTGGTAACCCAAATGTAGCATAGTTGGCCCAGTTACCATCTCCTTCAGGGTTATTTATATTGTTTCCCTGCTGGCTGGACCAGCGATCTCCACTAGTACATTTGCCATACATGTTGTTCTCATGAATACTGGCCACCAGAGTCCAGCCTCCCCCGTCCGTTGTCATGTCACAGAATGTCTGATAGGATAACCCCTGACTAGTTGTCAAAGTATAAATTCCATCTGTTACAAATAAGATTTTCAATTAACTTGTTTCAACATGCAAGATTGCCCTGTGCAATGCTTCTTTACAGCTATTTTGGGATGGGGATTGATGATCAGGGTTGAATTAGCATGAATAATTTTGTAGAATTTAGGAAGTTGGATACAATATATTTTCAATAGATTCTGTTAATATGAATTGATCATCTAAGTATTGTGTGATCTCCTAAATCTTGTTTGTTAAATTGAATTACTGTGTTATTTGCATCCTGGTTTAATACTTGCCTGCTTATACGTGAACACAATTTGAATTTTAATATAGTATATTGTGATATTATTTTTGGAGATTGTGCAAGTTATGTGCTATATTGGACCATGGCCATAACTTTCTCAAAGTTTTGATAACCATTCTTTTTTTTCCCCCTAAGTGTGTCCATATATACAGACACTTTGGATCAACATTTGCTTTGGGGCTGTCACGAATTGCCTACCTTCAGCATTTTTATGAGACTGCTTGATTTCTTTGCAGCTCCTATATTTGTAATTATTGTCCTTTCCAGAAGAGCAGCATCCTGTATTGAAGTTGTTACTATCGTCATCCCAACAGGCCAACAAGTTCAGAATATTTAGCTTCTTCTCACGAGTGGAGGCATAATCTAAAAGAACATTTTAGTCAATGAAAAACACAAGGCATTGTACATTGACATTACAGTTGGGATACCATGCAGGTGACTTCCATTGCAAGATCAGCTCTCATTCATTCATGTGAACTGAATGGAATTTGGGTCTTGAGTTGGTAACTCAGTCACAAGCAACCCTTATTGACCAGGTTAAAAAAGAACTCCCAGGCAGAGCCTGACTCTCTAGCTGACAAGAGTTCAAGCTCCCGTGATCTGCGCTATTTTTCTGGGGATAACCCGGCCTACAGTGTTGAAACGGGCCAAGAGGCTGTCTACCCAGGGAGCACCATCACACTCTGTTTGAGACCTCTCCTGAAGTCATTGGCCACCGGGAACGGCAACGACAGTTGTGGCCTACATGCATAAGAGCTGAGGAAAGGCTCCCTATTCCCTCACTCACACAATAGCTGAATGACACTCCTGACCTCCTACCCTCCCCCCTCCATGGACAGGTGGGGGTAATGCCAGTCCCTGCTGGATGGACCTGACCAAGTACCTTAGCTTAGATTTAAAGCACCATATAGAGCGCTCCTTGCTGCGACTAGAAGACATTTTTTAATCGCTTTTGGGCAAAAATAGAGGAGAGAGCAGTGGCAACACTACATCTCAGTCGCATGTCTGACCAGGAGCAAGTACAGCGGCACATGAGAGAGCCAACGCTGGGTGAGGATCCTACTCCAACGCCTGTTCCACATAGCACAGGCTTACCTAGGCCAGGGACATTGATCCTGCGATGCAGTCCAAACCAGCAGCAGAAAGCCAGTGGGAATTTTTGCTGCCCCCACTTGGGGAAGGACTTGACCTCTCTGCACCCTCAAGTCTGTGGATGGAAGTGGTTCACCCCCAATAAAACCTGTCAAGATTACCTTACCTTAGATCCGGATGGCTGCATCTGCCGGTGGAAGGCCAGCTTACTTCCCTGCTTGCCGACTATAGGAGTCGGGTGACACTCTACTCCTCATAACATGACAGCCTACTGCCCAGGCCTTACATTTATACCTAGCTATATGTTTTAAAGCTATATTGCATTATAACAGCTGATTTAATTTGCCTATCTCTCAGTGGTGGTTAGTTTCAGCGGCATATTGATTTTTATAGCTTAAGCGGAGCAAGCATTATTATTATTCTTGAATTAAACTCCTCATGCCCAGCAAGTCTGACTAGATTACAAGTTTAGCTTCTATTAAATGTTCAGACATGTGGGCTTAGCATGTTTATGCAGCCAGTTATTATTTTCTATTATGTTATTCTATTGTACAAAAATCAGTGCAGTAAATCTGACATTGCATGTGACATCATGTACCATTTCCTCATGCATAGTTTCTAATTGTAATGTCTCTACTAAACTTGTTAATACTCACTTTGCACTGGATAAAAATAAAGAATGTAAAAAAAAAAAAAAAAGCACAAACTAACTTCAGCGAGTAAACTTTATAACATCTAACAAGTGGACCTGGCACTACTTCGACGAGTACAGATTCTTTGACAAACCCTATAAGTGTGTAACCCTATAACTTTGTAAGGTCTGTTTTTTTGGATACATTGAAGAAGTGGTGTGTTACGATGGTAAGGGAGAATTATGGGCATAGGAGCAGGGAAGCTATTTGCATGTCTGGTGATGGTGTAGGCTGATCAGGTCCTTCTGGAGTGCAGTATTTCAATGTTTGTGTTCTGTCACAGTTGTTGTGACTAGTGATGTCCCGAACGGTTCGCCGAACGGTTCGCCACGCACTGCGAACATATGCGCTGTTCGGTCCGCCCCCTATGTCATCATTTAGTAAACTCTGACCCTGTACTTCACAGTCAGCAGACACATTCCAGCCAATCAGCAGCAGACCCTTCCACCTCCTGGACAGCATCCATTTTACATTCATTGTAAAGCTACATTCTTAGTGAGCTGTCCAGGAGGTGGGAGGATCTGGGAGGGAGGGTCTGCTGCTGATTGGCTGGAATGTGTCTGCTGACTGTGAGGTACAGGGTCAAAGTTTACTCAATGATGACGAATAGGGGGCGGACCGAACAGCGCATATGTTCGCCGTCCGTGGCGAACCGTTCGGCGAACCGTTCGGGACATCACTAGTTGTGACATCTAGTCAAATCCCTACCTGACTCTTTTGAATGGTGAACACGAAAACATAATCGTTCAGTTATACACAATAAAACATTTATTTAATTTGCACTGCTGCTCACGGGGCTAAACATAGATTTTGTGAGGGGCTGGTGGAATGTCTACATACATAATATGCATGGTACTTACCGCAGGAAGAAGAAAGTCCATCAACAAAGAATAAGGATACCACCACCAGCCACGAAACAAGCATATTTACCTGTCGAGATAAAAGGGCACAGCCAATGCTATATTAGGATCCTGTCCTGAATGCAAACTGATTATTATGTGATGAAATGAAAATGTGCATTGAGAAGTGTAAGGTTCCATTACATAAAAAATGGGGCCTACATCACCGATCAATCGTAGAAAAATAACATTCTATAGGAATTATAGTTGTCAAACAAATTTCGAGCAAAATGCTAGGATATGCGCTTTCTAATTTTGCATTGTATTTCCCAAATCATAAGTAGCATATAATGCTACTTCATGTATATTATTAGAAATCATTTAGTTTTATTCACTTCCATTAACATAATAAATATGTATCATCTTGTGATGTCTTTATGAGTTAATGCGAGGCTTGACATGGAACATGTGTTGTAATATGTTTCAAAAGATCCAAATAAAGGTGTTTGCAAGTCCTTCATCATCAGTGAATTCAAACAATGTAGTGGACCATATGATTAAGTACATCTCATAGTCAGTGATTTTAAACAATGTACTAAATAGTTTAACAAGATACATTATTTTGTTAATTAAACGAATGTCATACCTGGACCTCTGCATCCAAGTTCTGATCCTGGCAAGTGCAACTTATGACACTGAAATACCTAGCTGCTTGTCTAAAATGTGATCGTGGCAATCTTGTGACACTTAGGTTATTGTTTAACCCCTTAAGGACCAAACCTCTGGAATAAAATGGAATCATGACATGTCACATATGTCGTGTCCTTAAGGGGTTAAAGGGTATATCAGGAAGCCAGAGATTGTTAGTTTAGGAATTGCTTGATTTGCCTGTAATCCATTAAAACCTTGCAATCCTCATTCATTGACAGCTCATGGTTTAAAATAAAAAGATAAATATAAAATAACTTTATTGTCTGGTTTAAGTCTATTTCCCCTAACACTACTCTATCATACCACTCTATGATGATTTCTGCCTAACTTCATTCAACAATGGATTGACAAATTGACAAAACTCATTTTTTTTTAAACAAAGGGAAACTGTTTGTTACTTTATTCTATGAACTCAAGAATTCATGGTGATGTCTAACTGGTTAGCAGTAGGACATAATATCACCTGAAATGCTCTGAGATATCCTCTCCCCATTGCCACACATCCATTTACATCTCCTGAAATGAAATCTTAACCTGAATAAAATATATTTGGTGAAGAATATCTAAATTGTTTAATTGTAGTGATTAATTAAAATAGCTCTGTTTTTTTTCAATACATATTGTATGCGCATGCCAGAGATCCAGCCTTTCAGAGCTAACCATAGAAAATATCTTTAAAGTTGTTGTGTCCCTGACTCCTGTATTTTGTCTTCTTTCTGTATGGTGCCCTCTAGTGGCACTCTATGACATTGCTTTCATATTATGTAACAGTGTGCACTTTCATTGTTTATAAAAGTATTATAATATACTCTATCCTACCTGTTTTCAAGAAATCTACTAAAGGCTATTGTCTTTCTTTCTCCAACCCCTGTATTGTTTGATAGGTAAAAGTTATCTTTCAAATTAACCAAAAAAATCTTAACCCACGTTCTAAAAAATTACAGTGAGTTTAACATTGTTGTAGTCTTAATTCTACATAATACATGTTGGACACATGGTGCTTAAAATGTTACCATTAGTTCCAAGAACTAAACATTATCAGGAATAAACAATTACAATCTTGCTCAATATATGTAAGAGATAATGTTAAAAAGAAAAATTCAAAGTTTACGTACTGAGCCATAATCTCTCTAATGCCCACTCCCTATAATCTGCACATTTTGTTCCCTTTGAAGTTCCTATTTAATTGAGTGACAACCCTCCGAACTCCCGAAAGACACACTATCCCAGCATGGCCCCATCCTGAGATAGGATAAATTATTTACATAATTACATAATAACAAAACCCTCACTGTATCATCTTATCATGTGTTGGGGCGAGTTCACAAAACAGACACTCAAATTAAGTGAGCATTAAATATATATATATATATATATATATATATATAACATCCGAATGGAATGGCTGCTCACCGGTCTTTTTAAAAAACAAACATTTTTTTTATAGAGTTAAAAATAACAACCAACGTTTCAGTCCCCGTTCGGGACTTTCTTCAGGGTCATTAACAGGACAACAAATAATTTGTACACATACAAGCAATATATACCTAAATAATTAATAGAATAAGTCACCCAGGTGTTCTACACCCACCTCCACCAACACCGAGTGGACCTCCGGGTATGTGCGCGCGCACCTAATTTATCTCCTGATTTTATTAGTACTGAAATGGTAAAATGGTATGTGGATTGCCTAACTAGCAGGAACTGTCAATCATACTAATAGCCCAGAACACTCGGAATAGTAACTAACTTGCACACTCAAAGCCATCAAAATCCACTAATTCACAATAAGTGAGTATGCTGGAAACATATAGCCTTGTGGGTAAATTGATCAGTTATTAGTTGACATAAATAACTTATTGCACTTGTCCCGCAGATCAATCAACTCAATAGAAAAAGAGATGAACATACAGAGAGACAATATTTAGGAATGCCGGAGAACATTCATATCCCACTATGTATCCCAATAAAATGAGAATAGAACTATTCAAGTTTTCAAAACATTGCCTCTCGCCAGTCTGTGCCCTTTGAATTTCTCTGTTATTAAACATCACAAATAAACAATATCTTAGATTACCTTTTTCAATACCAGTGATTCTGAATAGGAAGCCCGGAAGACAGTGCCTTAATAAATTACTATACAGAGCCTTTGAGTCTCAAAGACCTATTAAGAGCTCTGAGAGGTGATAAGGAGGAGAGAGCGAAGCGAAGGGAGGGGGGAGGAGAGGAGAGAAAAAGCTGTAAAGGAACCTGATAGGTTAAAAGGGCACAGAACAAGAAATATGGGCAGAGTTAATAACAGAGAAAAAAAAGGGAAGTAAGAAAAGAGACGGTGTGAGATATAAGGGGGTGAATAATATAATGGATGGAAGGGAATTTAAGGTGCAAATGAGAAAACGGTGGTGTGGAATTTAAATAAGAAAAATAATTGTAAAGAATTTAATAATCCTTCCCCTCAACTTCATTACCATGTACAGTGTGGTTGAGTAAAACATGTCTAAGAATTTGTCAATATGTCACAATCTCTTCACCTCATTGGACTTCAAGGAATTCTGGGAGAAAAATGTGAATTGTTTTAGTTTGTGTTAAAGAAGCAAATCAAGTGGGCATTATTGACAATGACAGCTCTTGGTGGAGTTATGTCTATATATTTTAAGGAAAGTAGAAAGAGCATGATAATTGTGAAGGAATGCACCTTGATTCCAAGGCTCGAACTTGTATGTGCCATAATTGGCTAGGCTATATTAAAATTGGCTAAGTTGGACTCATGTAATGCTTTATGCTTAAATGAACTTTGTCCTACATTAAGTTCTCTTTCTTATAAAAACTAGCTCCCATCGAAGTACTTCTGTAAACTGCTTGTCTTTTGAAAGTTAGAAATATGTCTCTTCTTACATTCCTTTTCTTCAACGCAAGCATGTATCCTCTACTGCAGTGGTTCTCAACCCAGTCCTCAAGGACCCCCTACCAGTCCAGGATTTAGGGATTACCCTGTTGTGTCTAAAGTGTTTGTTCCCCCCCCAAAAAAAACACATTAGACACAGCAGGGTAATCCCTAAATCCTGGACCATTCGGGGGTCTTCGAGGACTGGGTTGAGAACCCCTGCTCTACTGTATAAAGCTCCCCCAATTAAAGCTAGAAGCAATTCTTCTGGATTCACAACTATCACCACGTGTCGTGTGCCTTATTGCTTCTCCAAGCGCTTGAATTGATTTGGGTTCCCCTGAAAATAATTTAAGGATGATTTATCATTGTCATTTCTCTGATTAATCTAAGTTTTTAAGTGTTTAATATGAGTTTTATTAAAATATATTGGGGGACAGAATAAAGAGGTAACGAAAAATTGATTACTGTTTTAAGCATTTCCAACATTCTGCAGGACATTTTGCTTATGTGAACAGGACAAAGTTTCAAACAATAGTGACTCTATAATTCATTGAGCAATAAGAAAAGATAACTTAAAAGCGTATCAAAAAAAAAAAAAGCGTGCTAAATTAAGGGATGTCTTATCAAGGTAAAAATCTTGATATGAGGTTAAAGGGTATATAGTCTCATTTATCATCATCCGAGCACCTTAGCCAGGTGTGGCCTGAGGGACTCTTCTAATGTAACCATTGGGTTTTCTTTTCAGATATCCACCAAAGAAAAGGGATAATTTAAAGAAGAAAGAGATAAATGAACGGAGATGTAAAAGATAAATAAAAGTGTGGGGGGGTGCTTATATACATAAATGCATTTACACACATCATACTAATGTACAGGTAAGAACAAGGCCCGAGTAAACCCTCTTGCGCAGCGATTTGCCAAAATCCAACAAAAACTTAATCACAAGTGTTAAACCCACCTAGATCTTTCGCTCATGAGTTATGGCACTGGGGGAAAGATACTCCAGCCAGTAGAGCCACGTCCTAGTATGCCAGTCCTGTGCCTGAGATAACCATTTCTCTAAATGCACCAGAGACGCCCCTGGTGGATATTTACCAACAATAATCCTGCCGTAGCTGCTGGAGGATGCCTAATCCCCAATTCCACAATCAAAATTATAATTACAGCTAACACATGTCCAGCTACTGCCAAGAGAGAAATGTCTGTTGGTGATAATAGTTCTCCTTGAAGATACGATGTCCCTTTTAGAATGCTATTAATTAAAATGCAAGACTGGCGAGCCAAGTGGCCAGAACTGTTAAAATGCATTCTGGCATGTATTCACTTTGTATTTAATATAAAGAGTTCCTCCAACCACCATGACCAATTGTGCTTTTAGAGATCGTTATGCTGGTATGATTATTAATTGCTGCTTGGAGCATAACCTTAAGAACCAGGAACTGTAGAAGAACTGACACTTAAAGACAGTCTAGGACTGATGTCCTGGAACTTAGAACAAGCTAACTGGAACACAGCAATGATGAATAATACAGGACCAAGCCGTGAACTGAAGACTAAACCCAACATAATTCAAAGGACTAGTGAGAAGTGTGTCTTTATAGTTCTTGGCTTCATGTGTCAGTCATGCCTTATGACACCTGGATCTCAGCATCTTTAGAATTCAGGGGAATGGAGACTGCAGACTGCTTCAGTGCTAAATGAAAATAAATTCAAGTGGCATGGTGGCATTATAGAGATTAGTGACTGGGATAAATATTGCTTTCCTTCTAACGTCCTTTAATTATGGCCATTCCACAATGGCAGCAGTAAAGTGGTGGCATCAAAGTTTTCTAGACCAATTTGTAAGTGTCCTGCTCGAGAGGTTACATACTAAAAGAATAATTAGGATAATCAAAAGAAGTATACGAGAGAGGAACATTTTTTTTTAGAGCTTAGCAAATCCCTAGTTAGCATGGGTTAAGACAAAACATTGTTGAATAATTGCCAACTTAAAGTTAAAAAAGTACCAAAAAAAACAAACAAGGCAATCTCTTGTATTATGAAAAGGAACATTGTTTTTTCGTCACATGAAACTAGAAATGTATGTTTTCAAACAAGTTCATGTATGAGTTTTTATACATCACAAGATCTGCTTGTGTTAATTGAGTGAAAAATAAGAACTAACACAAAACAGGATCAGATGTGGATCACGAGAAAATGGACATATAAAATCTAAAGTGCAGAAAATAATAATTCATACTTCAAAGAGACAATTGTCAATCTATCTCTTAATGCATTGTGAGCGAAAAAGTGGAATAGTGGTTGATGGAAGATATATCAGGCCTGATTTGCTAAACAGCAGTCAGAGAATTTTCAGTTAAATGCCCCAGGGAGAGATGTTAAAGTTTGCAATATATATTGCTGATGCTCTGCAAAACACGATATGGGTCCCTGAGGCGGAGCATTTGGAGAGCAGGGTGGGCCAATGCTCCAACAGCACTAGTTGCTGTGTAACAGACCACAATTTTGATTTAGCTTAAGAGTCAACTAATTGGCACTCACCTGTAGCTGGTCAATTAGCAGACAGGCCTTTAAAAGAAGAGATCAGCCTGCTGCAGGGGAGGGAGAAAAAGCCAGCTAGGGGAGAGAATAACAATTGTGTTTATTGCAATTCCATTTCATTTTTTTTTTTGGAAAGCCACCCAATTACAGATAGTGATTTCTGTCTAGTAAGAGCTCAAGTAAGAGCAAGGAATTTTGTTTTGCTTATTATTATTTAAAGCACCGAGCTGAATGTGTCCTGGACTTTGATTACCCTAGAAGGCTGTGGTTACTGCAAGATCTGTGACAATCCTACCTGTAAAAGAGGTGGTTTGTTACAGCATTAACACAGAATACTGTCTGGCTACTAAACAACATATAATTCCGATTTTCTGTTTTATATATACAAGTATATATATCTTATGATACATACATTTAACAACATTTCAAAATTCCCTTAACATAATATAAAAAAATAAATAAATAGCACAATGAGTAAATTCTTATATGAGCTAACAATATCAAGAGACTATAACCTTCATCCAATTTACATTCCAAACATGGGAATTCATTCAATAGAATTCATCTCCTATCAGTTATAAATAGAAAAAAAAGAATAACAAAATAACATATTTTAATATATCAGTTGGAGGGCTACTAAAACAGGGATCATAGGAATGAGCAGTGGTGGCAGGTGACGTTTTAAGACGGTGGGGCATGGGACTCCTCCCCAGAATTTGACTCTGCCACCATCTTCCCAGGACATACTTGAAAACAAGAGAAATTTCAATATTTGCTTCCTGGTAAAATATTTAAAAAAATAAATAAATAAAAAATAATTGTCTGGTGTGTTGGATTTGTCTTCTTGACCTCATGTACCAGATCCCTCATGGTAGTCCCCATACAATATACATATCTAGTATAATATATTGATATTAATACAATTCTCAAAGCCAGGTACAATACAGAGATACCTACATAGTACACATAACTGAATATAGAGATACATATACAATACACAGAGCCACGTACAATACAGAGATACTGATACAATAAAAAGAGCACAGTACTATAAGGAAATACTAAAACAATAATAAAGAGATATTCGTACAATACACAGAGCTTGGCACAACACATAGATACCCATAAACTACACAGAGCGCTGTACAATACAGAGGACGTCAATCACACCACACAGTATAATGCCTCTGTATAATACTCCATCTCTCTCTAACTCTAGCTCTTTAACCCTTTCTAAGTCTCTAGCTCTGCCTTTTCTGATCTTATCTTTAATAATGCTCTCACTATGACAACTTTAACTTCCTAGTAAATGTTACTGCTGCTACTATGAAATGTGTCTGCTTCTTCTGAGTCACTGTTCCTACTGCAGATTGATCATATTAACATCTACAAGGACAATAAGGAGTCTATAAGTATCCTGCTGCCTTAACCATGTGAGCACTGTGTGCAGTGAGCTTGCTCGACACTAATAGCAGTAACATTCTATCGCATTAGTTTCACTACAGATTGATCAGAGGTCAACTGAAATAATCAGAGGTAAGAAGTTTCTTAATTTGTGAGATATCTGTGCATAGCCTACTCAAACACATAGCATGCTCAGGGTTAATCCAGTCGGATACTGATAGACTCCTTATAATCATTGTAGTTGGCAATATGATCAATCTTCAGTAGTGTTATGGAGCTATGAAAAAACTGGTATGGTTAACGGAAGCAATAAACTAAATCAGCTCAGTCCTCAGAGTCACAGCCCCAGTGCTGCAATGTTAGTATGTTAATTTAAATTTGAACACATACTCAGGATGTACTAAAACTCAACAGGCAGTACTTAAGTAAATAGTTAAACTAAACTAGACCCGAATAATGATGCATATTACTGTGCCTAAGAGCGGCCGGACTTAATGCTCTATAGCAGGAATGGGCAATCTGCAGCCCTCAAGATGTTTGGGACTACATCTCCCTTGATGCTTTTCTAGCACTTTGGTCCTAAGAGCATTATGGGAGATGTAGTCCAAAACATCTGGAGGGCCGCAGATTGCCCACCCCTGCTCTATAGGATAGTATAAGACAAGGGACACAGAATGAGGTCAGAAATCCGATGATATAAAAAAGATAAACATGATATCTGATAACCATAAAATAGAAATGGAAGCTTTATGTGTGCAGGGATTGGCTAATTACACTTATGAGGTCATGGCATGCTTGTGCATCGTTTGCATGATGATGCACGCACGTCTGCGGCATCAACCTGGTCTGAAGAGACGGATCCTTTAAAATGATCCCATCTTCAGTGGCCAGTGTTGGACGGAGAGCCAAAAGAAGGAGCATTCACATGGCCGAAAGATGAAGGCGGTGCTGACAGTATACCAAGCTCAGAGAGACACGCCTCCGATATTCACGTTGGGCGTACACCATGACACACATATTATTTAGCTTAACTTCTCCCCAGGACAAAAAAATCTTAGCAGTCCTACTACCAATATATTTTAATATAAAAACTGAAGGGGCGCTGCCCCAAGCGCTTCCATTGGCAATGAGACAAAAGCTATTGGAATCAGTGTACTCATTATACATTAGTTACCTGCCTTAAGCTGGGTTTCAGTAGCACTCCAACTGAATTATGATATCATGGTTGATCAGAGTTGTATTTGCTATTTAATGAGCCTCTGCGTGATATTAATTAAGACCAAACTAAAAAGCTTATGTCTTTTCCAGTGCCAAGGCCAAGTTCTCCGCTAAGCCTTTTGCTCCTTGCTGACATCAGGTGCCGGGGAGGGATGTAGGAGGAGGTCGGGCTGGGTGGAGAACATGGGTAACATTGAGGGTGAGCCATGCAGACACTGGACGCCTCTCAACAGTATGCTGTGCATGCTGACGACAGACGTCCAATATGCACAGAATTGATATTAGTCAGCCCGGAACGCTTGTTCTGGGATAGCTAACGAAACCCCAAATGACTCTGCCAGAAGTGGCCTTAGGCCTCCGGCGGCAGAGGGGTTAAACTCTGTATGTGCTAATATTGTTAGCTTGCATAATTTTGTCAAAGATTCCAAAAAAATTTAAATTAGTTTTTGCAATTCTTTGAGTAGCCTTCTAACTCAAACACTAATTCAAATATGAATATGTGGATTTGTGCTTTCAAGTTAATTTGTTTCCGTTAACATCTTGTCCATTTGTAAGCCTTTACAAAACTTGAATTGTAATGTTTAATTCTACTTCCATCCATAAAAGCTTTGTGTTTAGGACTTTACTAAAACTAAACACAGAACACTGTACAAATAGCACATAATTTCTAAAACTTACTGAGTGACATAGTGATCCCTCCTGAAGAAGGTGCACAGTGATAATACCTTTCAGGGTTTAGTCTCTTTGAGAGTGTACTTACCAGAGTATAAATTAGTTCTGATGTCAACGGTAGAGACAAAAAAGGATTCAGCGATTAATACAGATCATGAAACAGGTACACACACTCCTGTAAGCACGGGATAATTGGAGAAATGAACATGGCTATTGCACGCCTATTTATATAAAATACAGGCATGTCCCAGGAGGGAGAAGGTGGTAACACAATACTCTTATTGGTCTCAATTACATTTAATAAAAAGTATTATTTGTCACTTTAAAATCAAACAAGGATGCCAGGGATGGAAATGTACAGAATGCAGGGGGATTATGCCATTTTAATTTATATGTGCAAAGACTGTCAATAACAAAGGGCCAAATACAATAATAACCTTTATTGACTTTATTCAAAATTCTCTGTGTGTTGCAATGTGTCGCCATATGTGCCAGTATAAACATCATACTTTTGTTTGGTGATTACGCCAATAAAGATCTGAACTGTATGTGACCTGCCAGTAACAAAGACACCTGCAATAAATAGTTTATATTATCACAGAGTGCAGGCAGGATATACTTGCAACAAATTATTTTATTAAAGGTACAGTAAGTACCGTAGCTTCTTAAAGTAGTTATGGTGCCAGGACCCTGTTGCTGCAGCCATACGTTTAACGAATTTGTCAGACTGCCAAAACAGAGCTTTAACGAGGATCCTGTAGCTCTACCTCCATTCAGAGCTTTGAATTACACTTCATGGCTCCCATACCTTCTCTTTCCTTTAGGTTGGTATTTAACTGCAGAAGTGGAGGGACCTCCAGGCTCCCTGAAAGAAATCACTAAGTCTAAAGACTGCCCATGTCTCTCAGATGATTGGTGCTTCTTCACCGTCAATCATTTGTACCTGTTACTGCAATCCTCCATATTTATAACTGGGGGTAGAAACATTCTTTTACTCTTCCATTACCTCCACAGACTTTCCCCCATGGTGGCAAGGTACCCCATTTGTGCCATCTGTGTCATCTTCCTACATCCGTCACTCCTGGGGACGAGCTGGCAGCTAAGCAAATTTTACCTTTATTTCTTATTTAATTTGGTCGGCGGTGGACAAACACAGCAAGGGTTACAAAAACATTGTTTTTGGTCGGAGTAACCCAACAACATTAAAATTAAATCTGTTCATTCTGTTGCGGAAGATGATACAATCTCTTCATTTTGCTAATGGAAATGTGTTAAAACTGCATGCCTTACAGCGTAATCTAATACTTACGAACGCAAGGTGTCTTGGAGAGCAACTCTCTGTATTTTGAAACAAAAAACGGGGCTCACCCAGCACCCAGACTGGGCCCTCTGCTGCTGCTCAGATAATGCAGAAGTTCCAATTATTGACTGTGAGCAGGGGATATTAACCCTTTGCTTACCATTCAAAGTTGGCTGAATTTAAATGCATAACTATTTATCAAGTTAACAGCAGAAAGCTCCTGGTTTTGTCAAAAAGCATAAGAATGGTTTGAAAAAAAATGGGGGAGCCCAAAGACTTTTTGTATCACAATCACTAGAATAAGCCATGACACTCATGCTGCTTAGAGTATCCCTTTATTGTTTAATTTTTCTAGATCTTTTTATACACTATTAAAGTGCTTATTATGTAAGAAGTTAAGCACATTTTTTTTTTTGCCTGTTAACTTATATCACTGTCAGTGGAAGTTAAAGGGCAAAAATTGTCAGATCTTCTTAACTTGCGATATGTAAAAGCTGAAAGGGCTTTTCCTTAAATGTCCCTAAAACGCTTCCATAAAGACCCCAGATTCAAAGAATCTGTAGGGGTAAAATAAAAATTAACCACTTCGCCACTCACAGTTCCGTTTCAACAAATTACTATTACTAATAGCACATTAAAGGGTAAAACAGCAGTTTTGTGTTTAAATTGCTCATTGGAAATGTTAACTGTTTGTGTATTCTTTAAAAAATATTGTTGAGCTAAAATGTTTTAGATGTTATACAATATCCCTTTTCATAAAATGCTTCTAAGGGTTAACAAAACAAGATATGAATAAAAATGATTTGCCCAGAAAACACAATAAGTGAGCCCATTGGACATTTAAATGTAGCTTGATATGTTTAATGCGCAGATAGAAATAACGTATCACATTATGATGTGAACGCTAGTTATTGACCATTTCAATAGACACAAGGATAAATGAAGAGGGACAGTATCTAAAAATTACCTCAATTTAATAAGCTTCAATACTGTTAGAAATATGATCTATCTATAAAAATTCCTATAGACTTTAATGGTGATTTCTGCAGGTAAATTCAATATTTACCAACAGTATTGAATCATTTGGAAAGCTTATTAAATCGAGTCCAATGTTGGGTGCCATTTTGTCCTCACCATAAAATAAAATAATTAAAAAATATTTAAAACATTTCAACAATACATTACAAAAAGGTGGAACTGGGAAGAAGCACTTCCTTTTTCATCAAATGTCACACAAAAAATAAAAAAATTTGTTAAAATTTTAAAGGGACATTATAGTCACCAGAACAACTACAGCTTATTGAATTTGTTCTGGTAAGTAGAATCATTACCGTCAGGCTTTTTGCTGTAAACACTGTCTTTTCAGAGAAAATGCAGTGTTTACATTACAGCCTAGTGATAACTTCACTGGCCACTCCTCAGATGTCTGTTAGAGATCCTTCCTGGGTCATGGCTGCCTAAAATGCATTCAAACATTCAGTATCTTTTTTTTTTTTATAAACATATCAGTTTCAGAGAAACTGCTATGTTTATAAATGGGTTAATCTAGCCTCTAAAGTCTCTAGTGCAGGGGTTCTCAACCCAGTCCTCAGGACCCCCTACCAGTCCAGGATTTGGGGATTACCTGGGTGTGTCTAAGGTGTTTAGAAAAAGGGAAGAAAAAAAACCCTTAGACTCTAAGGTGTTTTTTTTTCTTTTTCTAAACACCTTAGACACACCCAGGTAATCCCTAAACCCTGGACTGGTAGGGGGTCCTTGAGGGCAAGGTTGAGAACCCCTGCTCTAGTGGCTGTCTCATTGACAGCCGCTAGAGGCGTTTGCATGCTTCTCACTGTGAAAATCACAGTGAGAAGACGCAAGCGTCCATAGGAAAGCATTATGAATGCTTTCCTATGAGACAGGCTGAATGCGCACGCAGCTCCTGCCGCGCATGCGCATTCAGCCGAAGAGGAGGATCGAAGGCGGAGAGCTCCCCGTCCATTGCTGGAAAAAAGTTAAGTTTAACCCCTTTCCTCTCCCCAGAGCCCGGCAGGAGGGGGGCCCTAAAGGTGGGGGCACCCTCAGGGCACTATAGTGGTCCTTTAATCTCTATGAGGAGATGCTGATTAGCCAGGGCTGTGTTTGAATCATGCTGGCTCTGCCCCTGATCTGCCTCTTTGTCAGTCTCAGCCAATCCTATGGGGAAGCACTGTGACTGGATCAGGCTACCACTTCTGATGATGTCAGCAGACTGTTTGTTTTTCTGAGTCTAACAGCATGCAGAATTACAGCTTCTGTCTTGAATACAGTAAGATTTTGCTATATTTATGGAAGCATGAGGGACCCAGGGGGGCTATATGATGGTTTTAACACTATAGGGTCAGGAATATATGTTTGTGTTCCTGACCCTATAGTGATCCTTTAACCTCATATTAGCGTAGAAGCCGAAATATCCATATTTGCCACGTAAAAAAAGGTATAAAAAAATAGATAAAACGGCCAAATACCCTGCTTGATGGGTAAGGCCACCTTTACCCTTTGTGGAGCCCTGAGCAAGACAAAAAGGTATAGTACCTATACTAAAAAAACCATCCCTTGACCCGTCCACCCCCTCTAACTACCGTCCCATATCCCTGCTCCCTTTTTCCTCAAAGCTTCTGGAAAGACTCGTCTTTACCCGTGTGTCTAATTTCCTCAATTCCAACTCTCTTCTTGACCCCCTTCAATCTGGCTTCCGCCCTCTCCACTCTACAGAGACTGCCCTTATCAAAGTCACTAACGACCTAATCGCAGCTAAATCCAAAGGCCACTACTCCATACTAATTCTTCTTGACCTCTCGGCGGCCTTTGACACCGTTGATCATGCTCTCCTTCTTCAAACTCTGCAATCGCTTGGTCTCTGTGACTCTGTCCTCTCGTGGTTTTCCTCTTATCTCTCCCAACGCTCATTCAGTGTGTCTTTTTCTAATGATACCTCCTCCCCTCGCCCTGTCTCGGTTGGAGTCCCCCAAGGCTCCGTCCTTGGTCCCCTTCTATTTTCTCTTTATACTGCCTCTCTTGGCAAACTTATCACCTCATTTGGTTTCCACTACCACCTCTACGCTGATGACACCCAGCTATATCTCTCCTCCCCGGACCTCTCCCCTGCTGTCCTGCAACGTGTCACTGCTTGCCTTTCTTCCATCTCTGACTGGATGTCCTCCCGCTTTCTGAAACTCAATCTCTCAAAAACTGAGCTCCTTGTCTTTCCTCCTCCTAATACTGATCCTCCTCTTTCGCTCTCCCTTCAAGTTTGTGGTACCAACATCAGCGCATCCTTGCAAGCGCGCTGTCTTGGCGTCATACTTGACTCTGGTCTCACCTTTGAGTCTCACATCCAGCATGTTGCCAAATCCTGTAGATTCCATCTCAAAAACATAGCCCGCATCCGCCCCTTTCTTGCACCAGATACTACCAAGGAGCTTGTCCATGCTCTAATAATTTCACGCATGGATTATTGTAACCCTCTCCTGCTTGGTCTTCCCAAAAGCCGTACTGCACCCCTACAGTCTGTAATGAATGCTGCTGCTAGACTGATTTTCCTCTCTAGTCGTTTCTCCCACACCTCACCCCTCTGCCAGTCCTTACATTGGCTTCCTGTGTGCTATAGGAGTCAATTCAAGGCACTAACTCACACCTATAAAGCACTGAACAACTCTAGCCCCTCCTATATCTCCTCACTGATCCACAGGTATGTCCCTTCTCGGTCTCTCCGCTCTGCCCGTGACCACCTCCTGTCCGTTGTCCGCACCCGTACGGCCAACTCGCGCTTGCAGGACTTCTCGCGGGCGGCTCCCTTCCTATGGAATAGCCTGCCTACCGCCATCCGACTCTCCCCTAGTCTTGCATCTTTTAAGAAGTGCCTTAAAACCCATCTCTTTAGGAAAGCCTATGGCCTCCAAGACTAACCCCTACCTCACTTACCTGTCTCTTGCCCTCCCCTAAAGGGCAGCCCACTTTTTTTTTGATTGCACACTCCTGTCCTAATGTGTCTTACACCCCACCTCCTATAGAATGTAAGCTCGATTGAGCAGGGTACTCTTCAACCTATTGTTCCTGTAAGTTTATTTGTAATTGTCCTATTTATTGTTAAATCCCCTTTCATAATATTGTAAAGCACTACAGAATCTGTTGGCGCTATATAAATGGCAATAATAATAATAATAATAATAACTTTGATTTGTCCCAAACAGTATTTCTTGCAATTTTGCATTGCCTAAAATATACAGCAAAGTGCCCTGAATCTTAGCATTTTTTTTTTTTTGCTGCACTACATTTGTATAGTCTTCAAGTACCTCTTCTGAGACTGGGCTCTTGACCTGCACCTAAAATAACCCTAAAAGTCTCTGAGTTTCTGCATAGACAGAGTGCATAATCTAGTTACCAAATAATCTGATTGTTCAACCTTTTAATACAGCTACTGTGTGTTCCAATTCTCCCACTTTTTTAATGTTGCTGTGCACAGCTGTGAGTTGAGCTATTTCATCAAACATCAGACTACTTTACATTAAAATCAATGTTGCGACACAAGTGTTGACATCAATTCAGGTATTAGCCATCGCCTTTCATTACAATATTTATTTATGATTCCTTTTTAAACACATATGCTTGCTGACTCCATTACAAAATTTCTGCCTATTTAAAAGAATACGAGTTCTAACAAATATATATATTTTTTTTCCTCGTAGGAACATCTGGAAATGTTGATACCTGAAGAGATTTTCAAATTTAAGCACAAATATGCCACCTGGCTACTTTTCCTCCTCTGGGAAAATAATTATTTTTACACATATGGATTTCACTGCACAATTTAGCTAGGAACAAAACAATTGGAAATAAATTCACATTTTATTATTGCAAGCCTAGAAAAAATCATAAATACAGCATTAGCATATTTCGCTAAAAGAACATTATATTTTTACCCCTTGTATTGCATTGCGGAACATGTTGATGTTTTATGAATAGTAGCAATAAAATGTATAGGGTAAATGTCATGAAAATGAAATGTCATTTAAATGCCGTACCAAAAACGTCACAGTATCCTGTTAGCTGGCCTAAGTACTCCTGATGGTGGCAAGTATTAAACTAAACAGTGAATTACAGTGAACTAAAAACCTAATTGCTAAATTTTGACATTATAGCCACAGGTTGGCTATTTTAGTGTGAAGTTTGCAAATTGGGTTTTAAGTTTATTATTTTAGGGCTTGTTCACAAAACAATGGATTGTTTGGGAACATTCTCCAGTGCGCCATAGTCACTGCATGGGTTATTTAGGCTCAGTATTGCATTTTCCAGATCTCAGTCCACTGCACTTTTGAAGTAAATGAATACACCTTCAAGAAACAGGGCACAACCGTCGGCACTCCAGATGTTGTGGAATACATCTGCCAAAAGGCCCTAACAGCCATAATGCTGGCAAAGCATCAGGGGAGATGTAGTCCTCAACACCTGGAGTGCCGAAGGTTGTCAAGCTCTGCTCTAGACGATTGTTATTAGATTTTAGGATTCCACTATTTATCAAAAGGCAGTCTGGCTAAACTTTTTATATCAGTGATATAGATTACATTCACAATATGTATTTTCTTCTGAATTAAGATAAAACTCCTTGTTTAATTCATATTGGTCCAAACCATAGTACCTTGGAGATACAGACAATTGCGTTTTACCATTGCATTGCTGCAGAAAATGTTATGCCAATGTGATAAAATGTCTCTATTCATGTTCAGCTACATCTTTGGAATACAGCAATGTACTCCATGTACAGTTTGCCAGAATTTCAAGGAGTTAAAAGATAATTCATGGATTGATTATATTAAATTTGTGTTTCCAAGTTTTGCATTTTTACACAACTCGTTTGCTGGGTCCATGTGTAATCTTGGGTGGGTAACTTTAGCAGCCCTCCAACTCACAATATAAACTGTGTATGATGTCTAGTGACTCTTTTTGACCCATCTTCTCCATATTAACTTCCTTTATAACCAAGGTCATATTAATGTTGGGGATATAGGCGTTGCTAGAGGGTGGCTTAGGGGGCTGAAACCCTGGATGTAGGGCTCTTCAGATCCTGCTCTCTACAGGATTGGGCAGGAGGGTATTAGTGTTTTTTTATTTTATATTAAACACCTACTATAGCGCTGACACTTAAGGGCATGGAGTGGTGCCCCCCAAGTGATTGTTGGGAGAAGGTACTGGGGAAAGAGAACTATCCTGAAGACCCCAGTATTACCTCTGTAGTATGCCAAAGTTGCATGAAATACCTGGATATGCTCTGAGTATTAGCAGCACAGTCTCATGGGAAGAGAGGAGGGGACAAAACACAAAAAGGTGGGAACTGCCATGACATCCCCATGTCTCTGTTAGGTACGGGTCATCAAGTTTTCCTTTAGGCTCAAGCACCAGATGTTTCTGAAACCTAGGAATGGCCCTGAGAACTGTGTGTAGTGAAGAGTATTGTTTGCATGGCCAACTTTGCAATAATCTTTGAAGATCTGGTTTTGTGGGGGTGGGGGTGACAATTTGCTGCAGAGCCTGTTTTACTAACAGACAGCAGTTCTAGCAGATATCTGGACATTACATTGGGGGAAGTGGATAGGATCGTCTGTGTTTCTGTGTGTATTGTCATTGATTTGGTGATGTTTGCTCTCCACCCTCTAAACTTATATTTCAAAACGAATCATCCCCCATTTTGCATCACCGTATGCCACCCCCTTATTATGTCTTTTTTTTTTAATTTACATATATCCCTACATAGAGCATTACCGGTTATTTACACCTCCATCAATTACTCTCCCACACCACTCTGGCAATTGTTGCCCACTTCATAAATTACTAACACCTGCCAATTATTTCCCTGTCCTTATAGTCACATCCCCTGCAAATGAATTACCTCTTTCCTAATTTACATTCCCTTGCCAATTAACATTTCCACATACCCCTTATAATTAATTCTTCTCTCTAATTCACATTCCCAGATTCCACTTTTAATTAACCCATTCCCTAGCCAATTAAAGAAAGACTCAGAGTACCATCACAACTTTATCTAAATTAACTTGTTATGATACTTGGAGTCTCACAGCTCAATCTTACCTTTAAGTGTAAACTGTTCTCGAAATTTTTAACACTAAAGATTTGTCGCAAGGTACCGGTCTCTACCGTTTATTTCGTACTTGGACTAATGGGGTACTAGTGCGGTAGTAAAGAGACAGCAGTGATTAGCTTAGAGCGTCAGTTAAGATGATGTTACTATAGTGACCATAGTGTTGCTTTAACCCTCCTCTCCAATTTACATTACCACCTTCCCCCTGTTTTTGTAATTTATATTCCCACATTATGGCACCAATTAACTCCCTCTCAATATTCACCTAAACATTTCTCTGTTGATCACATTTTCTAATTTGCATCACCGTGTTCCCCTGAAAATAAACACTGTCCCCAATTTGCATCCTCCAGGAAACAGCTGGAACCATCAAAAAAGATGGAGGATGTTTTCCTTTGTCCTCTACTAAATCGTTTTATATCCATTTAACAGTGTTTGTTGGGCTCTCCTATGTGCCATGATGATTCAGGACATCATAACATCATGAGAGGTCATAGACCTGCACACTATATAGAAATCAGAAATGTCCTTTACACAGTGTGGATCTCCGTGTGTTGTTGAAAAGGTGGTTGTGACAATTTGCTCCAGGCATGCCCAGACCAGAATACTGACCACACACAATTACAACTTCTCTGTCAAATAGTGACAAATTGCTGTTTTCTTTTAGGCTTTTGTAATCTCTTCTAATCTGGAAAGTCTACAGAACATTGTCAGCAAAATGAAAACAGAATTAAAACAAGTTTTCTAAAACCTAGATTTAATAAATTAATTTGTGCATGCCAAATCAAACATTACATTACAATAAAAAAACTCAATGCTGCAGATTTAACCGCAACCACCTTACAAAAATACATCGGTAAAACATTAAAACAGAAATGCATGGAATTTGTATCAAACAAATTTAGCAAATAATCTGAAAACAGTGCAAGAAAAAAAAATACAAATAAATGAGAAGAAAGTGAGATATAAAAAGGCATTAAGCAGAGCAACTGTTTCACGAGCTCAGCTCATTAACATAATCCAATTATGTTGAACATAAAATCCAAATCACAATATTCTTACACCAGGGAAAAACATGCTAATTTACAATCACGACCCGTTGAAAAAGGAAAAGGCTTCAATAGATTATATTTTTCAGGATACCCCCGACAAAAACGGGGACACTCATGCAATAATTGACTTTTTGTCACACTGTAAACAATAAGCAGTAACTGTACAGATTAGCCAGTCTTACTGCTTTTACATTAGCAGACGATGGCCACAGTTGAAACTGTATTAAATTCCTTCATTTCTTTTTTTCTGTTCTTTGTACACAAAAAAGCACTAAGGAATTAATGAGGCTGCTAAAAACTTCACTTTTTTGTGTGTGGAAGATCCTTCCTATGGGAAATGCAGTTGACCTTTTCATTCTCCTTCAAAACAAAATGTCCTCATTTTTGATAAGCATTTCCACTACCAGTCTCTGATAACGGATGTCGTTTAATGCCGCCATGGCGTCTTGTTCTGGTGCCCGCATGAGAGTTGGTCCAAACACTATGCCAAGGTTTTCTGCATTCATTAAGTTATCCTTCTCATGAAGAGTCACTCTGCAGGGAGTACAAAATGATCTCTCATTATTTACGTTCTTAAACTGAACAGAGGGTTATTTGTAGGGCATTCCATGTCAAATATGCAAAACAGTCCCTGAAGCACGATACATATTTGTGACATTAATCCAAGGAAATGTTTTACTGTGTGTAGCTAAGCCAAAGTCCTTCTTTAGCCCAGCTAATGCGGAATTCTCAGCTTGCCTGGAAGCTTATTACGCTTGTGTTTAATGAGTTATGTACATACATTTGTGTTTCCCTCTGATGTGATGCTAGTTTATTTATTTTTTTAAAGCTGGATCTTCATAAGAAACTCAGTCACTATGTCCTGATAAACATATTACAACTATAATAGGACTATAAGTTCTAGAGAACCCTAATCACATACAGCACATCTTTAGCTCTGCATAGTCAAGGAGTGGCCAGTTGTATAATTCTATAAAATCTTGGAAATCTTTTACACCTCTAGTTCTTTTTCTCTTTCAGTAGTCTAAAGTTGTCTAGGCGTAAAATGTTAACAATTAAACAAGTATCGCTACCTGGCATCCAGGTCATTCATGTAATGCATATCCTTACCACAATCAAGTTGCTTAAAACTACATCTTGTTAAAATATACTTCCTTGTGAGAACAAATAACTCTACCTTTTTAAATGGCCCATGAGATATCTTAGTGTTTCACAGTGTGCAGGGGGAAGCAGCTTTAAGGCTTCATGCAGGGTCTCTAACTGTGTGTCAGGGTCCACAGCCTCTGTAATAAGAAAGTAAAATCTGTAAGGGGCACAGAATACACACATCAAAATGGCAGTACTGTATATACATCCAGGTTGTCATAAGGAAAGTATGAAAAGGAAAAAAATAAATAAAAAAACACAAACCACCTATAGACAGATATACTGCATCAAAGTCTACTCTTTTACTGAGAAACCACACAGGTTAGACTATGCTAAAAATAAATATATATATATATATACACACATTTATTTTACAGATCTCCTAGAGTGATCAGGACCTACAGCTAATTTCATCCAGGAGCAATGACAGAAACTTATAATAAAGATTGTTCCTATAACTAAATTAAAGGACGAATATATATATATGTAGTAGAACAGAAATACTGACACTCCAAAGTTTTAAGTTTTTCAATCTTTTTTTTTCCTATGGTCAACGTTTCAGCCCCTAAACGGAGCTTTCATCAGGGGCTGAAACGTCGACCATTGAAAAAAAAAAAAAAAGATAAACTTAAAACCTTGGAGTGCCGGTATTTTGGTTCTACTATATTTCCTATGTCACCAGAGCACCAGGTACAGAATATTTTTTAAGTTGGAGTGCAAGAGCTTCAAAGAAACTATATAGATAGATAGATAGATAGATAGGTGGGATATGTATTATCACAGTGGACATGTACTTACTTGCAGAATCTAGAAATTTGGGATAAGCATCATAGGTGATAAGTGGGATTGGGAGTTCTCTGAAGTACAGTTTCAGTGCACCGGTTATAATGTTGATGTCTTCATATACATTCACTGAAATATCAGCCTTTTCTCCATCTACAACAGCAAAAAACTATTTTTACTACGGAAAATTTCACTTCAGAGCCTCCATTATCTGACACGGAAACAAATTCCTGCATAGCTGTGACAAGGAAAATATAACTAAACAAATCTAAAAATAACGAAATAAAAAAAAGAAGTAAATACGTAACACAATCACAAAGTTCTCAGTAAACTGGGTCACTTAAAGGATACAATTAGCATCATCAATATTATAAGGAGAAGAAAAATATATACATTCTCAACATTTATAAAATCACATTTGTTTTTACTGATCCATATAACCAGTAGGAATATATGAAGAAATACATTTTGATTGTAATAAAAACATCATACGAAGACTAGCAATTATACATTAGTGAATTAACAAATCCGGAGAAAGTGGAATTACCACTCAAGATAATTTGGTGCAATCTTTGGCTGCCAACTAGGAAAAGACAAACTCATGTCCTCCCAACCACAAATTAATTAGTTTGGATAGGACTAGGGTATGGGGAAAAAAAAATAATCTGAAAATAAAATAAAGTTTCCCTAATTTTAACAGCAAGTAGATACCTAAAATATATACACTTCTGCTTCCAAAAGCTAAAAACTGTAGCTAAATGCAACTAAAATCTTAAGTCTTAAGAAGTCAAAGAATCTTGAAATGTATACCCTTTAAAACAGCTAGATTTGTCTCTTTCCCTCTACGATATTTTTCTAGAATCCTATATTATTCAGTTAGGAACCACTAGACAGTCATTCACATCCTATTTATAAAAATTGGTACATTATTTCTCTAACTTATCTTAATTCTAACCACAACCACTGAGTAAAAGAAGAGAGAGATGACTTGTATATTACCTCTATCAAAGGACATTTTGGCATCCTCAATGAGATCAGTAAAACCTGATATTCTGTACAATCCTTCTGACTGAAGACCTGTTGAGGAACAAACAGTTTTATTTTACTAACATCCACTTTAATAAGAAGAGCGTTGACTTACAATAAATGATTTAAACAACAAAGACAGATTCTGCTACAAATTTAGCCATTAATGTGTAATGCCTTTCATCTTATATTAGCAGGTAAACTATAGGATTCACCTATCAAGAGCTGCACATTTCCCTAAACTCCCCCAACTTACACAATCCCCAGATTCTGTGTCTGTTTAAGCATTGACCCCATTTACACTTGCTGAAAACAAAATAAATCTCTTACCTCTAGATTCGATTTCCCGTATGCACATGTCGACTACCATTGGCCGTTTAGAGTTGTGTGCTTTTACTAGCGTGGTAAGGTCACAACTGTAGACTTTTTTGACGTGTTTCAAGTCTGGCTTACAATCGTTAGGAACCATCTTGGAACATTGCTTGTGTACGTTCAATCCACAATCTGGAAAGGAAATTTAAAACAATATAACGGTTTTCAAATGTTCAATACAGGGGGTACAGTAAAGGAAATTAATATCCTGTCATTGGAAGTTTCAATTCTTTAAAGAAAATAGCAAACTAATGAGCAGATGTCATTTTTCTTTTAATATAAATTTAATATAGCCAAGTTGTTTTGTGACCAAGACATGTCTGAATTGTATAAACTAATGAACAAAAATAAAATGTTATAAACCAACAATTTGCAATTAAAAATGGAATAACACTGGCAATCTGGCATATTTCAATTTATATCTATTACCCTAAAACTAAGAGAGCTTTTGATTGTAATATAAATGCTAGTCGCATTTTATTTTTTTAGGTAAGAGTAAGTGAGGTTTTGCAAATCTGTTCACATAGCTGACCACTTTAAAACAAAACAAAAAAAACAAAATAGTCTGAATAGCTTGGAGTTGTATAAACATTGGGAATGCATTAATGGGGTAAAATACACAGACAAATACCCCAGTGTTCTTCAGCAGTTAATGGATACTGCAGAAGCATGAACAGCATTGCTTGTTAAATGGACAAGAACTGTCACATAGTGCCTGTCACAGAGGTGAAGACTGAAAGATTTTTAAGACAACATATCATTACAGACACTTAACATTTCAAACAAAGGAAAACAGCATTCTTCAGATGGTTTTAAAGAGCAACTTTTCCATGGCATGAGTGATGAGCGATCTTGTAATCAGTTATCTACTCCTCTTAAAAATGTCAAAGAAATGGAGAGCAATTTGATCTTTTAATTAAACTCAAGGTAACTCATAAAGCAATTAAAACCAGCATCTTATATTTGGGATTCTTTACATTCTGTGACATGGTCTACTGGTATGTTGAGGCTAAAGTACAGAGATGGTTATCTGTCAGCTGAAACTCTCAGCCTATGGGCTAAGTTCTGCACTGCAGGACTTCGCTCAGCAGAGCTAAAAAAACGGCTTTTTAGGAGCCCCTGGCTAGTAACTATCCTTGAGAAAGACACCTAACGATATAGATCAGTCTATCTCAAACCGTCATAGACTGTAAGCTCTTTTGAGCAGGGCTGTCTTCACCTCTAAATTTCCCTTATCTAGAATTGTAAAGCTGCAATATAGCGCTGCAGAATACATTGGTACTATATTCATGCAAATAACAACATATCAGTTTTTACTTTACTACAATCTGGTGTTTAATTATCATTTATATAGTGCCAATATATTCCACAGCGCATTACAATTATAAAATGGGGATATACAAGTAATTTACATACAGGATATAACAGAGAGGTGAAGAGGCACTGCTCAAACAAACTTACAAAATATATGAATAAAAGTCATAGTGTTTTGACAAAGTATAGATTTATAAAGGGACTTTTGGGTATGAATAATATAAAATTTCTTAGTTAACTTTAGAAACAATTTAATGAGCATATAAACATAAAGTAAGTCCTTCTGTTTCTTTGCACACCGATCTTCTGCCCTGGGCCCCCTGCAGTTAAACTGGTGACAGATGCCCGAATTACCCATTGTACCCAAATTCTCCAATTCATTAGAAACAGTCATTTTCTTAGAGCATAGCTCACATTCTGCCTGGATTCTTAAAGGTCAGAGCTGTGGTTACGCTATGGAGCTCTATTAACTATTTCACACATCAAGAGTCAGAAAAAAAAACACCCATACAAAGAAAATGCCGAATTCAAATGATGCATAATCCCGTCAAGGTGAATGTTTCATTTCCTGCAAGCTCTAAACAATGATTTGAATTCATTGTTTATGGAGATCAAACCTGTTATTTTGAGGTTGGAATGTACAGAGATAGAATGCAATATTTTCAAACTTTGATAATAATCATGAAACAAATCCTTGAGTTTGCATCAAAAGTCTGTTTGAATTCTGTGTGGAATACTCAATGTGATGATTATCAGACTTTCTATTCTACAATTATTTCCGCATTAACCCGAGCCATTGGTATTTTTTGTGAACAGGCTTTAAGTATATTCATATCCAAAATGTATTCAACTAAAAAACTTACAGTAATTTTGCCATGAGATCCATCAATTTCCTCCTCCCCATGAAATCCCTGCATGCTTAATCCTATTCACCATTATTCATCAACAGATCAAAAAATGGTTTAGGATATGCTCCTAAACATCCTGACACGGCAAGTTGTCATGGGTGCTAGGGAGGATAGCTCCACACTAAACAATGCAGAAAAGCCTGAAAGCTAGCTACACTGATTTTGTTGAACCAGTTAATCTATCTAGTTTGCATGTTTGTTTGATTTATGTTTTTTAAACACGTTCTTAATTTATTTCACATTTACCACATCTGCTGGAAGGCTGTCCCAAGTATCTACTATCCAAGTATCTAGCTGGGAAAGACAACTATTCCAGTATGGTTCATTTTCATAACAAATCCATCTTCACCAACAACTTTAAATTATGTCCCCTATTAGTCTAGAATGCTAATTGCGATAATTAAAAGTGAATATTTATAAACAAACAATGATGCACGTGTCATACTCAGAATGAGCCAAGAATTAACAAGGTGGATGAGTACACAAAGCAAAAACCTCTTTCATTCTATAGAGCCCCATTTTCAGTTGATGAGGTCTAAAGAATAGCATTCCTACGAGAATCAGACATGTGTTGTTTAAAAAGCATCATTTAAATAGGCAACATTCCGCTTCAACAAACTGAAACACATTAATGCATTTAAGGATATATAAGGGATCGGTACATACCTGCACACTTCACACCCTGAGCGATCAGTCCCCACATAAAGTTTGCACAGTATTCACACCAATGAGGACCCCTGAATGTGTGTACCTACAGGTTGGGAGAAACAGGCTATTAATTCACAATTCTATAATGCTTTCTGGATTTAATGACATCAGATGATTAAATTAATTGAACAAATGTAAGAACTCACATTTAATACATAAACACAGTGTTGTTACTTGTATTGCAGCTTTTTGTTATTGTGAATAAAGTGTTATCTTGATTAAATAATTGTCAAAGGCTGTTATGCTACAAACGTAAAGTTATTTAAAAAAAAAATAATAATTTTATTATATTAAGAACAGACACAGATATATAGATTACGACAAGCTGGGTAAAGTATATATATTAATATATATACGAGAAACTACAAACAAGTCTTTCATGGTAATGACATGTCAGCAAGTCAGGGAATAAAGTAGTTAGAGAACAGGTTATTCATCTCACAACGCATGATGGAGGCCTCTGTCTGTCTACATATCTCTCGTGTATGGAACAAATGAGCATTGATTCTTCCAGATGTGTGTGTAAAGGTGCAATAAAAATCTATTCATACCAGGAAGGATAAAACAGAAGAAAATGTGATTATACAGTATATATTTATGGTCTATGACCTTGTATGTCAACGATCAGCATATTTTTAATCTGTTTTCTCAGAGAGGGGCCAGAACTGTATTGGTATTCATTGCTTTACTGAAGCCCTGGCTGTCACAATTGTAAAAGATGACACACTAACAATGAACTGAAGACAATGTCTTGGGATGAATAAAAAAAACTTAAGAATAAGCAGGGTTTAGACGACAGAAGGTGACTTTTCATCTGCCAAAATATATAGATCCCTGTGACATAATCCAGTGCGATCTTGGTTCCCAGTATAATAATCTGTTAATAGAAACAGGTTTATTTTTTATGCTTATTTTAATCCTATTGTTAGACATTGGCATATCAAGAAGCGGTATCAACAGGCAGTAAGTGCTTTAAGAGGACCTGTCAAGCACAAATGTGAAGATGACATGGTTGGCTTTATGGAATTAAATTGCTAGAGATTATACTCTATAGTTAGCGGATGTCTCAATCCACTTCACTGCGCCCGGGTATGTTCTTTCATATAATGCTAGTCATGGTATCCCATAATACTTCGTGCAATGGTTCTAATGTAATGGACTTGGCGACCCATTCTACCGTTGGAAGATTGGATTGCAATATAAATAATAATAATAAAAAAACACTTTCATTAAATTTCCCACTGTGAGGGAGTCTCCACTGCACTCAGAAAAGCTGCAACGCAACAATAAACATCTAGTAATACAGTCGCCTAGGGTCTGGATGAATACTACAAGCCTGTTCCAAAACTTGCATAATTTATTTATGAAAATGTACACACACTCATGGCAACATAAAATCTCACAATGACATGAAGTGGCACTATGTGTTTTTGTTTTCGGCATGGCAATCTAATTGTAGTCCTGGCCTGGGCTGATATGTTGAAGCTCTGGAAGCCGACGGCCATGTTGTGGCGCTGTTGGAGGGGCAACCTCAAACAGTCCCTTATGAAATCAGCTATATCAATGCTATGTCCGCTGCAATCTTGATTTTCACAGTTCTAACCACTTTCAGGACCACACCAAATGAATCTACTCATTTAATCATACTGTTGCGCGAGTGTTTGCAATATTCTCAAAGAAGCAGCAGACTGTTTATTTAAGGGATGTCCTAAAAGCACGCCCAGGGGAGAGTTCCCAAAAATACCTTTATAGTTTTGACATTTCTACACTAGGAACAACCAGGTAAAATAGTTATAAACTAAAAAGCGCTAGATAAAAAGGCTAGCAGCGGGGGGGCGTGGCCTAACCACAGAAGCGAACAGTCGCATGGCCTCTGAGCTCCGGCTAAACTACGGACAAAACCCTAAAAATAGAGGTGACCCGCAACCAAACAACACCCAAGTAACCCCCACTGTATACCTCATGGGCAAGAAAACCAAAAAACTAAAGCCCGACCGACCTCGGCAGGGACACAGCATCGGAGACCTCTGGCGGCAGGCACATGGCGCCCAAGAGAGTAAGATGGCGTCCCTCCTTGGAGGATGCTCTGACTTCTCCGACGGGGCTTCGGAGGAAGAAGAGGGAAGCCTCACGCCAGCAATGGTGCGGCAACCGGCAGAACGAGCGGCACCCCTGCACCGGACACCCGACACCGGCCCGGTGACACTAACGGCCATCAGGGAGATCATGGCGGACCTCCAACTGAAAATCTCGGCGGACGTGGCCTTGATTCGGGAGGATCTGCGAGGCCTGACGGGCCGCCTCGGTGAGGTAGAACACAAAACACAAAACCATACACAACAAATTAAAGAGCTGGAAAAAAGGGTGGAAGAGCTCACACAACAGGGCACTGCCTATGAAGGCAGATTCGACACCCTAGAAGACAAGCGGAGACAGAAGAACATAAAACTCAGAGGAGTCTCCGAGACAGTTCCACCTGAGGAACTCCCCCATTTTGCTAGACGACTCCTAGCAGCTATACTCACACCAAAACAGGCTAGGGCAGTGCCTCTGGAAGGCATATTCCGACTTCCAAAACCAGCCAAGGCATCACCCACAGCCTCAGGCGACCTAGTGATGCAATTCCAGGGTCTCAGGGACAAAGCAGCCGTGATGACAGCCATCAGAGGGCAAACACCATACAACTTTGAAGGGATGTCCATAACCTTCTTTGCGGATCTCTCCGGGGGAACCCTCGCCTGGCGACGGTCACTCCGACCTCTAACCTCCCTCCTACGCAAGAAAACTATCAGCTACCGATGGAGCCAGGCTCGGACGCTGCTGATCAAAAGCGGTGAAACCACCATTACCATACGAGACCTGCCAGACGCAACACACCACCTGCAGGCACTGGGCCTCCCCCCGGATTCGCTGGGCCCGACAAACCCTCATGGCTGGGATCCTGCGGCCACCCGTGACTTTATACCCAGGGACACAGCTTCAGCCCCCCGAGCTAGGGCCACGACCTGAACCCAGAAGATCGGGTTGACTCCCGGACGACACCCAGAGAGGTTGCCCTATCTCCACCACAATACTCACCCAACGTTGCCAATACATCCCTGCACCAACTAGGCCACTCACATACCGATCAGACGACCTATGCCCACACCCGACTGGTACAGACAGATACCTAGACAGATCGAACCAGTCAGCTCCTGCTCACGGTACCCCTTACTATACCATGACTAAGTACATTGAGCATCCACCTCATAGCAGTAAGAGGATATATATATGCTATGCGTGACAATTACCCTACCAATGTTACTCTCATGTCTCACCAGTGTTCTTGCAAATATATATTAGAAAATTGAAACAGGACTGAACTAGCTAAATCTTAGATTAAAATAAAATAATGCAAGATTTAACATGTACCCTACTGTTGCAAATATTGTTGAAAAGCATGTGGATTGCCGTTGGGGTACCACATGCACGCTGTGTTAACTAAATGCACTGCAAAAATAAAGAATTGAGAAAAAAAAAAAAGGCTAGCAGCATGGAGGCCACATTTCCTGCAGTATTACGGTCTGCCTGTTATATTGTTTGTCATATTACAGAGTCCATTAAGACTCTGCTAACTGATGTAATAAAAAAAAGAAAAAAAACAACTGGCTCTGATAAATGTCTTGCCAACAAGGAATATCAAACTTCCCTTATTCCAAGTCTGCCACAGCAGTCAAGGCCTAGGCCAACTTCAAATTACATATCATGGCAGCTTCGTAAATTGGGATATATGGCGGCAATTGAGTGATTATTCTGTCAGCTTTGTGCAAGTCTGACAATTTTATATTACAAATGCCATTCCGAAAATGACTGCATACATTATCTAAAAATTGGTTTATGATTATAGAGCCAACATGTGTCATGGCCCACAGAGAGTTTTATGTCGTATATATGGTGACAGCTGTCTTGTGGAGAACGTTAGTGGTGGGATTCAAGAGAATGACGCGCACTCGAGAGGTTGCACGGTAACTAATACATCGTGAAGGATGGTTGGAACCCCCAAGCTGTCATTTTGCATATAAAACATCTCTATGCAAATAAATGTAATACTGAATTCATTCATTCTTCTTTTTAATATGCCTAGCAGTCAAAGTGTATGCCACAGCTAATTATTATCTGAAGACAAAATTCTAACGTGCACCCAATACAATACACATCACTTTAAATAGAGGTTAAGGCTAGTTTCGGCTTCCTCCATAATAGACACTTGTTAGCTAGTGAGGCCACTTAATTATTCCCAGAGAAAAGCTAAATGAAATTAGGCCATCTGGCCTATCTGCACAGAAACACATATGCTTACTCTGAATAGTGTGCTTGGAAATATATTGACCCACAGTCATTATTGCAGTGGGGGCTGTATGTGGGAGATTGGGCTTGTGCAATTGAAATGATTCATTATTTGCACATGACTAAATAAAAAATTGGTTTGTGAAGGCATCATACTAAATCAATAACAAGCATTATGTGCCAGACTTAAAGGGACACTTCAGGCTCTTAACCCTCAATGTATGTATTCTGTCAAAATGTTTGCTGCAAATTACCAAGAGCTACTGTTTTTGCAGAGGCTGACACCTTTAGCCAGTTCAGGAGCTCCATGCGCAGAATTTATTTTTGTTATATGTAGTTCACCTGTTAGCTTTCTACTAAAAGTTGCAGACTGCAAAGACTATTCTTTTGCAATTAACTAGAGACGTTAAAAAAACGTTTTAAAAAAAACACAAAAATAAATAAATTAGCTATACAGGTAATAAAGGACCCCCCGCCCCCAATTCCCCCACTTTAAACTAACTGTATATAGATACGTTGCACCTGTAAAAAGTCTCTAAGGTTGGGGGAGGCTATGTTGCCAATTAGGATAAAACAGCGGTACATGATGACATCACATACAACTGTACTATTGCATCAAAAAGGGAAAAAAATGGGAAAAGCTGCAGATTCAGAGGAAGGGTCAGAGAGACTACACCATATTTATATTATTGGATGGAAAAAAACTGCTACAGGTTGCAGAGATTATATATGGAAGACTGCAGAGTCCCTTTAACTCCAATGGGACGGACATCAAACTTGCAGGGTTAGCGTCTAAACTCCAGGAATTTTCCTTCTATTTCAAAAGTTTTAGCCAAAGCAGCAGATTTAGAACCATTCTCCAACTGGGTTATTGTGCCAAACAATTTGCAATTCTCAACATATTCCCCAGTTTAAATAAACCTTACATCACAAGTCCAACAATGTTAACAGATATGTGAACCTAGGTGTTTAATCTGATTTATGGGTCTTTGAAATTAGGATTAAGGATTTTTATGTAATCAGTTAACAAATTATCAAACGCTTTACCATATGTAACATAAAGGGAAAAGCAAACATTCCATCATAATTTATCAAGAGTGGAACCTTCATCAACAGAAAGTGGCTTTGTGTGTGTTGGATAAGGCCTACACTATCGTTGGCATAACCTTGGAGACAAAATGTAGTTAAGAAAAATATTAAAGTGTGTTGTGCAGGAACATTTTTATGCTTTTGTTTGAGAATATTTCTGCCCAGCTTATAACAAAGATATGTATGTTTTTAGCATAACACAGTGTTCAAAATCTGTCTATGTTGTTTTTTTCACGTGTCCTGTTTTGGATTTATTCTTGTGTCAACGAGACTTCGTGTGCTTTGAATAAGAAGGGCCGCAAGATAAAGTAGCCGTTATGTTATCTCAGCAATAGTTTTAATACAGGACAAAAACTATACACGGAAAGACACAGACACACAGACACACACACGTATATATATAGTAATGACAGTGTGTGGTGTAAACAGGAAAAGTGCATTGAACCTACTGCATACTTCTATTGTGTACATTCAATTTACGTGTTTCTGTGCCAAATACAAAGAGAGAAAAAAAAACAACAAAAAAACTGTATAAGTTAATAATGAGAGATAAAGAGGAAAATGAAATCTTACCTTAAAATTATGAACTTTTTCATACTTGGGAGCCTGTTCGTTCTCCTTTAACGTTGCTCGTCTTACGAGTGATGTCAACTGTGAATAAGCAAAGAGTTTCAGAGGTTGCCAGATTGTTGTAGACGCCTTACTAGAGTTCAGTTTCATCCCTAGCGCAGTGACCAACAGATCGTGCTGTTGGTGTTCGTGCTTTTTGGCGTGAACTGTGCATTTATGAGTCTTAAGATTGTACTCCCGTGATGGCATTTTAGACAGTCAAAATCAAACAAGCTCAGCTTGTATTATTTAACAATGGTGCGATAAATGAAAAAAGAAAAATTAATTAAAAATGTATACGTCCGTTTTGCTTTCGGAATGAACCGTATAAAAGAGAATAAATTAATCACAGCTGCATAACCACAAGCATCTAATAAATTAAATTATTGAGGGCTTCTTCTATTCCAGAAAAGAAATCTTTACAGAAAGAAAAATAGGTGCACCGTGAGCCTCAAATGTCTCAGATTCCCTTTCTTTCCCATTTAAATAGGAACAGTCTAGGCATCAGTTATATGGATCCAGGGGACGGTCAGAGAAGCTGATAATCTAGCCAGCATTGTGAGCCAGCAACAGGGAATGCAGGTTTTTGTAGTCAAGCTGATTTAAGCTACTTCACAATAAGAGGAAATCTAACCAATAGTTGGGAGCAGACAGTCCTTTTCTAGTCATCTCCCTCCCCCGTTCTCCCTACGCAAGAATCTCTTACATGTTTAACCTTTTAAATGCTGCAATTGCTGAACAGCAGCAATTGAAAGATGCAGATTGGTTGCCTAGCCCATACAATTTTATAGAGTGGGAACATTATGAGAGGTGAATGAGTAACGCTTGATTGAAAATTGGCATTTTTAATCAAAGTACCGTTTTCTTTATAACAGCATCATGCTCGCTTAAAACATTGAAGTACCAAAACCAAATTTTGCTTCTAAAGTGTGCTCATTCTAAAGAATGAGGCACGTTCAGTAATAAAAAACAAAAAACAAAAACAAAAAAACCCTCATCTATTAACCTCATAAGCATTAGGAGTAAAACATTTTGGTTAATTAATGGCAGAATAAGAAATAGTAATTAAGCATAATGGTTAATGGACGTAATGGACCCAAGGGCTTCTTTGCAGTTTTTTCCCAAAAAGGGGGAGATATTTGGAATTGGAGATGGGGATTTGAAGGGGAATGATACAAGATTCTATATTTAAAAAAAAAAAAGAGGTTTTTTTTAAGCATCAGTCTTACACGTAATTCAAAGAACTAAGGGGTCCATTATTGACTTATAATCACTAGCCCATTATCCAAGTTTTCAGCTTGAAAAAAAATAAAATGGAAATTTGTAATATTTTTATCATCAGAGCGTTGTGATAGCTGTTCAGAGAGCAGCGATTAGGGAATTGTATCAAGAGGAAACGTGTAAACATTTACCTTGTATGGATACGGCAATGCTAAAAACAGTTTACATGATTAACCCCTTAAGGACGGAGCCAAATGTACACGTTGTGAACAAAACAAAATGTAAACAAAACCTGGCATTTGCGCTACATGTCTGTCCAACCGTAATTCACCTCTTTCATAGTAAATGCACCCACCCTTATTTTATATCATTTTATTCAGGGGAAACAGGGCTTTAATTTAATATCAAATATTTAGCTGTGAAACATAATTTAATATGAAAAAAACAAGATTTATTTTTTATTTTTTTAGTTCTACATGACATTTTTACTGTCAATGTCATAATACTGTTTGCTTTTACTGCAATAAAATACACATATCTGTATTCAGCAAAGTCTCACGTGTAAAACAGTACCCCCTATGTACAGGTTTTATGGCGTTTTGGGCACGTTACATTTGAAACTGAAATTCGCCAAATAGGTCATGTTGCCTTTGAGACTGTATAGTAGCCCAGGAATGAAATTTACACCCATAATGGCATACCATTTGCAATAGTAGACATCCCAAGGTATTGCAAATGGGGTATGTCCAGTCTTTTTTTAGTACCCATTTGGTCATAAACACTGGCCAAAGTTAGCGTTAATATTTGTTTGTGAAAAATGCAAAAAACACCAATTTTGGCCAGTGTTTGTGACTAAGTGGCTACTAAAAAAGACTGGACATACCCCGTTTGCAATACCTTGGGTTGTCTTCTTTTGCAAATGGTATGCCATCATAGGGGTAATTTAAATTCTTGGGCTACCATAGGGTCTCAAAGGCAACCTAACCAATTTGTCAGGCAGGTCCCGCTAATTGTAATTAATTAAGATACCTAATTATGTAAAAATATTACATAAATATTTATGTAGAATATATATATATATATATATATATATATATATATATATATATATATATAAAAATTTAAAATATTTTTATTTAGATATAGGTATTTATATAGTGATATATACGTATATATTTATGTATATAGATATATATTATTTCGTTCTACGTGTATTTTGATATAAATATATATTAATATCACAATACAGTTAGAACAAAATAACACATCTATATATTTTTTAATTATTTTAATTTTATTTTTTAACATATTTACATATTTATTTTTTTATATTAGATATAAATATATATTTAATCAGTATCAGTCTACGTGTAATTTGATATTATATATATATATATATATATAATTATATATATTAATAGTAAAATACACCTAGACAGTGTATGTATGTGTATGTATATACTTAGATCATATATATATATATATATATATATATATATATGTGATTTTTTTTTTTTTACACTTTATTAACTTTATTTGAATTCAGCCAGCAGGGGGACTATCTGTCATTACAGGCTGGCAATACAGCAGCCAGCTAACCCAGCCATGTGATTGTGAGGTCCTTGCAAGGACCTCACTCTCACATGGCTGGGGGGGCTGCAGGAGGTCGGACGTGCCGCGGGGGGCTCCCTGGGCTTACCGGGTAAGTAAAAAAAAAAAAAAACGGAGGGCGTACTATTACGCCCGGCAGCGTTTAGAGCCGCCTAAAATAGGACGTAATAGTACGCCCTCCGGCGTTAAGGGGTTAAACAAGATTTATGTTTACTAGGAATTTAATTTTAATAGAACATCTCAATAAGATTTGCACGTATCAAGGGTGTCCAACTAGGCCGGTATAGAATAACCTAATTGGATAAATAATAAAAGATGTGTAGAAAAAACATCTTTAAATGCTGCATTAGGTAGGGTGAAGATTGCAAACTGGAATCTGTATTTGATTTAATAGATTTCCAACATATACATTTTTCAGGGTCATTCATTACGGTTTCAGGGATGTGAACATTGTGTCAATACGTCAAATATATCCAAACTTATGTCTGTCAATTCTGAATGTAATGTTCAGGTGCAAAATTTTACATCTGAGATACAAGCATATCAGAATTTACAGTAGCTTTACAGTGTTGGATTTTTAAAACATATTTAATATATCCATGTGATATGTACATATAGGAGATTCCATGTGCGTTCATGTGATTTTTCCCATAATTCCTATTTTCTATTTTCAATGAAACTCCCAATCACTTTTTCCCCACCATAACTCTCTTGGTTTGTGCTCAACAAGTATGCCAGGCCTCCGTAGCAAGCCAGTAGCCAACCTCATGCTGATTAGTTGCATTAACAACAAAGCAGCTGTCCATGAGTGGTTCACTGGCTTTGCATCTCTTCCTGAGTTGTGTGTCAAAGTTGTTGTATACAGCAAACAAACTCCAAGGACTCCATCTTTAAAATAGAATAATGAGGCAAAACGGATTCATTGTTGAACTAATTTGCATATGCCCACCCAGAATCCCTTGCAGCAGAAACATCACTGAAAAGTTGAGATTTCTGTGGGAAATGCAAGTGTTATGGCGTGACTGGTGTGCAGACAGTGTTAACAATGTATTGACTACCCACTGACTTCGGGTAGAAGGGGTTTTCAATCACTTTTGTTCCCTACCATAACTCTATTAGTTATATATATATAGTTATATATATTTTTAGTACCAGTAATTCCCTTAACACAACGTTTAGAGGAAATGTATTTCTATAATTTAACAAGAAGCTGCAAATAAGATGCATGGAAAATTAAAATTTCAATATTATAATGTAAACTTTTGTCAGCTGACGCAGTAAAAAGTAGTTTTGCGTACAATGTGCAGCAAATCACAGCAATATACAGAGTCCTGAGAAATTCTTCAGAAAGGAGAAGATTTTTTTGACTTACTGCAGGAACGGGGGATTACATTGCTTCCACGAATATGGTTAGTCATACTTCCTAACCTGCACTGCTTCCTTTATTGTCTTTGGTAACAAACTTTGACAAAGTGCAGAGATTATAACGAAGACAGGTTTTTTTTCTCTTCCGATCTCTATTCCACTTAGTTTCCACTGGCTTTTGGTTTCTGGTATGCGTCTCAAAACAATATCAGAAATCATTTTTATTTTTTTTTTACAAAACAATAGGCAGCTCTAAAAGTAAATAAATAATCCTCATTCACAGCTTTTATTACAAAGGGTATATAAATATCCTTCATTCACTGATTTTACAATAATCAAAATCACTAGCAAATGTTCAAATAAACATATGAAAACTGGTTATTTACTACCAAGTTCTTCTATGTTTGGGGGAAATTTTCCCGAACATAGAATTATGGGATTCCCTGCTCTGGTGCGTATGTCTGTGTTCAGGGACATTTCCCCGAAAATAGACAAATGCACAAGTGCAGGGAATGCCTCTAATCTATGCTCAGTGAAATTTCCCCGAACATAGATTACAGGGATTCCCTGCTCTGTTGAGTTTGTCTATATTTGGGGAAATATCCCAGAACATAAAAGAACGCAGCAAAGCAGGGAATCCCTCTAATTCCTTAGATGGCTTGCACTTACCACCCCGCGAGAGAGCTGCTCGTAAGTGCGAGCCGTCGTAAAACAGGTAGGTTGCAAAATGAGGACTACCTGTAGTGCATATCAATATACATGGCATCTACACACTCTTCTGGTGAGTGGAAATTCAGTTCTGGCAAGTAGAAATTCACCCTTGGTGACTGAGCCAAGCACACTAAGCATACAGTGGCAAGTAACCTTTAGGCCTAGCTAGTAGTGTAGGACTTTAAAGCGCTGAAAACATACATACATACTTATATCCATCCATCTATCTAGGGGGAGACTATATTTAAATAGTAAAGACTACCACAACAAGAGAACATAGTCTTAAATTAGAGGGGCAAAGGTTTAAAAATAATATCAGGAAGTATTACTTTACTGAGAGGGTAGTGGATGCATGGAATAGCCTTCCTGCTGAAGTGGTTGAGGTTAACACAGTGAAGGCGTTAAAGCATGCGTGGGATATGCATTAGGCTATCCTAGATATAAGATAAGGCCAGGGACTAATGAAAGTATTTAGAAAATTGGGCAGACTAGATGGGCCGAATGGTTCTTATCTGCCGTCACATTCTAGGTTTCTCTCTACCAACACAAAATGTGGCAGACGGCAAATAACAGGACTCTTTGCAAATAATATCTGTATATTAACCTACACAAGTTTATTGTGGACATATTTCACTAGACAAACTCTCTATGAAAGAGACTTGCTTAAAATACCCTTATTATATGGTCATCATCAAAGAAAACTAACCACTGATTAATATCAATCCATCAAATCAATTTGCTTCCCCATCCAAGTTTCATCTAATATTTCTATTTTCAGGGTTGTTCCACTGTGCCAAGGGACACATGAGATCTGCAAACAGATCTTCCCCTAATTTCTACATTTGATACACTCTTCCTCCTTTTAATTACAGTTTGATAACTTTTTGGGTAAAACAGACAATGTACAGCAGATGATGAGCAAAGACTTATTCAATTGGACAATTAAATGTTTTCTTCAAGAAATCATGACATTCTCGAAACAATAGAACTGATCCTTGCCTTCAGTATTGTTTTAAATACATTCTATTTCTATGTGTAACTTTAATTATGTTCTATCCTTTCAGGGTTTGAGGTACACATAAGAGTGAGGATCAAAATATGTTTTTCTGACCTACATAGCTTTTATTGCATATGCATGAGATTCCAAAATGACATTCGCCCGCCTTCATACTCTGTATTTTAGAGGAACAGAGGCGGTGGTGAGAATGGGTACTGCCAAACAATCCAGTTTGTTTCACAATACCTATACAACACCAGTTGTCTACACAAATTGCAGACCAAACCCCCTTCCTAATCCCCCAACACAACAGATTATTTTTGTAATATATCAAGCGCATCTAATTAATTTTCCCAAGTAGTACAATAAATCTGCCACAGATGGCAAGCTTGCTTAATAGGAAGAATAACAAGCTATCAAATGTATAGATCATACATTATTTACTTACTGGAGCATATGCAAAGACAATGAAATATGGATCCGCAAATAGTGCATTGCATTACAGATAGACTGAACAGGATTAGACAGTATTTAAGGTATCTTTAGAGTCTAGCTGATAAGAGTAAGCACTATATGGTATATGGTATAGATGCTGAATGTTTTAAATGTTCATCTACTGCTTGAAATTTTGCATCTGACCGTTTTGTCTAGTTTTGTGAGGAGGGTAGGGAGCCACAGTAGCAAAAAGCTCCAAGTTGTTGCCTGTTGTGGAAGAAGAATCAGATATTCCTGTCGGTTGATGAGGTTAATGGACATTGCTTCAGTCAATATCTCTCTCAATTATTTTCCATGTGCAGACATGCAATACGTCGGCCTTCAAGACCGTTCTAATTAATTACATGACATTAAGCTGCTGTTGTGCTATAATGACTATAAGATGAGAATGTTCATGTTGGATAAACAGCTTACATGACAAAATAAAGAACAATGTAAGCAATCATATAAAAAAAAAAAAAAGACACCCTTTCAGTTCTAACAATATTTTAATGTATTGATTAGGTCTCTCCACAGTATCCGCTGCATTCATCTCCTTGCTACATGATTCAGTGTGTTATGGGCTGTCCTCCTCTGACCTGGTAACACATACCACCAAATGCTGGGAGGTGTAGATCGAGAGGGCAGGGAAGGAATGTCTGCCATGTGATGCTTGCAGTCGCAACAGGTTAGTATCATTCCTGTCAGTGCAAATGTATTCAAGGATGACAGAAAGCTCTAAAGACAACCAATCAAGGTGGCTCCTGTACAGATCACTGCTGAAGCATTCTGTTTTGAGCAGCAATGCACTTTAAATGCGTTGCCTTGCCGTGCTCTTTAACTCTGGTCTTTCCTTCATCCCTTACATAGAATCTATCACCAAATGCGGTCTCTTCCTCCTTAAAAATATTTCTCACATTCAATCTTTTCTCACTCAGGATGCAAACAGTACACTAGTTGATTCCCTCCTTATTTATTGTAACCCTCTGCCTGTTGGACCCTCTGCCTCTACAGTCCGTAATGAATGCCTCTGCCAGACTTATCCAAGACTTACATCCAAGAATTCTCAAACCACAGCGCTCTGTCAATCCCTAAACTAGCTTCCGCTTTCAATTGAGATTTGGTTCAAAGTTCTTGTGCTTACTTACAAAACTCTCCATAACCGTGCCCTGTTTGATTACAATCCTGTTACAATCCCATTCTTGTACCTGAAACCCAGACTCTCGCCTGCAGGACTTCTTCAGGGATGCCAACCCTTATGGAATGCCCTCCCATGGGATATAGGACACTCACCGTTTCTGCAGTTCTTTAAAAAATTCTTAAAAACACATACGGTACTTCTTTAAAAATGCCTTTCAGGTCTCCCCTTAAATTAACTCTTTAGGGTCAGGAACACAACCATGTATGCCTGAACCTATAGTGGTAAACCCACCATTTAGTCTATGTTATGTTTGCTATGTTTATAAAAAAAAAAGGGATAACCCTACCTAGACCTGGTAACCAGACCACTTCATTAAGTGGAAGTGTTCTGGGTGCCTATAGTGGTCCTTTAAAGATGGATAGGTATAGCACAGTACATGGTAAGAGACATTAACAGGAATAATATGGATTGTACTGTGAGAATTTTGCATTGAGTGGCTTGCCGATGAGGAAGCCCATTTTATAGGGTAATTATAATGTTGAGCGGAGATGTCTACTTAATTGGGGACATAACACATTCAAACATAGGATAACTGCTAGACATGGTGAATAACTGTTAGCTGAGTAATGCCACTGGGTGTCAAATGCTTGGGGAATTGGTGCACAGGGTCACAATGAGATTATTGCCCACAGAAAGTTAAAGGGCTGCAGACAAGAAATAAGTAAATAAGGGTTTCAGCCTACTCCTTTCATATAGTGAATGTAGCCGGGTAACCTAGGTCCCAGGAAGGTGGTGTGTAAGGTAAGTCTAGTTATTTGTTTGTTATAGGGGGGTAGGCTGTCCATGCTTGGCCCTTTTACAGTCGCCCTATTCGAGGCAGTCTTCGGCTCCCTGTCCCCGTATCCCTGAGTGGTCTGTATGAGTTTGTCCTCTCTCTAGTGTTGGACGATGTACATTTTGAGGCATTAAGATAATTATGACATGCAATGTCTGGGCAGATAGCATCAACAACGGAACATAAGATTAAAATCGAAACTAAAATTAAAATTAAAACTCAGCAGTATAGTCGGACAGTTATGGTAGTCTGTTCCCCTGTATACACCTCCCTGACTCAGGTGCCCGTTGGTTGGCGGCCAACCCTCTGCGCTCTGAATGCGGTGGAGGTCCCAATCGGCTGGAACGGTTGTATTTTGGTCATGTCCCAGACGTGAGGGGGCTGCTGTCTTGCAGCTTGGGTGGTTGGTGCTGGGTATGTCGCTAAACACCAGAGCTATCAGCACTAAGTCCATTTCTGCTGCATCTGTTAAGCGGGTTGTGGCTCCCTCATGGGAGATGACCAGGTTTCTGGGGAATGTCCACCGGTATGGGATGGAGTGGTGGCGGAGTGTGGTGGTCAGTGGTTTGAATCGGCTTCTCCAGAGCACCGTAGGCCTGGACAAGTCCCGGTAGAAAAACAAGGTGGCTTTTTCAAAAAGGTGATTAGCTTTTTCTCTCACCGCTGTCATAAGGGTTAATTGAGCTGACCGTGTCTGTAGTTGTAGTATGACATCCCTTGGGGTGTCTGCTGGGGCTCTGGCGGCTCTCGGGATGCGGTAGACCCCGTCGATCACGGCAAGGTTTGCTTGGTGTGGTGTGAGTAAGGAGGCAATTTGTATCCTGGAGTACTGCGGTAAGTCGCTCGGGGTCACTGTCTCCGGGATTCCCCGGATTTTTAAATTTCTGCTCCTGTGCCGATCTTCTAGTGCGTCGAGGCGGCTGGTAAGATGAGACTGGTTGCGCTGCAGCTCAGTATTTTGGGCTTCCAGCTGTATGCATCGGGCTGTTAGGTCTTAGTTTCCCTCCATAGTCTTGACTCTCCCCTCCACAGTTTGTATTTCCTCACGCAGTGTAGCTATATCTGCAGCGAACATCATGCGGAGGAGGGCATTAATATCTCCTTTCGTGGAGGGTAGCTCGCAATCCTCGTCGGAGGAGGGGTGGTGTAAGCCTCCAGAGCCCGGGAACTCATCCAGCTCATCCATTGCTTGTTCCTCGGAGGAGGCAGAGGTCGCGTTGGCCATTTTGTTTTGGCGCGGTGAGGCCTGAGGCCTTTGCGGGACGAAGGAGAAGGTCCCCAATGTCGCGTGCCCCAGCTGGTTTTGCGGTTCCCTGGTGCTTGGATTTCTTCCCCATCCTGCGTTATCGTAGTGGGGGTTGAAAAATGGTACTTTTAGGGTGAATAAATCACTTGTTTCAGGCTTATTTTGGCGGAGCTCTGCTGACACGTGTGTGCTCGGGTTAGCTGCTGGCTTCGCCCTCCCACTTATACTCACTCTTAAACACTCATTAAAAAAATTATTATATAAAAAAAAAAAAAATAACCATGACAGATACATTTTGATTGTTACCAATGATACACCACTGCAAGCAAATGAAAGAAATATAAACATTCAGTTACAAAAAAGGAAAAGAAATCCCACCCAGTGTAATAATCTCAGAAAAAGAATGTCCATGTTGAAAACAAAAAATGAGATACGTATACATTAAATACCACGTTTCTACTTGTTCCAGGGACACGCAGAGTATAGACTGTGTATAGACAGTGTTCAATCTAAATATATCAAAGCATAATAATGAAATCAACATGTTTCCCATAAGCAGTACTATTCATCTTGTTGATAAGGTCTTCCTGTTCCGTAACCAGTCTAAAGTTATTTCCCAGCAGGTTTCCGACTGGAAAAATGACATTGCTGTATTTGTGACTGTATTCCAATGCATTCTAAGCAGCCATAGCAACAAGTAAGAGATGGAAAAGCGGAAATGTCTATAATATAAATTTTTTGTAGACAATATTAAAAAAACAAAACGTTTAGAACCAACCACCCTTCAGAGCAAAAGATCACCGAACATGATATCAAAAGAATGTGCTTTGGCATGTGCATACAACTCCCTGAACAGAGGATGTACATAAAAAAATGTTCTTATTATCTTGTATCCAATAAACATTCATTGCTCCACTGAGATAGGGTCTATCAGCAGTGTTTACAAAACTTCACAAGTCTGTTACTATTTAATACTAATTTACCCTTGCTACTCAACAAGAGGTGTATTGACATTTTAGGCTGCCCTTGGCCTAGTTAAACGCTTAGTGCCCGGCACTTTTTATTATCACTATACAGCACTAGAGCGTGGCGGAGACACACACTAAATATATTTTAAAAAATACACCCCGATACTTGGAATGTTTTTACTTAGAAACTCTAATGACACTCCATTGTCAACAGCTTTTCTGAACGAGATTCTTCGTATAAAAACCAGTCGTGTGATGAATTTTGACTTACGAGAGACATCTCTAGAAAAGCTACCTCTTCATACCATGTTACAGTCCTGGGTTTGGAAGTCAATAGCAAATTTAGGCTCCTGTCCCCACCATTATCATACTACAAACACTTCTTTGGATGCAGTTCCATTGTGCAGAGTAATCTGTACATTGAACTCGAATCAGATCACTTTAGCAACTCTCTGCACATCAGAGGCCCTGCAACATACCCGTGACACACTATCCATTTTAAAAAGTGTCAGGGGATGTTGCAGGGCTGGACTATGCCTCCCAAGATGCTCTTACAACCGTAATGCCGACAAAGCATATGGGGAGTAGAGATGTCGCAAACCGTTCGCGAACTTCCCGCGAACAGCTCGAGCTCCGGTCAGCTGACACATCCCGGCCAATCTCCAGCAGACCCTCCCACCTCCTGAACAGCATCCATGTTGAAGGCAGCTTCAACATGGATGCTGTCCAGGAGGTGGGAGGGTCTGCTGGAGATTGGCCGGGATGTGTCAGCTGACCGGAGCTCGCCACGAACCACGGCGAGCCGTTCGCGGGAAGTTCGCGAACGGTTCGCGACATCACTAATGGGGAGATATGGTCCACAACATCTGGAGTGACGAAGGTTGCTTGCCTTGATCTAGAGGTACGAGAAGGAATTAGCCTAATAAATTAGTGTGAAGTATCTGTAAAAAACAGAAAATTCTTATCTTGTAATACCTTTTTTATTGGACTAACAGAATTTTTTAATGACAAGCTTTCGGGAGAACCTCCCTTTCCCAGGTCTGAAGCATTTCTCAGTAGACAAACATTGTCATTAGAAATGCTTAGAGTCCATAAACAGGTGAGGAGATATCTGAAAATAGACCAAAGATGACAAAATACAGCTGCCCCATAGAGCAACGGTAAGCCAGGTGGTAAACTGAAAAGAGTTTTTTACTTGTGTGTAGACAGTGTAAAATAAAACACACAGACAGGCCCCCATAGCAGTCCTGATATTGTCGAGATAGTCCCACCTTCCCGATTAAAAGTTCCCTTGTGTCCTGCGTCTGGGGACACCAGGGATGTTTCCTCTGGCATCACTAGATGTGCACAGGCGTTTCAGCAGCCCTCTCTACAACGAACTACAGGTCAGAGGCTGATCAAACAGGCACCTTCAGTGGTCGCTTCATCAATGATGACGCCACCCTTTGTCCTGCCCACACCGTCCTGATCTCATACCACCCAATATGAGGATTTTCCTTTAAGTTAAAAAAAGCTGCTTATCATCACAATAAAATCTTCATGGTTCAACATTTACTATAAGATTTATTATAACGTTTACTGTAACGATTTTCTTTCTCAAATATCAAAATGCAGAATTATTCACATGACCAAAATAAAATACTAAATAACCCTCTTGAACCTTTGTCCTCCTGATCAGTGATATTCAAACCACTCCTCAGTATCCATTAACAGCCACAATGTGTAAAATGTAGAATTATCCGAAATAACCTGACATGGATCAAGTGGCTGAAGGATACTGCCAAGTTCAATTCTTAATTGCAGCAGCACTGCAGAAATACACATAGCTAGAACTTGCGAATGTCCATCCGGAATATGAATGCTCATTGCAACATGCCTTCCAGCTACTAATATATTTCACAATAAGATTAAAATACAATAAAATATTTTCCCATTGTGTTCGGATGCGGAATACCTCACAAAATTTCCCATCATACTCTGTATGGTTTACATATAAAGGAAACTCCAAAATATTAATAAAACAGAATGTACTAGAACATGACTAAAGGTATACTACATAATATGGCCCACCACTAAATATGTCATGTTGGAGATTTTGCAGATATACCTTGAAAGAATAGTGAAGTAAAAAATAAATGTTCATATATAGCAGACAGCTATATAAATATGACCCAGTGGTAGCGGATAAATCACATTTTTATGACAGATATGTGTAGCACTATAAACTTAACCTTCATAAACAACAAAGTGCAGATTTGACTTCATGGATTAAGGGACATTATTTATCCTACCTAACTGACATGCATTACATCGTCACACTGTTGCAAATCGTTTATGTTTCTATATATTACAAAGCTCTGTGCACACCTGCTTACAAAAATTGACTGATTTTATGAAGGGCGAGGGGAGTAATGCAATAATCCTGTAGCTGGCAAAACATCATTAAAACTGAAACCAATACCATTAAGCCCTAGTACTGATTGATCTAGAAGCTATATTCACACATACTGCCCAATATTCTTTTGCCTTCTATTCTGTGGTCGTATCCCGGTGATGGATTGGGGAAATTGTTCTACGTTGTAAAAGACCACTAACAGTTCATTAAAATTCCCACTGATACAATATTGCTTAGTACATCAACCGATGGTTTAGAGCAGGGCTGCCCAATAGGTGGATCCCCAGATGTTGTAGAACACCAACACACATGATGCTTTGCCATTCCAAATGCATTCTAAAAGCATGCAGAGTAGCATGGGAGTTGGAGTTCTACAACATCTGGGGATCTATCTATTGGGCAGCCCTGGTTTAGAGTAATTGTGTAAGGACTATGATTCTTAAGCATTAATCACAGATGAAAAATATCTTTCAAGTAATATAACAGTTCTAGTTCAGTGCCACAATCAGAAGCAACCAGGTATTGGACAATTTCCTAATAGTATTAAAAGACTGATTATTAATATCTCCAAAACTGAGTCATTATCTTCATTCTAGACATAGAAACATAGAATGTGACGGCAGATAAGAACCATTCGGCCCATCTAGTCTGCCCAATTTTCTAAATACTTTCATTAGTCCTTTGCCTTATCTTATAGTTAGGATAGTCTTCTGCCTATCCCACGCGTACTTAAACTCACTCATAGACCAATTCTTAAATCCTCTAGAGGCATTAGAAAAACCAAATACGGTGTAAAGTCCAGCCTTACCCCACTGACTTCATATGTGTTACATATTAGAACTGTCCTTCTGAAACTTAAACCTAAAGTTTCTGTACAGATCCCTACGTCAAGAAATCTCAAGATAAAATGTATTCATTCAAAAAATTGAAAACTAACACGCACCAACAATGCCACACATGGTCTTCCCTTTGCCCTTCTTCTATTCACACAATCACGGAGCGTCATAGTAAAAAAAACACTGATGAAAGTAACACAAGTACAAATTCTGTTTTTCAAAAAAACAAACCTCTAGGGATTTATGCCAGCAGTGGCCAAAAAGTAGACTTTCTGCTGCTGTTGGTCTACAACTACCATAACTAAGAGAAAACTTAGAGATCCCTTTCAGCACAAGCATCAACAGAAAACATACAGAAATGAGAAACTGGAATGGAAAAGCATTGAAATATATAAGTACTATCAATAAAATAACAACACAAAGGAAGCATCGTATATCACACCCATAAAACAGAAGCTGCATAACACCTCTACAGACATCTGGCAAACAAGGGTCATCATGAATATGGCATTATACCCAAAATGATACATTTTTATATGACAAAATAATGTTTATTATGACAGTTTTCCTTAATAAATATTTATTTTGGTATTCTATTTCTACCTTTGCCCCTACTTAGCAAATCTTTATTTAGGTGGCCCATTTTATAACTACCTCTATCGGACCATTATGTCTTTCCCTATTTAATGGTTTTGTTTTTTTGCAGAGAATCTTTTAAACATGTTCTCTCCCTTAAACCACACACACGTACTACCTTTTTCAAGCTGGATGTATTGATATATATTAAAAAATATATTTTAAAATTAGGTCATCTATACTAGAGAGTAACAATTCTATTAAATAAATACATACTCACACAATAGTAAGGGATTTAACAGAAAACAGGTTCAAACAAAAAGATTTCTGGCAAGTATTAGACAGGATAATTACTGTAAATATTACTGCACTTCCTACAAAAGAGAGAATAAGAGAAGCCAATATCAGCAGCGAGCAGACATGTTTATCCTAGCTTAAGAAGTCCCCATACACTCACCATTCTCACTGCGTAAATCAGTTTACTTTTTTTTCCCGGTAAATATTGTCTGGATAAATATTAGGAACCAATAGATATGGCTTTTTACAGTAAGTAAATATTATTTAGTTATCTGATCTTCTGAATAGCTGTTAAAAGGTTGCCAGTCATAATTTTAATTACATGACAATTCACTAGAATTTAGGCATGTTAAGGGGTTACCTTCTTTCCTTTGTTCACCAAGTGAGACATTTTTTTGGAGGATTCTTTATTTTGAACAATTAAGAAATTGGCAAAACATTGCATTACAGAAATAAAGAAAAGCATGATATTATGCAGTGCCTTTATACTAAAAGTCACATCACAAAATAAAGTAAGCACGGTATCAAAAAATAAGACAGGAAAAAAGTGCCCCCCCTAGATAACTAACAGCTATACGTCAATCAGTGGTGTAAAATCAGGGGTTCAGAATGATCCAGCGCCAGAGCACAAGCTTTGGGGTTCAATTGTTTGTAAACAGCTTAAGCCCTAAAGGTAAGCCAGGGACATTTTGGCACCATAACAACTTCATCTTGATGAAGTTATTATGGTGCCCAAACTGGTCCTTTAACAAAAACATTAGATATCAATATACACAGCAAATTATTTAGAGATATCCACTGTAACAGTGTAACACAATATTTTATGATTGAAAAATGCTTCACAGAAACACTACAACCACTAAAGTGTATTGTAGTGGCTTTGAGTGTAATTTCAGTTTCTGTACACTTCATCTCGGCAGCAAGGAAAAAAAAAAAGCAGGATTTGGACACCAGGACAGCCCTGGTTTTTATTATACTACATATCTAAAATTGAACGAGATGCTAGGCAAGCAAAAAATTTAAACTGAAATGTTAAAGTTTTTGAGGGAATTTAGAATACTGTATTATACTAATTTAGATTAGTTGAAATTCTAGGGAATAAATAGTTTGAGGTTATACTGCATAGGTTTTTAGTAAAATGACATACCCGCACCCAGCACATGAAACAAAGTTATATGAGGTGAAGTGCTTAATTATTTCTTAATGTGATAACTTCCAATAATAAAGAATTATTACATTTAAATAATTGCACATACGGTTTCCAATTTTCAAGTTAAACTTTCATTAGTTCTTTCTTGGTAAAATTATATATGTTCTATCTGCTCAATTATTAAAGGGAAACGATAGGGCCAGGGAAACAAACTCGTTTTCCTGGCACTATAGCTTCCCTCTTTGTCAAACTCCCCCCCCCCATGGTGCAAAAGGGGCTATTAACCCCTTCTGTCACTTACCTGGGTCCAGCACTGATGTCAAACAGCTCCGCCTACACAATGGCTGTGGCGCGCACACAATGTTTTCCTATGGGGATTCCGGTGATGCTGGAGGTCCTCATGCATAGCGTGAGGACGTCCAGCATCGTTTAAAACACTTTTCGTGTTCTAACAAAGTCCCTCAGGAAGTCCCTCTAGTGGCTGTCTGATAGACAGCCACTAGAGGGGGACTTAACCCTGCAAGGTAATTATGGGCAGAAGTGGTCTGGGTGCCTGGAGTGTCCCTTTAAAGGAAAACAAACTCTTTCCCTGGCACTATAGGGTCATTAGGTCCCCCCCACCCTCAGAGTTCCCTCTCAACAGCCCATATGAAAGCATTACTCAATGCGTTCGTATGGACGTCCAGCGTCTTCACTGTGATTTTCACAGTGAGAATCGCAGAAGCGCCTCTAGCGGCTGTCAGTGAGACAGCCACTGGAGGCTGGATTAACCCTCAGTGAAACAAGGCAGTTTCTCTGAAACTGCTATGTTTTCAGCTGCAGGGTTAAAACTAGAGGGACCTGGCACCCAGACCACTTCATTGAGCTGAAGTGCTTATAGTGGTCCTTTAAGCTTGGTGTCTCTTTAAAATTCAATTGTGCTAATTGATGTTAACAACAAAGGATCAAGTTACATAGTTACATAGCTGAAAAGAGACTTGCGTCCATCAAGTTCAGCCTTCCTCACATTTGTTTTTTGCTGTTGATCCAAAAGAAGGCAAAAAACCCAGTTTGAAGCACTTCAAATTTGGCAACAAACTAGGAAAAAAAATTCCTTCTTGACCCCCGAATGGCAGTCAGATTTATCCTTGGATCAAGCAGTTATTACCCTACATTGAAAGATTATATCCTTGAATATTCTGTTTTTGCAAGTATGCATCTAGTAGATGTTTGAACATCTGTATGGACTCTGATAAAACCACTTCTTCAGGCAGATAATTCCACATCCTTATTGTTCTTAATCCTTATTGTTCTTACAGTAAAAAAACCTTTCCTTTGCCTTAGACGTACAAGTGTTGTAAAATATAATTTATGCATCACTCTAGCAAAGGTATAGATTTACTTTAGTAGTACTTCTGAAGTCTATGTCACGGACTAAGTGACAGGTGTGGTTCTCCTGCTCTCTGCCACAGTGGTATTCCCCTTGCAAGTTCTTTTTGCACCTGTAGAGGAGATATAGGAATGGAGTAACTGATGGCTTCAGTCAATGTGCTGGAAAAGAAGTCAGCGTGACAACGTCATCAGAGAGACTTGTGAATCGCATTACAGAGATTTGGAAAACAACAACAACTATTGTGAATACTATTAAAATAAGCCACAGATCAGTGGAACAGTTACAACTGTATAATCGAGACAAATTTATTATAATAGTCTCTTGTACTTATGGAAGAGTGCTATCTATATCCCAATACATTAGTTAATGCCATTTACCCCAATCACTTCCACTGGAAAGGAAATATTGAATACGCAGACATAAATGTGGGAACGCTAATGACTACAGTAAATATGAATTTCCTTTGAACTATCAAACTGGAAAGCATAAAATCTGAAGAAGAGCGTGTTGCCTACTGAAGTCTCATGATATCGGCGCTGTAAGGCAATGTATAAATAAAGAGATCAAGAATGAACAAAGCATTCAAAAGAATCACATGAACACGATGGTTATCAATGATTTACGCACAATCCAATCTTTTGTGATGTCAACACCTTTAATCTTGTACATGAGTAACTTGAAAAATTTATTTTTTTTCCCCAAGAATCAGAATTTGAGCAGCGTGTCTGACTCACTGAAAATGTATTATTGTTTAGACTGACCCTTGTTTGTTTGATTTATTTTAGGGCTTTTACACAGTTCTCCCATAAATGCTTTAGTGTTGTTAAAGAGAATTCGAATCACTTGTTATGTATCACTGCTACACACGCTAACTTTGTCAAACGGATGTTAAGATTAGTTAGAAGTCCAGGAAAGATTCAACAGAAACTGCAGGGAAAAGCTTGGCACAAAGCTTCAAGATCTTCTGGACCTGGATCATGCATTTACTGACGGGAGAATAGAAGGGAGAGAGATGGGACAGAGAAGCTCATTGCACTTTAACCTATGTATGGCGTGTCATCAGTGTTGTCCTTCGGAGTACGCCTTTAAATGGACACTATAGTCATCAGAACAACTGCAGCTCATTGTATTTGTTCTGGTGAGTATAGTCAGTCCTTGCAGGATTTTTGCAGTGAACAAGTTTTTTCAGCGAAAATGCAGTGTTTACATTACAGCCTAGGGACACCTGCAGTGGTCACTATTCAGATGGCTACTAGAGGTGTTTTTTGGGGTAGTGCTGCACAGTGTGTCTGCCATTCAGTGTCTCCACCCTCTGCATGGAGACAATGAATTTTCCTCATAGAGATGTACTGATTCAATGCTTCTATATGAGGAAGTGCTGCTTGGCCAGAGTGGAGTTTGACTCCGCCCTCCAGTCAGGCTGACAATCTCACCCAATCCAATGATTTCCTATTGGAAAACGTTGTGATTGGCTGAGATAATCACTTCTGATTATGTCAACAAAAGAGGCAGATTGGGGCAGAGCCAGCATCAGCAGACTGGAATAAAGGTAAGGTTTACGTATATTTAGAGGGGGCACGGGGGCTAGATACAATTGTTTAACACTATAGGATCAGGAATACCTATTTGTGAACCCTTTAGTTTTCCTTTGAAATAAGTTACGGCAAATCCTTTTAACTTTTCGTTTAACTTATGTATGGCTTATTGAAGTTGTCTGGGTGCAGTGTCCCTTTGGCACTTTTGTTAAACATTGCAGTTCAAAAGAAACTGCAATGTTTACATTGCAGCACTAAGTCTGCCTCCAATGGCTGTCTACCAGCTTTGAATTCACGGCACTATAGTATCGCTTTAACTAAAACAACTCAAATTTTGGTTTATATAAAAATTTAAAGTTTGCTAGTTTCTTGAACAGACACCTGCACCTGATCAGTCACACTATTCCCTCTATGGAGACACAATTTAAAAATTTTAATGCACACCCCATTAGATACAGAAATATACTTTTATGTTAATAGAAAGCATATTAGAGTGCAATTATAAAGCTACAAAGAACTGTAGTATGCAAACCTATTATGTGTATTCCTGAGCTTTTAGTATAAAAACACATGTTGGGTCCCTAACCCCCTCTTAAAACTCACCTTTATGCAAGCACTTCGCACCAGATCCACCTCCTTGACTGAGATTATCAGAACAGATGATCTCAGCCAATCCAATGCTTTCCCATAGGAACGCTTTCGGAGACTATTGCACCAATCAGACACAATGCATCTCTGTGGGGAAATTCCAGCAACTCCATGCAAAGCGTGGAAATGCTGAAAGTCTGTGCCACACTGACCCAGGTAGCACCTCTAGTGGCCTTCTAAATTACTACAATTGGAGGTGCCTATAGGCAGCAATGTAAACACAGCCTTTTTCTCTGAAAAGGCAAAGTTTAAAGTAAAATTCCTGCAGGGACACGATATAGACAGCAGAACAACTAGATTACGCTATAACTCCCAGCTTTTCTCCTGAAATATTACATTAGAAGGACTTAATAACTGGTGATAACTACAAACACCACTTGCTCCCACCAGTATGAGACAGATTTAGACATGTATGTCCTGGTGCTGCACAAAATCTTATCCACAACCTGAACCAAAATTCAATGTTTATAGCGCAAGGATTTTAGGGTAATTAATTTGTGAAGTTATACAAATAATAAATGAAGGAATCTGGATTCCTATTAATTGTATTAGTAAATATATAAATCATGTGGTTATTCTTACTGATTGTTTTGATTGTAAATTTCACCACAATTCTACATGAAATTACCAGTGCATTATTTAAAAAAGAAATACTGGCATGGATTAATTTATTAATACCGTTAGGACCATAAACACATATTTCTTTCAGATGGATAAAAGCAGTTAACCACTTCTCACATTGTAAACATTATGTCCAATATAAAGAGATTCCTGTAAAGCAGTTTCATGCCCCTGTTTTGTTCCGCTGTCCTCATTTCCTGTAATCTGCCGAGCAAAGCCAAATCTGATCTTATTTTTCTCATAACAAGGGAATACTTTAAGACTACTGGCTTACAAGCTTGCGTGCTAGCCAACCTTTTCAAGACACAGCATTGCTTGTTACAGACTGAAAAGGCAGTAACCGAGACACATGACTAAAAGAAGAGATGGACAGGGTTATTTACTGAAGTGAGAATTGTCAGGAAATTTAAGTTTATTCAAAGTGGATTTCAGATTTAAATCGGCACAGTCAGTAGGAACTACTTTGTCTCTGTACATTTCCTCCGCCTATCTTTTCTAGACTCTGTCTGGATTGACTACAGTGTATATCCTGACAGTTGTCTCCAGTATCTGCTGCTAGGAACTGGCCTGGTCTACACGGATCCTGCAGTCTCGCGGGATCCTCCATAGACCTCAATGCTATATTCTTGCGCATGCATGAGAGTACAGCAGAAAATTTAGCTCATGGCGCTGAAGCGACAAGAGCTGAAGAGAACCCGCTGGGACAAGGTTTGCGTAAGTAAATCTCACCTTTACCAGTCCCCACCCCCAACCACCAACTTGCCCCCCACTTCCGGAACAGGGATGTCATCGTCGGGGGTCTTTGTTAATTCGGCAAAGTCCCCAGGTGTTGACAGTGCCACTTTAAGGCCAAAACAGTTTCATTCTTCAAGTCAGTTATGCTTCCAATTCAACTATTTTAGTCTAAAATGTCAAATTCACTTTAAATTTACTTAGAATTCTCAACAAATCTAAAAGCAATAAATATTTATTTTTACTTTAAGTAATTAATACACAAACATATGCATAAAAATGTAAATCACAAGGTATTATACACCACCAACTTAGGAAGATTGATGAACAATCCTACACGGAATTCCCCACTTAAAACAAAAAAGCTGCATACTGGAAAATAAATGCTACAAGGGGAAATTTGGGAATATTCTTTACAGTTTTAAAGCAATTGATTTGAGGGAAGTAAAATATACATGGGATGTTTAAGCAGATGCAAGGTGTCCTGCACACCAAAATCACCATGATAAATACTCTCAAAATGAATTTCAAATTTAAGTTGAAAATAGCCAAATTGAAAAATATCTCTGTCAGCTATGCTTTCAAATTTGGCTATTTTGGTCTTAAAGGATCACTATAGGTTTAGGAACACAAACATGTATTCCTGACCTTATAGTGTTAACACCACCATCTAGCCCCCTGGGCCCCTCATGCCTCCATAATTATAGCAAAATCTTACTGTATTCAAGCCTGAAGCTGTAGATCTGCATGCTGTTTTCCTCAGAAAAAAAGCTGTCTGCTGACATCATCAAAAGTGGTAGCCTTATCCAATCACAATGCTTCCCTATAGGATTGGGGAGACTGACAAGGAGACAGAACAGGGGCAGAGCCAGCATGATTCAAACACAGCCCTGGACAATCAGCATCTCCTCATAGAGATGAATTGAATCAATGAATCTCTATGAGGAAAGTTCAATATCTGCATGCAGAGGAAGGAGATACTGAATGTTTGGATGTATTTTAGGCAGCCATGACCCAGGAAGGATCTCTAACAGCCATCTGAGGAGTGGCCAGTGAAATTATCACTGGGCTGTAATGTAAACACTGCATTTTCTCTGAAAAGACAGTGTTTACAGCAAAAAGCCTGAAGGTAATGATTCTACTCACCAGAACAAATTCAATAAGCTGTAGTTGTTCTGGTGACTATAATGTCCCTTTAAATGTGAAATTCAATTTGGATTCATTGTATTTATTCAAAAATGTAAACTAAACATTGAGCTACAGAAATTGCTAGCAAATACATAGATTAAAATATATTTCTGTAATTTACTTTTTAATCTTCACCTCTATGACACACTTGATAAAGTCGATGGGTAACTTTAAGAGCAGATGCAAAAGGCAAGCAATGATGCCATTGAAAAAACAGATTTTTGGGAGGTTTGTTGGTTTAATTAAATTACTCCAAAACAGTTTGACAGCATCCAAAGACGTGTCCATAAATTTTCTTTCCTCCAATGAATTCAGTTTCCAACCCTCTTACCTCTGCCACTGGCTTCCGAGTCTATGATCCTTTCACAGACTCATAGCTCATTAACAACTACAATGAGCTGAAGTGGTTAGGGTACTTAATGTACGGATTTATTTAAATGGTTTGGGTGTAATCCCTCCCCAGCAATGCATGTAATACTCTACCAACTACCTTGTAGTATATAGAGAGATGTCAGGACTCAAATATCAATCAACCAGATACAAATTTAAATACTAAACTTTACTTACAATAAAAATAAAAAAACCTGTGCTTTATGGGTGTAAAAATGGAAAATCTACATCTACAGTTACTCATGTGTTGACAAGAAGGCACATTAATTAATGAGACAGTAAATATACACTAATAATCAGCTCAGTGTGAGTACTAAACAACCTAATTAATTCCAAAGGTAAAAAGTGTTGATCAATGTCAAAGAAAAGTTTCTGAAGCAGCCGTTTAATATTTTAGATTTTATGAGCTGCCAGGTTCTGACAAGCTGCATCAAGTCAAGTGTAAAAGATCTCGAGTCTTATCCTCCTTAATGAACAGAATAATTTATAGACTTATAAACTTCTCTGTGACTGCACAAAATATGCAGACATTAATAGCTAGAGATTCTGATGGAAGAGGGCAAGTGGGTAAAGGAAAACTTTTCAAATATTCAGAACTCTTGCAAGTTGGACTTGTTTGATTTTGACTGACGGAGCACATATTTATGGTGCTTAAGCCATAGGAGAAGGCATTTGTCCAGTATTTTTGAAGCAAATCTGATTTAATTTAGATCAAATAGGTCACTTAAGTCTGTATACAATAAAAAAAAATATATTATGGACTTTTGCTGCATGGCAAAACAGCTAAGTATATTGAAGTAGAATTTATCAAGGACAAGTCAAAAGTTCACAATTGAAAACATTTTTAATCAAAGAATAAAGAATACATCATTAATTGATGCAAAATAACTGTATAATATAATTACCTAAATTAATTAAAATGTTTACATTATATATTTTTTTGTGTATTTATAAAAAGATGAATAACAGGTAAAGCAAATCCCAATACATCGTGAAACTCCTGCCAGGTAATTTGTTATCGGGTTAAAGCGCAGTCTATTCACACAATGTATGTATGATACACAAACTGTCAAGACAGACAGGAAAACCCTGATGCGTGTTAATAAGTTTTTAGGTAGACAGGTATCCACATAAACATATTAACATTGGCCTCTTGTTGGTAGCTTAAACATGTACATTTAGTGGAGAAAAAAAAAAAGTCATTAGCAAGAAATAATCCTCAAGATGAAAACAATTGTTAAAACAACATAACGATTGTTGCACTCCCAAAAAACCTGGAACGTGTAAATCTTGTTGCAACAGGGTGAAATTGATTTTATACACTGCAGGGCGTAATTGGTGGACCTGGTCTAAAGAGCACTCTGGCAATCGTGAATTTTATTTTAAACCACCCAGCATGAGAGAGAAGACTTGCTCAAAAATAACTTACCCTTTTTTCTGCTATGCTGTCCTCTCCTGTGGAGTCCTTCTCGTGGGTCTCTTTTAGGGCCGGCATTTGTTTTTTGTGCGCGGGCTCCCTGTTTAAAGTGGTGTATCCTATGTGTTCGTAAATTGGGTTTATTGTCATTTTGGCAATGTACTCGGCTGCTTTTGTCTCAATGTAGAGAGTGATCAGGCCGTCTGTCACCAGGTCATGAATGGATTCGAATCTCTTCTCTCCGACAAAGTGCTTGCCATCATGGTATAGCCTGAAATTTCTGGTCTGGTTTCCAAATCTGAGTCAAGATAACAGGGAAGAGAGTTTACAACAATATGTTTCATATTCTTTAAGGGAAAGACTATATAAGCTCTATTCTCTAAGCCATGAGAAAATGTATAATATGAATGGGTTGAGCAGCCAAGCAACAATGAGATACTAAGTAAAAGTGCCAAGGAATGATTTGTTCTTTCACTTGTTTAACTCACTTCATTACATCTGTTGAAAAATATCCAACAATTCAGTTGTTTCCATCAGTACATCTTCTTTGTGAGGCTTCAGTGTAAGATGCTGTGAAGTTATTACAATAAGCTCTTCTGTTGCAGTTAATCAATACAGTGGTTTGAGACCAAGACCTCGGCAGCTCGGGCTTTCAAAAGTAATAAGCTATTCTGGGTACAGTTTAACTCTAGTGCCAACAATGACACTGAAACAGATCGGCTGCCAAACTCTCAGCAAAATAGGACTAAGTGGCTCATGGGCAAGTATTCTTCATATCTTAGTAAACACCACTTACTAAAGACTTTTAACGGACTATCTGCTAAATTAATTTCAAAGTCTTTAAAATTAATTAACCAAGACATTTTCCAACTGCTTAATGCAACTTGTCTAAAGTGTAATCTGCATATGGACAGTATTTATAGTCTCATTATGTATCACCTAGAAACATGGAATGTGACGGCAGATAAGAGCAATTCGGCCCATCTAGTCTGCTCAATTTTTCATTAGTTTCTGGTCTTATTACCTGAAGAGAAACTACCATAAAAATTCAATCTTTGTTATTATGTAGCCAATGGTAAAATAAGGTTTGCAAAGTTGTAACAGGTAAGTCATTTGAATTACAATATGTTTGAGTTTTTAACCCTCTCTCTCTCGAGTGGTTTCGGAGTATCCTACACACAACAGTTGTTCTGGCTAATTGATCGCTACACTGGCAACAACATAGACTGCAGGACAATATACAAACAATTGTACAATGCCAAGTCTGATTCTGTCCAACCTGAATGGCAATGAGTGACACAGTGACAGCGGTGGGCCAACAGATTCACACGTGATAATACAGTATTGTAGTTTTATTATACGTGTTGCTGAAAAGGGGTGGAATATGGGTACCAGGGAGAGCTGCGGGTTTTGTCAAACCAATCCTTAGATGGTTTTACAGAAAATCTGTGGGGAGGGCACCAACAGATTCATAGCACCATAACCTCAAAACTGAGCTAAACTGGTTATACTGCTAAGGGTCTGCCTTTCAACAGACACTTCAAGTACAATAAGCACTACCTTTTTATCACAGTTTGACACTTACCTGGTTTCCAACAGATGACTGCACCACACCAGTTTTCTCAGAGTTGAAGAAGCTAGATTTCAGTTTGTTTAATAGTGATGCTCATGCATTGGCTGAAACTACTCAGCTAACACGTTCAACCAATGACGGAGCGCCTACATCGCCATCTCGCTTCTCCAGCTTTGAGATGGCTGCATGTGGCAATGGCACCTGTCTAGAACCAGGTAAGTGTCAAACTGTGCAAACACAGTTTGACAGATTACTTTGAAAGGTCACCATTGCACCCCTGGCACTATAAAAACTACCAAGGGTTACAGTGATTATGGTGCTTGGAGTGTTCCTTTGAAGCCATGTTGCACCCATGTTAGTTATGCTCAGGTAGAATCTGAGCTATAGAATTTTGGAATTTGAGCTGATAATTTTGTACACCTTCTTTGTAAAGCTTGGAAAGCTATGTAACATTCAGATACATTTCTAAGTAATTGGAATGTTTGTAATAGGAGAAGCATGATCGCGTTCCTGAAAGTATACTTAGGCCTAGATAAACTGTGGTTTGCCACTACGAATCGCACAGCTGCAGAATATATGTATACAGATTCATATATTTTGCAAATGAAAACAGGAAAAGGGAAATAAAACCAAGACTGTTAAACACTTGAAATATGCATATCGTAAACCATCTTTGGAAAAAAAGAAAAACTAGTATACACAAATCAATATCACGACAGCCAGAGGCAAATATATTCTGTGGGTCTAGTCAGTGTGTTGAAATATATGTCCTAACTTTAGTGATTTTTATATCGGTGTGTGGGCATAATGCCATAGAGTTTTGGAGAACTAAAATTGTATTTGTGTTTAATGTCACCTGCCTCCCTAGTTTATTAACTTATTACATCACTAGGTCCTCTTCCTAGTATCACTTGCCTGACGGGCAGCTAACTATTGAGCAGACACTATGAAAGATGAGCATGCCAACTCAACAAGCATTTAACCCCTTAAGGACCAAACTTCTGGAATAAAAGGGAATCATGACATGTCACACATGTCATGTGTCCTTAAGGGGTTAAAAGAGACATGCATCCTTTGGAGACAACGGTCTACATAGTTACATAGGCTGAAAAGAGACATGTCATTCAAGTTCTGCCTTTTTTTGCTGTTGATCCAAAAGAAGGCAAAAAAAACCCAGTTTTAAGCACTTTCAATTTTGCAACAAACTAGGAAAAAATCCTTCTTGACCCCAGAATGGCAGTCATATTTATCCTTGGGTCAAGAAGCTATTACCCTACAGTTAAAAAATTATACCATTAAATATTATGTTTTTGCAAGTATACATCTAGGTGCCGTTTATTATTATTTTTATATTCATTATACAAACATATAAATAAGACAAAAACAACACATCATAAACATTATGTGTATGTCTTTCATAATTGTAATACCTTTTCGATAAATGGATTATAGACTGTGATATACCATAGTCATAACAACAATACAAAAATAACAACATATCAGACTGGGAGAATTAGATGATAAATTCTAACTATTCATGAACCGTACATATTAAAGAGGTAATGCACTAGGGTTTGTAATATTATTTTGCGTCTTTGCTTTTACTTAGCCAATTATCATATTGTTCTGGTTTGTTAACTATATTATAATTTTCCTCCTTTAGTATGGAGTCTTAACACTGTTTAAAAGAGATACCCTGGTATGAGATGAGATTAATATGGAGCACCATTGCATATCCTCACATTTATAATTAAAACAGTATATTTGAATACCTTTTGTTGGTATTCTATGCATTTATCTGTAACTGTTAATGTTCCTGAATATGGGAAGGTAGTACTGGAGGCTCATTTTATGCATTTGTTAGAAAGAATGTAATTGGTCTGGATGTGTGTATATATATATATATATACTTGTTTACATGAAACGGAGATGGGTGGGTGAAATTTACTGAAGAAACTCCCCTTGCTGAGAGGCGTGCCAGACAAAGCAAACTGACAAAGTTTATAGTGAGTTTAAAAACCTTTATTACAAACTTTTCTTGCTTTACTTTAGTTTGTATATTGCTGTAAAAGTGTTTGCTTGCTGGTATTATATAAAATAAAGTCAAGTGATGCATGTCCCTTTAAAGTAGCTCTGTCACTTTTAGCGTTCTTGCAACATAACAGAACTAGCGCGATTAGATTAGAAAATGTTGTTATATAAGCTTCTGTAATTTATAAAACAACCATATACTGTAGTTGGTTGAAAATAAAATGTTTGACTAAAGATTCGAAAAGCATAATTACAACAATCCGTAGTTCTCTTTTTGACAGAAACAGTGCATTGCAATGGCTGATAGCACAGTGAGCTGAACTGGTTATGTTACTTATAGTGTTCATTCAAAGGTGAGAACCTGGACTGGTTTGGAACAAGAATGCACATGGCTAAGTCGAGAAATCTATGTATGTTTTTTTTTCGCCCCGTCTGTCTCCTCACTCTGGGTAAAATCCACCCTGGTAACTATGTAACTTAAATATGTTAATTATGTCAAGATTTTTACTTTCATTAATATTATGGTTGTATATGATTATGTACTGTATTTTAAGTACATAATTACATGTGTTCTTTGGCATAGCCTGCTTTTATTTTGTTTGTTTTTTACTTGTTGATTGACAATATTAAAATGTGTTTGAGGCTAAACACAATTTTTTGTTGCTGAATGTGATGCTTATTAGTACACCTTTAAGAATGAATGCTTGGATCCATTTTCAATTGTTTGCAATAAAAATCAATAAATAAAATGTATTAAGCAAAAGGGGCCTCTTTATTTTAGCTCAAACGACTAAAATCTATATGGATGTTGTGACTAACTGAACTCACTTGACTCTGTGAATACAATGTAAAATGACAATACGCATATAACCACCAAATTGCACAACAAGAATACGTTTAACATGATAGAACAAAGAACTGTTAGTAAACTCTCTCTATGCCATTAACCCCTTAATGACACATGATGGAAATATTCCGTCATGATTCCCCTTTATTTCAGAAGTTGTGCCCCTAAAGGGTTAACTGATCAAAATAAAGTGTCCCTTTATTCAGGTGTCCAAGAGCAATATTTCGACCCCTGCAACGCTCTAAATCACACTAATAAAAGACACAGAATGCTCTCAATAAATATCCCTATACAGGAAATTAGAAAATGCTCACATGATCAATTCTAGGTCACAAATTATGAGTCTTTATATAGGTGACAAATTATGAGTCTTAACACTGCTTAGTAGATATTCTAGGTGACAAATTATGAGTCTTAACACTGCTTAGTAGATATTATTCTAGATGACAAATTATGAGTCTTAACACTGCTTAGTAGATGTACCTTTTTGAATGTTGTGTGATTTATATTTTTCTCCTTTAGTATGGAGTTTTAATACTGTTTAATAGAGATTAATATGGAGCACCATTGTATATCTTCACATTTTACTAGTGATTTTTTTTCCCATTTAGATTTTTTGTTGATGGTATGGTTACCAACCATGTGGTTTATTATGGACATTGTGTTATGTGTTTTGTCACGTGACCTGGAATTGATCATTTCGAATTTCCTGTATAGGGTTAGTTATTGAGAGCATTTGTTTAGAACTTTTGGTAATTTTACAAATAGGATAAAGGAAGAAATGCATCAAAACAAAAGAAGAGAACACTGCCTCTGAGTTTATAAAGTAGAAGAAATTGTATATTCAGACAAACGTTTGTGGGGAGAAAATTCAATTGAGAAGTAACAGATGTTTTAATGATTGTGTCACTATGATATACAATATATATTTAATATACTATATTAAAGGTATTGCTAGGATTTATTTAGCAGATTAAAAACATATTGTGTAACATAAGGAAGGCATGTAGTACCATAGACATGGAGAAAGGTAGATGGGAAGGTGTACGGTTTGACGTGTGATGTTAACTTGATAAAGACCGTTGCAGTGATCGAAACGTTGCTGTTGTAGACGTTGGGCACCGGAATAAAGAAATACTATTTTTAAACGGAATTTATTTTTATGCTTTCCTGAATGTACACTGGTTTGGGCAGGACCGGGTTCCTTGTACCCTTGTGTTGTTAGTAGGTTTTGTTTTTCTTTTCGAGTTATTAAATTAGCAAAAACAGCACACATCAGGGATAGTGCTAAACACACGCATGGTTTTTGGCACAGAAATCACAAGTCATAAAATATGCATCCACAGACACTGCACCATAACCACTATAATTAGTCATTACGGTATTAATGTGCCCAGTAGGTCAGACACTCACTGCATTTTAAAAGGTTAAGGTAAATGTACATCCAGAGTATTTCTTCCAACAATAAACTTGTATTTTAAACTGTAATTAACCATTCCTTTTATGAATCTGAACATTATCACAAGATAGGTTTTCTTTTGTGACAATGCCTTTAATAAAACTAAAAATAACATACCAAAATCCTCCCTCCCCACACGAACAGACCACATACACATCTCCAAGGCATCCCTGTGGTTTCAACTTGGAAATTCAACAAAAAGACTTGGCCACAGCTCAAAAACACATTCAAAGCTTTTAGATGGCACTGATAAAATACTGTGATTTCTTTATAAATTCAGCACACAAGACGGTTAAAAGGAAAAGTTGAAAGCCATGTGTAAGAACAAGACCCAACGAGTACAAAACAAGTAGTGACTTGTATTTTGAATTCTAAAGTCATTTCGACTTCAGATGTTTTTGTTTAGTTTTTTTTGAACTGCCATATTGCTTTCTAAAATCTACCCCCATTTTCTATCAATAATGCTGAAATCTTTTTAATGTGTTAAAATGGAATAAAACAGTTAAACAAACCTGGTCATACTGATATTTTTCTTGGGCATGTTGTGCAGTTTATAAAATTATACATTTAAATGTTGCATTTCTTCTCCTATGCACAAAGGAATGCTGGGAACAAGAAAGTAAAAAAATTCCACATTCCTACTGAATGTAAGCAGAACCACCGTCATAAAGGACTTAAAATATAAAGGTTCTCGACCCATTTCATTACTTCTATACACATATTCTCCCTTCTCTTCTGAACTGATGCAGACAACGTATGCAACAGAATGGGCTAGGTTTCCCAATTAAAACATACAGATTGTAGCACTGGTGTGATAACTTGAGAACTTTCTATGTAAGACCACACACAGTTTGTGTCCAAGTGAATTGTCTTTTTTTCTTTCTTATTCAAACTGGTTCGTCCTGTTTAACAGTACAAATTCTCCAGGAGTTTTTTTTTTTCTGTACGGCACTCTGTAGTTTTAAAATGAAAAAACAGCTATAGAATTCCAAGGGATTCATTTCAAATGGTAGCCACAGCTTACATTTCCTTTAATTTGATTAAATTTAAACTGTATAGACATCTTTAAGCGAATGCATGGGAAAGAAAAAAAAATCTGGCACTTTGAGTAAATCATATCTGTAAAAATGAAAAATGTATTCTTTGCTCTAATATAGCAAAAAAAAAATAAACAGAAGCACAGTACCATTCACAACTTATTTTAGTGAAAGTTCATGCTTTCAATATTTTTCCCTTAAGGATATTTTATCTAAACTTCTAAACAGTTGCTAGTGAGTAATCCCAGAGTCTGTTCTTGGACTATGATTCAAGTATTTCAGGTTAGTAAATCAACAGATCGTACTAACCTAAACAACAGTTTTTTCGCAACAATGAGCTATATTTGGGCAAGAGGTAAAAAAAAGTTACAATGAACTTGATGAGCTGGGGTTATCTGGATCCTAACTAACTATGGACAGAGCCGTAACCGTAAGAGCATATAAAACCTTGTACACATACACAATTTTTTATTTGCCGTTTCTTGAGTGTTGTATGGAAAGCTAGCCTACTACCAGACTGTCTCATGCCACGAGGAATGACTTCAATAGAAAGTGAATGTATTTATAAACATTTAGACTTTTGTAAAACTGTGCTTTAGCTGATATTAAAATACTATAGTCCAGTTTCTTCTTATAGCTGAAATAAACCTACAAAGATTAAAAAAAAAAACCTATATATCACCTAAACTGATAGACTATTTGGGCATTTATTAGCCAGTCTATCCTCAGTCCACAAAATGTAATCAGTGCGTGTCTGCCAAGCTCACAGACAAATAAAGAAAGCCCAACACCACTACCAAGGAAATATATATATTTTTTTTACTTTTATTGTTGTACAGACGTAATTTAATGAAGTACTGTATTTAAAACATAATATCTATTATTTTTACATATTTGAACAACATCTACTAAACAGGAGCAGAGAATTTAGTATAGGACATGAGGTCACACATTTAGACTGGAACAAAGGAGATTTAGTATAAGGCAAAAAAGGGTTTCTTACAGTAAGAACTATAAGGGTGTGGAATTCTCGGCCTGAAGATTTGGTTTTATCAGAGCCTATACAGATGTTTAACAGCAGTTGGATAAATACTTGCAAAATCATAATATACAGGGATATCATTTTTAATTAGTGGGGTAATAACTTCTTGATTCAAAGTGATATCTGACTGCTATTCTGGGGTCAAGAAGGAATGTTTGTTGCAAAATTGGGTTACAGGTTTTTTTTTGGATCTCTCTTGGATCAGTACCAAAAACAAAATGTGAGAAAGGCTGAACTTGATGGACGCATGTCTCTTTTCAGCTATGCAACTATGTAATTTTAGGGTCATTGTCACTTTTGAGTTTCTCACAGATAAAATAGTTTTGAAAAAAAATAAAAGTAAATAAATAAAAATTACAGACTGCAATAGAACCCCCTCTCCAATCATTCCACATGTCAATTAAAAGTCAAATTACAAAGATTTCACAAGTGATAGTGCTGAATCAGAGCTAATGAGAGGTTAATCAAGCCAATGAAGAAAATATTTGTTGATATTATTTAACACTAGGAATTGAGCACAAATCCTTTGCACCTGTGACAAATTACGTTCCGGTAAATGTCCAATTTAATCAATCCTTCATTTAAATCTCGGACAGATCTATACGTTTGAATGTAAAGTAACAGGAATTTAAATTAATTCATCACAGGTAAAAAGGATTTGTGCCCAGATCTATTTAACACTGGAAACAACTAAAAACAGTAAATTTAATAACTTCACGTGACCCGTTAATTGTTAGCATTAGTTTATACATGGAGATTTAGTAGTTCTACTGTTTTCTTAGTTTATACATGTTTATTATTAGATAATTTAACATATTTAATATCCATCCATGCATTGTGCATGAACAGGACAAGTCGTGCTTCTAGACACTTATAACTTAAACATACACAAGAACATTTAGAATTATTTAAATTCACAATAAACATTTCTTTTAAATTTAGATAATTTTTCATGGACAAATACAATAAACAAGAATGTTCCTCATCCCCACATCATTGTCTTTTTTTCCAATAAAAATGTTTACTGAAAATTCTGCATTAACAGAGAATAGGTGCGTATTGCAATACACATTAAAATGGTTCATAGATATGTGCGAATACAATTTGTTGTATAAACAAAAAAAAGTCAGTTATGGCTCCTTTGATGTACAATCCGTCCACACAGGGGAAAAAAATAAGTTTTAAGAGTTCTAAGAGGTATCTGTAGCTGTATTAAACTTGGGTTTCCCCACACCATTGTCTTAAAGCAGAGGGATTTGGAAAGTAATAATACATAAAAATTACAAACACCCTTCTAAAATCTCTTTACTTGGGCAACTTTATCTATTTAAGATGCCATTTGTCATCTAAAGAATGTCTCGGCAGCCCTGCAAGTTGATCAGCACCTCTGTCGTACTGATATGTCCAGATCCCATGATTGCCTTAAAGACCTACTGGTTCTGATTTTTGTTGAATAGGTAATAAAAAATGGAAAAATAACTACTGTTGATCGGTCAGCAAGATGATCAAGGAATGAACCAACACAGAATCCAATTAATTAAAGCAGAGACAAATACAGGTAACCCATAATTTGCCTTAAGGGACAAGATCTGTTTGTGCAAACATCTGCAGATGACCTGTATTCTTGAAACTTTTTGTCTTGTGGCAAAAGTCACCATTCCAAACAGATGACCTTTGTGATAATGGCATCAGGAGTTTGGCCAGAGAGATCTGTTTAAAGGAGCAGCTGGCCACTGAATAATAAGCCACAGGGAAAAATGTGTCCTAAATAAAATTATAGAACAGGAAATGTAATTGAGACAGTTACACTGTCCATAGCAGTCATATCCCTATCTATTATTTTGTTGGAGTGGAAAAGGGAAGTATTTTGTGTTCTACTGCATAAACTGTCCACAACAAACAGAATAATAATAATGTTTACTGGGGTATATAAAAGAAAAAAAGTGTGTTTCTCTTTGATGGACATAAACACAAGTTTTAAAAGGACACTGTGCACCAAAACCACCGCATATTAATTTAGAGAGTTTGGTGCTCAGTGTCCCTATAAACTTTGTGTTTTAATAACTATTTTAACATTCTAATTTTTTTCCGTAGTTAAAAAGAAAACACGTATAGTGGCGAATTTTCCAGGGAAAAACACAACGTATTGCTGAACTGCATAGGAGTTATCCAGATATTGCTAATAAGAGAAAGGAAATCCTCTCTATTGTTTCTGTTTAAAAGTACACTTGACATGACTAGAATTCTGTCTGTCGTCTAGGCAGAATCGGGATGGCTGAGTAAAGAAACTATTCCCAGCAACCAAAACACATCGCTAACCGACACACAAAGTGGGTAGTGTACCAGGAAAGAATAACATACGTGATGGTTTAGAAAAAAACAAAAAAACCACGTCCATCAAAATTCAAACTTTATGTATGTTTTTGCAAAAAGGGCAAAATATATCCTAACTAAAAACACAGAATAAAATATAAATTGTATTCTACGCATATCTTGTTTTACAGAATGTACTAATTGACCGGCCCTTGGGCACTATAATATATTGATATAATGGACATTCGTTAGAGAAAAAAAAAATCCTATGCCACAGACCTATGATCCAAAACTGTACTGCAAATATTATATCCAAAGGGAAGTGTCCTCAATCAAATTTTTTTATCTATTTCACAAAAAGACACTTTTTCGTTAACAGTGAATATAAGATTTTGCTAAAAATTTAGTGAAAATAAAGGAATAAAAAACCCTAAACACAACAAGATTACGTTTTGTTTGTCGTTGACTGGCTTTGTTTAATTTATGTTTCTCCCAATCCTGGTGTTGCGTAATCAGAATGAAGGAGAGAAAGGATATAGTATTGCACAAAACTGCACTTTATAAATGCAGGGAATCTTCAGTCATGAGATAAATAAAATAAATTGCTTTAGAGCAGGGGTAGTCAACCTTTTAATACCTACCACCCACTTTTGTATCTTTGTTGACGGTAAAATCTCCTTACCACCCACCAGTGCCACAGTAACTAATTTTATAGCTCAAGTGCGATTTATTTAAAAAAAAATTTTTTTAGAAAGGACGACTTCAAAAAAAGAAAGAAAAAATATGTAGTTAAATATACCTATTTTTACCTTTTTTCTATTTTACCTGTGTGTGTGTGTGTGTGTGTGTGTGAAGGATGCTGTGTGTGTGTATGTGTGTGTGTGTGTGAAGGATGCTGTGTGTGTGTGTGTGTGTGTGTGAAGGATGCGGTCTGTGTGTGTGTGTGTGTGTGTGTGTGTGTGTGCAAAGGGTCCTGTGTGTCTTATGGGTGCATTGTGTGTGTCAGAGGTGATGTGTATGTGTGAACGGGGGCAGTGTGTGTAAGGGGGGCAGTGTGTGTGTGAAGGGTGCATAGAGTCTATGCTGTGTCTAGGTGGGTGAGATGTGGAAATCTATATTAATGTCTCCCCCCTCCCTTCTTCATACCTTTTACCAGGGAGGGAGGACATACTTCTGCAAGCACTGGTGCTCCAAGTGCCAGCAGGTCTGTGAGGGACATCTTTGATCTCCTCACCAGCCTGAGAGGGCTTACAGCAAGGCTGACTCTGCATGGGCCGGCAGGGGAGATGAAAGGATCTCCCATGCCAGGCTTGGTCCACAGCCATCAAGGCCCACCGGGCATTTTCTGGAGAACCCACCACCGCCCACCTGAAATCCCAAACCGCCAAGTGGGCAGTAGAGACCAGGTTGACTACTCCTGCTTTAGAGCGTCAACAGATCCAGTCACGCTTCCGAAAGACAGAAACAGAACTGGAGATGGTGGAGGAGGAGTGGATTAAGAAGGACTTTATAGCTTGGTATAATGGGTATTCCTGCCTATCTTTTAATAGTGAAGTATTTTTCTCACGTAGGAAAGAAACCAATACATTGTTTGTTGGTGAATTACCTACCACAGCTGATACAATCTTCAGGTCAGCTTAAACAATCTGACTGATAACACATTCATCTCTTGCTCAAGTCTCCTTAGGCACAAATTCCATAACCGTAACATTTCAGTATGGACAAACACTGAGTGAAGACCTAAAGCGAAATCCAAGCAAAGTTGCAAGTTTTTCTCACCTTAAAGCCAATGTATATGTTCCAGGTTGCCGCTGACTTTCACGAATTAAATAACTTCCCTCTGCCACACTTAGTAGCTGATCCGTCTCTTCTCGTGATATCATCCCGTGAAACCTGCAAAAAAGGGGGAAACATGCAAAGGTTTTTCTTTCTAAGAAGATATCAAGGTATTTAAGAACAAAAAGAATATGCAGGGATTACTTATATGTGGTATAAGTCGAGTGGGGCTTTTTCCAGCACAAAAATGTGCTTAAAAACTATACTTGTACTCGAGTATATACGGTATACCCAGAGTGTCTATTATGTTTCGTGGGAAGCCAAATATGATGAGGATAGCGAAGAAGAAAGGCCAAAGTAAACGGTCAAATACCTTTTCGGCGTCCATGGAAAGAAATAGTGTGGGTATGTGGCGGTGGTGAGTTGTCCATAGGAGGTTGTACGTGCGTCTTGTGTTGTCACTGGCATGTCGGAAGGGGATGAAACCAACTTGGTCTGGGTGTATTAGTTTGGGGAGGAAGGGGTTTAGTCTGTCTGCTATGAGTTTTGTATATAATTTGACATCCACGTTGAGCAGTGAAATAGGGAGAGAATATCCCAGTACTCTAAGGGGCTTGTGAGGTTTGGGGAGTAGGCATATATTTGCCTGTAGCATTTCACTTGGGAGTGCTCCTCCCCGAAGGATGGAGTTGAAGAGAGTGCATAGATTAATATATTATTTATATAGCGCCAGCAAATTCCGTAGTGCTGTACAATGGATGGACTAACAAGCACGTAATTGTAACCAGAGAGGATTTGAGGGCCCTGCTCAATGAGCTTACATGCTAGAGGGAATGTGGTATAGTGACACAAAAGGTATAAGTAGGGGCAATGAAATAGGTTGCCATAAAAGTATTCACTGAGAACTTGGGTTATTTTTGACAGTTGCAGGAGAGGAGTCATGGACGGGGGGAATGAGACTGCATCACTGCATTCAGGAAACACCCCACAAGACTATGTTTAGGAGATGCTCTGACCCAGACGCCTAGCCATCACTATGTGACCCTTGTCAAAGTCCCTCAGAACTTTATGCTTGCCCATTTTTCCTGCCTGATATATCCCACTGCTTGACAGGTACCATTGTAACTATATAATCAATGTTATTCACTTCCCCTGTCAGTGGTTTTACTGATGTGTATACTGTGCTGATCAAATACTTATTACTGAACTTTTTCATTTTACTTCTATTCTACTATCTAGTACCAGGGCCGGCACTTCCATTAGGCGAATAAGACATTCTGCAGGGGGCACCCACCGGGAAGTTTCCTGGTGGGCTGTCCTGCTGCTGCCTGAGGCTGGTGTGCGGGGCGAGCGGCTCCTTAGCCACACCCCAGCGAAGCTATTCAGCTGCTGGTCTCCTCTCCACAGCTTGCCTGCTCAGGGAACGGGGTTTACTGTAACCCCAGCACCCGAGCAGAGCACACTGCTTCCAGCAGGCAACGGAACCCAGGACCCACTGCCCCCTGCCTGTGAACACCGGAAGCCCTCTGAAGGGAGCAGGAAGCAGTCTGTGTTCAGATTGTACAGCTCCCCCAGCAGAAAGAAGAGCAACTTCCCACAGGCTGTCTTGATTAGATCCCTTCTCCTCTCTACAGACTGTTTATTGTGTGCCTGGTTGTAAATTGGTGTGTGTGTGTAAATAAAGTGGTGTGACAATGTGTGTTGGTGAGTGTGCAAGTGACATTGTGTGTGTGTGTGTGTGAAAATGACATTTTGTGTGTGCGTTGGTGAGTGTGCAAGTGACATTTTGTGTGTTAGTGAGTGTGCAAGTGACACTGTGTGTGTGTTAGTGAGTGTGTGTGTAAGTGATAGTGTGTAAGAGACTGTGTATGCCAGTGATAGTGCGTGTGTTTGTGTGTGAGTATGTGTAAGTTACGCTGTGTTTGTCAGTAAGAGTGTGTGCGTGTGTAAGTGACACTGTGTGTGCACGCCAGTGAGAGTGTGTGCTAGTGCGTGTGACCATGTAAAGAAATCCATATATATATATATATATATATATATATATATATATAGTTTTTTTTAATATACAAATATAATTATATAAACAAAAAAAGTTTCACTTAAAGTTACAGCCATTATTGTAAATTAAATCCCTCGAAATGCATTGATGTATGTTTTAGTCAGTATTATTGTATACACATACATATATATATATATACACATACATATATACACACACATATATACACACACACACATATATACATTATAGCAGTATGGGTGTGCGGATATATGTATTGGGCTATGTGTGTGTGTGGTTGATTGTATGTAATAGGCTTTATGTATGGAAGTATTAGGCATTCCCTAAATGTCTCCCCAGACTGTTTCCATTATCTAAATGTCTCACTGTGCATCTGCTTTCACTTAAAGGGAAACTATATGCACCAAGACCACTTCAGCTCATTGAAGTGGTATGCATGCAGTGTCCCAGGTCCTCTAACCCTGCAACGGTAATTATCGCAGTTTTTTAAGAATAATTTTAAGAAACTGCAATAATTACCTTTCAAGGTTAACTCCACCTCTAGTGGCTGTCTACCAGACAGCCACTACAGGGACTTCCAAGCTGTTAGGCAACTTTTGGTCACCTGATGCTGGACGTCCTCACGGTATGCATGGGGACATCCAGTGTAATCCAGAACTCCATAGGAAACCATTGTATAATGCTTTCCTATTGGAAATCCCTATGCAAGTGCCGCCATTGCGCATTAAGCTCTCCCTCGCAGGGTGACTTCAGCACAAAAGGGGGGGGGGGACCTTGACAGAGGGGGAAGCTATAGTGCCAGGATAACAAGTTTGTTTTCCTGGCACTATAGTTTCCCTTTAATGTCTACACAGTGCGGCTTTTTTTCTCAATGACTCTTCACTGCAATTCAGAGTTTAGTGAATAAACCTCTGAGGGAATGTAGTTGCATTCATGAGGGGGCGGCAAAAATTCTTGCCCTGCCCTGTCTAGTACAATAAAATTAGTAGCAAAGCATAAGCACATAGATTAGACAGCTAAAGTCAGTTAAAAGTATTATTTACGCTATACGCTAGTGATTTCACCATCACAACGTAAAGATTACACTTCTAATCCACACATTTTGCACTTGAAGGGATTCAGTGTAAGTACACAAAACACCATATAGCATTTTTCTATACGCTGTGATGAGATGTTGCAATTGTATTATTTTCATGATATTTTAGAAATGACCTTGGCATTAAATAGCAATACTGTACATACATTACTCGAGCCACTTTAACTGCAGTCTTAGATGTAACTGTTCAAAATACACTCATCCGACTCTCTTCAACATGTTTCAGGCTAACATGTTGGTACGTTAATGGCACTGCAATTGTAGAGACTACATAACACCAGATTCCTGAATGACTCATTATTTACAGAAAACTGGAGATAACTTCGGACTCCATCTAAATATGAGCAGTATACAGAATAATAGAAGTGGAACGTGGGTGGTAAGCCTATGCAGATGGCCTTCTCAATGTTATGAGCTGCAAAGGATGTTATGCAATTTTTACATTCAAGTGATAAAGCTTTTTATCAGCCTGTATTCTTGACAGGTTACTTTCAGTTTTTAAAACAGCTGCAACTTTATCAGAAAACACCATAAACGATCAACACAATAGATCATCACAGACTCTCACTAAACAGCAAGTTGTTGTGACTTGGGAACAATTTGCAAAATTTAGGCCAAATCAGCAGAGTGAGAAAAAGAACAACACAACTGAAATAGAGAGTTTAGGCGACTCCATTGTTCTAGCATAAAACTTGCATTTCAGTTCTCAATACACCATTAACTGCGTTTTTTTGTACTTTATTTTTCAGTTTATAAAAGAGAGAATTAATAACACATCAGAACGGAGAGGGAACAAATGCCAAATAGTCCCAAATTAGTGGAAATATAAACCAACAAAAGTTTTGTTGTAAAGAGTATAAAACGTTACTTTTATTGAGTCAATAAATAAAAAAATTCCTTATACACCAGTGAATTATAGCGAGTTGAACAATCACCAATTTATTTTTATTTTTTAATATATATTGCAGAGTACCCACAAACCGGAAATTCTTAAAATCATAGACTCTGTCTGAAAGGGGAATGAGTGTAAATACTGAGCAAATGGGTATATCAGTCTGCTTTGATTTGTAGATATGGTAATTGTCAAATCTAGCAGGTGTTGATGCTTAGCGGGTAAGTTTATCACTGACTCGGTATCTCGCTATTCAGCCTTGGTATAGATACTGAGCGATTGAGTTTATGTCTTTATCTGCCTTTATATGGTGCTGATCAAATCTGGCAGAACCAAAAAAAGAGAGATGAGTTTGTCTCTTTGTCAGAATTTAGTAATATGGTATTAATCAAATCAGATGTAATAGAAAGCGTTAAATAAATAAAAAATAGTCTTGGCTCTATCTGGCCCTTCCCTACACTTCCCTACACCTCCCTCCCCCAACATACAGTATTTGGTAATAACTTAAAAAGATTCTAACTAGAAGTAGGTAGTGCACAGAACAGTCTTAGTAGAATTTAGTGTGCCAATCTGATAGTTAATCGCAATTCTAATATTTGCAAGGTTTGAGCTATCGCCTATAGATACATTCAGAGTTAATTAGCTTCCAATTGTGCGTCTATCAGTACCCCCGACGCGCGTTTCGCCTATGGCTCATCAGAGGGGAGCTGGACAAGGAAATTGTCCGGTTTTAAAAAGGGTTAGAAGCTCTGTTATTGGTCAATTTGAATTCTAAGGGACCAATCAGATTTTATTAGAGGTGTTATGATTGGATGTTTATTTCAAACTTATTTTAACCCTTGGGTTGAATTTGGTTGCCAATATCCATCTAGGTGAGATCTTTCAAGGATTTTAATAGTGGATTTCCAGTTACGTGACTATAGATCACAATATTTTATCATAAACGTTGTGATAACTTGAAGAGTTTACGGTCTTATTCGCTGTTAGACAAAAGATCCGCAGTTAGTAAGTGAAGACCGAAAGGAATATACTATATGACGATATTACAACCAATATAATTAAGATGTTACCATGTGAAATCTGCCATCCTGATGACCATCAAATGTTCCATTAGGACATATTAGGACTACATTGCCACCCTTGTCTGATGGCTTGATGACAAGATCTTTATTTTGACTTAAATATTTTCATGCCTTGCGTTCTCCTTTTAGGTTGTTATGTGAAGAGCGTGGAGGGTGTAGTGCTTCAAGTTGGTCTGTTGTCATTTATACGAAGAGATCTATGTTTATATCATCTTTAAAGTTGGGAGTAAACCAACTTGAGGGTTTGAAATCTGTAAGGGGTGGATTGTTGTCCTGTTCATCGAGTAACTGAAGTAAAGATTGTAGATGGATATAATCTACATTTGAGGGGCCCAGTTCTTTGGCCAATTGATTATCTTTCCATTTGTGAAGGGAACAGAATGCCAGATTGCGTCCAAATATGTTTACGTCTTTCATCCACTCAAATTTGTTGGCCATTGCAGTAGGTACAAGAGAGAGTCCCTTGTTAAGTATGGATTCATGTTCAGGTGTAAGGGTACATTTAGAGATGTTTATTATTTTGTTCTCTGTAGTTCGATAGTTTCTGAAGTTGGGTTTGTCTGATTATTTTTCAGTGTTTAGAGTTACAAACAAACTTGTGGTGCCACAACAGCAGTTACAAGCTAATGAAAAAAATACAGCGTAAACAATATCATGGCATTTGATAACAGCACAATGTTTGGTGAAAGAGAAAACCATGTGAAAAATGCGGGAAGAATGCAATAAAATAGAGAAAAGGATTGTTCCCATAGTAAAGAAAATTCCACTGAGTGTCCATTAACTGCGTTTTAAGTGAACCGGACATCTCATTCCATTTGTAAATATCTCAATATAGAATTGTTGTTATCAATAGTTCAGGTTTAACTTCACATAATTTGAAAACAACCCAACGTGTCTATTTTAATATAGGAACTACATTTTAAGAGCAGGACTGGATTTCACATACCTCTTTATATGCCACTAAATTAACCCTTCAGTGCTATGCAGATAGTCACACACTGCATAGAAAAGTTATTAGGCAATCCATTGGCACTTCGTGGATTGCTATTCATCAGTTCTGCATTAGTATTTATATTTTTAAGACTAACATTATATAGGTACTTACTCTCTTCCATAATACTTTGGTCTGTTTTCCACCTATAGGAGGAGAAAAAAAAAAAAAAAAACGATTAAAAATTAAAAATAGATACAAAGGTAACAAACTTTGTTTAAATACAGATCACATTACTATAAAAAAAGTAATTTTCCTGAGGATCAAAAATCCCAACTGAGAGGTTATAAGTAGAATATTTTACATAAGCTCTACACTTGCAGTTTCCAAAGGCCTCAACAACAGTCTATGGCCAAAGATATAGGGAATGATGCTCAATTACCATCAATGACCAAGGATTTATGGAATCGTCATTGGTGTTTCAGGATTCAGGATAGACCAGTACCTGTTCAGATATGGACAAAGATAAAATGGCTACCGACAGACTGGCCTGATAACCACTGGTACAGATTTTTTGAAACAGAGAGGAAGTGGGCAAAGATTTTATTAGTCAGCTCACTGGACTGCGCACATCAAATGTTGGGCTCAAAGCAGCTGCTGGGGTGTTATTGTATTGGTATGAAAGAGAAAAGATTAATCCTCCTAGGGCACTGCAGTCTATCACACAAACTCCACAACCACCAAAGAAGCCAGGTGTGATTAACGACATATATCCTATTCATTAACACAGCTGTAGAGCATATCTGTGTTTAGTATATATTATTGCTTCATAGACAGAAATGTTTACAGCCGTTTGAGAAGAATGCCAAAGAGTAAAGTCATTAAGTATTTAAAAGCACAGCTGTATTTAGAGCAAAGGATTGCAATACTAACAAAAAAACAGCAACAAAAAAACTTTGATAAAAGATTGCAACATGTTCATGGAACAGAAATGAAATGGGCCTTATTGGGGTTTGTAGAGAAGGTCTTCCCCTATCAATTCAGTTCTATCTACCTGAAATCCAGAACCTGGCAAAGCTCCTGGCTCTGCTTTTCCACTCCCCTCCTGACGTCAAGGCAGCCGTGCGCGCTCCAATCAAAGGTTTCTCATAGAGAAGCCTGTGATTGGACCAATTTGCCAACTCAGAGTGCATGCATGTGCTTTGCGCTAGTGAGGGTAGGGGTCTTTTAAAAAAAACAAATAAGCAACGAAAGGAGGCAGGACGGAGCGCCCACAGGGATGGAGGATGGGAAGGTAGAGCAAGCTGACAACACCTGCAAGGGGAAGATTTAAACATTTGTTATCAGTGTGCAGTGCGAGCTGCAAACAGTCGTAATTTATGCACAGAAATGACATTAGGCAGTCACGTGTGCTGGTGGTGCAACTAGCCTTCAGCACAAAATTACTTACATCTCTGTATGGGCAGTGTTTCTAGCTGAAACACTGCACACACTGACTCCTACCACCGTGACCACTCCATTTTCACTAAACTAGTCAAAGGTGGTTGGAGTAACTCTTTAACCCTATGAGTAGTAAAAGGGAATAACCCCAATCCCAGTAAACTGGGACACACTGAGCACCAACACAAGTTTCAGGCACTTACTAGGTTTTGTCATCATGAATATGCGGTGTTGTTTGCATACTTATATCTTTATAGTTTTTGCACAAATCAATAAATGTTTTGCAGAATGCTGCTCCATAACCTGCCTCCTTATCCACACCCCCTCACTACAGAACTCCCTATCAAATATATGCACACATCTCTGCATACTGTTGGGGCTGAGAAAGTCTGCATACATTTGATAAGGAAGTCTTTTTAGGCAAGAGGGGGTGTAGCTAATAAAAAGCATTATTTTTTTTTAGCTAAAACTACAAAGCATTCACAAAACATAGCATATTAATGCAAATGCATTCAAGTCGCATTGGTGCCCATGGTGTCTCTTTAATAAAAGAAATGGTTATCTTTTAAAATGCACTCAAAATGGTGAAAAGCAACATGTAAATAGTTTCTCAATGTGCAGCATTCACAAGCATTCAGCTGGATGCAGGCACCTGCAATGTCAGTCAATCAGCAAAGATGATGTTGTTGACAAACATGCTTCTCTCAAGGATATAAAGAATATGTAATAAAACTGGAACACTCAGGTTCCAGGAAGTAGGAAAAAACAGCATGTACCTTAAAAAGTACATGTTTTCAATTATTCAATCTCCTTTGTAAAAATAACTTTTGTTTCTATAAAAGAAGTTTTGTGTCACTTGAAGAAATAAAAAGTCAAGGTTAATTACTTCTAAGAGAACAATAATCTAACAGCAAATTGGTTATAATGGTATATGAATCAGCACTTAGCAAAACTAAGGAACCCAGTCACCATGGCAACAAAAAATGGCTGCTGACACACAGATTTTTAACCCACGTACTGCATGAGTGCTGACAGAAACATGTGCCAGTTTGGAAAAAGCATTTCATATACCATGCAGATCTTTTTATACAAAAACAGCAGAACTATATTTGCGTGATAGTTAAGTTAGGTATAAAGTTGTATATGCCAAAATGTGTTTAATAAGTGCACGTAATTTTTTTGTGCACATAGGCAGCCCATGACGAATGCACAATTCACATGCTGTAGAATGAAAATCATTAAAGGGACACTATAGTCACCAGAACTACAGCTTATTGTAGTTGTTAAGGTGAGTATATTCAGTCCCTGCAAGCACTTTAGAAAACGCAGTGTTTACATTACAGGTAAGGAACAACTCTAGTGGCCACTCCTCAGATGGCTGCTAGAGGTGCTTCCAGGGTAACACTGCACAACGTGCAACACCAGCGTTCAGCGTCTCCACGCTCTGAATCGAGACACTGAACTTTCCCCATAGAGACGCACTGATTCAATGTAACTATGAGGAAATGCTGATTGGCCAGGCTGGCGTATGGCCCTGCCCCTGTCTCCTTGACGATCTCATCCAAATGGGAAAGCATTGGATTGGCTAAGACCATCAATTCTGATGATAGCCAAAAAGGCGTATCGGGGATGGGGCCAGGGAACCCAAGCGGTGCTGGAAATAAGGTAAGTTTTCTAATTATTTATGGGGGGAGGAGGGGGCAAGGGTGATTAGGAATACATGTTTGTGTTCCTGATCCTGTAGTGTACCTTTAACTTAAAGTGAACCTGCCATGACAAGTTCACTTTATACCTTTTAATCCCATTTAGCAACACATATATTATTGATCATAATGACCTGTGATATATTTAACTTTGAAATGAAGTATTCAGTTTTTATTCACTTCCTCTTCCGGATGTCAGTGTCGCCATCACGCCATCTAATGTAGCACCCAACCTTCAGTTACGCCTGACTTTTATTTTGTTTATGGTACTATGTCTTATACAAAATCTCCAGATTGTCTGTGGCTTCCTAGACATTTGGTATGCAGACTTTATATACTACAGGATCTGTGAATCACTCCTTGATGAATTTATAGGTTTCCTTCTGCACTCCTCCACAGCCCATAACAAATGGTCCATGAATAGGGAATGTTCTATAAATACTTAGAATGAGTTAATGGACTCACCATTTCATCAGCCAAGGGAAAATGAATCAATACATTTTGCAATATATTTTTCTGAAATATACTATTAATTAGCATAGGAGAAAAACTTGTATAGTAAACCTTCAAATGACTTATAAAGTTAAACACTATTAATTATCAAAAGATTATCATGTTATCTACAATATACTCATTCTGTAGCGGAGTGATTCACAAAGTAGGGAAATGAAACCTCTTTAAATATATGGATCAGTGAAGCAGTCTCATTGCTTTCTTTGATTGGCTTATTGTTTAATTATGCCTTGTTCCTCATCAAAGATCGGGGAAGTTTTTTTTTTTTGCATAAAAGTACCCTCCCCCACCCCCCAAATACTGTGATGAAATGCCTTGTGGCCATTAGGCATTGGGTCTTGTAAAGCAGAGTGCTGAGAGACTGAATGTAGCATGCAATTGTGTGGCTGGATTGTTTTATATTTTTATATTCTGCTCATTGTTTTCCAACTAAAGGTCTACAGTTGGAACTGTAGGGAATATGATATTTGCAGAGAGCGATGACTTTTCATCAAGTTTTATTACTTAAAGGAAAACTCCAAGCACCAGAACCATGATCACAGCCTCCCACAGTAAGTACTATAGCCATATGTGAATCCTTGACAAATAGTTGGTGCCTGCCGGGTCACCTCCTCATCTGCGCCAACGCAGGTGACCTTTTCAGCCAATATGCCGGCCCTGCACAACTTAGCTCAATGCAGCAGGGTAGGTTTGACTACTTACCGTGGGAGGGCACTAGGACACCTCTGGCACCACAAACACTACAGCAGTCTGTAGTGGTTATGATGCTTGCAGTGTTTAGAGAATCCTTTGAGAATGCCACATAAATGCAAATATTAATCATTATCAATCCCTTGTATTTTTAACATTGTAGTAGCCAAGGATAGAGAGATAAATTATTGTTAGTTATAACTATTTAACTGTGTGTCAAAGTGTGTGCCACTTCCTCAGAATTGCTTTGCTATTCTCCCAGATGATCAGTGTTTTTTGTTTTGTTTTTTTACAGTCAATAAAGGATCTTCTTAATCCAAACGTGGAGTTGGTGACATTGTGTCTCATAAACAATCTATTCCCTTTTTACTATGCAGCCTAGATATTTGTGTTTGAATAAAACATATCTGTCAGTCCCTTTAAGAGAAGTAATACGGAGTATAGTGAAGTGACTGCTTGCGTATTTCCCACTTGTAAGAAGGACTATACATGTTCTTATTATGGCCTCCATCTCTTAAGTGAAATTACTATTTCCAGCCTGTATTCCTGCAGTGCCTACCCTGTTCTATGACTTTCTGCATCACTAAGCAACAAAAATGACAGATGTGTCAAGTAAAAGGTTTGAGGAAAAAGATCATCTGTGCTCATATTTATTTATTTTGCCAGAGGGGAGAAATTGCAACAGCTTTGCTGAACCAAAGGGGAATTTGCAGAGCAGAGCATTCTTTTATTTTTCAATCAGGTGAAAGCAAGGGGGAGCATGTTGCAGAATATGAAGGATAATTCATTTCTACTATTTAAGCATGGCATATACTTCCAGAATGAACATGAAAAGGGTGTACTTTCTATATTTAGAAGAGAGAGATATCAAATGATTACTCCAGTGATTTGAAGTGGTAATGGTAGTTGGAGCCTCTATGTATAGCGTTTCAGCTTGTTCCTGGTTGCCGAATATCAATTCTGTGCAAATATGTCCCTTGCAGGCAGTGTGTCCTTGCTCTCCCATTCCTTTGTGTGCTCCCTCACTAGCTAAAATAGTTTTTTTGTTAAATCCACTTAATCTCTTTCTCCCCTCACCAGCTCTGCTCACACCAATTTGTTAGGACATTCCATATTGTCCTAACAGCATTAAAGCCCAGTCTATGGGGATGGTACAGAATGTCTTAACATCAGGAAGGGGTTAACATGTAATCTGCAAATTGGGATTTTCTCCCCTAAATAGAGAATAGTAATGATTACTGACTATTGTCCCAGCATGGCTATACTTTGCAATTCAGTTTTCAGTCCTCCACAATTTGGTGGTAGTCTACATGAATATTCTGTAAATCTGCTAGCGCAGTCAGTACAGTAATAGCCTGATAACATTGCAGCTCACTTCTACTTATTGTGCTTCTGTTTGGGAACATTTGAGTCTTGTTTTGCTTGCGGATATTTACTAGTGTAGGATTTCTTCCATTCTTTTGTAGAATTCATTATCTACTTTCTTGCTTAGTAAAAGAATAAAAATGTACAAAATTACAAAAAAGTTACATTGATAATCATATCCAGATGAGGAGTTTTTGAAGTCTAACTCACGGTATACTCAATTATGCTGTTCAAAGCTTCACTACAGGAAATATTAAATATCTATCCTGCTGAACGATTTGAAAACAAGCTACCACGGGCACAGAAAGTCTAAAAAGCTTAAATACACAAAAAACATCCCCCTCCAAGTCCGCAAGACTTGTAACATTTGCTTCTGTACGCAAAGTAAACAGTCAAAAACAGGAAAAGCCACTTGAAGAGCTCAAAAGGTAATAGATTACATCACATGTCACATTCCGCAGCTCAGCATGTGCTTCTGACTTGCACATGGTGGGGGGGGGGGGGGTTCCCATTAAATCGTTAAGAAACCCAATAGTACGATTCATGACCTGATGACTGATAGATTATAGCTCACCTCACGTGTGCAGGTAATTCTTCGGGGATGGGGAGCTTCTTGTTGCAACTGATACACTGATAGATAAAGAACACATGATTACATATTACATATTAAAGAGAAAGCTGTGTTCTAAGCATAAGCACAGAGATTTTTACATTAATAATTAATATTGTAATGATTAGCTTTCCATTACAGTCTGGTAACAATAGCCAACTAGGTTAACTGCTAAATGAAAGTTTTAGTTTTATAAACAAAGTCCTAGTAGTGCTATCGAGAGAGTGTGTATTTATTTATTTTAAAAGGGTTACTCCGTGCACCATGACCATTTCAGTGGTTTTAAATAGATATGGTGCCTGGAATCTGCAGAGGTTCGCTGTAACGCCACACATACTGAATATAACCCCTTGGCCAGCTAGTGTAACTCCATCTCAGTCAGAAAAATACGAACGTTTCTCAACCCGTTTTGTGAATGGTGAGACACTGATTAGCTGAGAGTGTCAGCTAACTGCTTTTAGCCAATCAGAGGCACTCTGCCCACAGCAGCCATAATTTGGTACACAGACTTGTACTTGTGAAAGGTTTAACCCCTTAAGGTGAGCCAGCAGCAGTGACCTCCAGGTATCAACTTTATTTCAATGAAATTGCTATGGAGCCCGCAATGTTCATTTAAGGCCAAAAACTGGAAGCAGAGTTGACCTTTTCCATTTTGATTATTTTAGTCTTAAATTTAAAATTCACCTTGAATTTCCAACAATTCTCACTTAGTGAATGACCCTATTTGTTTCTGATGATGCTCAGCAAGCCAGCTAAACACTGCAAGCACCATGAGCACTACAGCTCGCTGTAAAGGTTATGATGCGAAGAGTGCCATAGTGCTCTCCCAATCATAATTAGTCAAACCACTTTATAATGTTCTAAAACGGATTGACTACTTACAATGAGGGATGCCATGTACCCCTGGCACAATAACATCCACAGTGAGGTGTAGTGGTTATGGTGCTTGGAGTGTTCCTGTAATAACTGCATTATATAAAAATATAAAACTAGACCATTCCAGTAAAGTTTAGCTGGAAAAAATGTGTAACTTCAAATGATTAGATCTTTACATGGTTTAAAAAAGGAACATTCTTGCTTAAATTTTGTCTTAAGATAACGTTCCAGGAAGTAAATCAGGAGCACATGTTTATTTGAAATAAAAAAACCTGATATGTAAATTGAAGACTGGTTAGGCCAGACATGATGTTATGCTGAGCAGGAAATGAGATAAAGGAATAACCTTCTGACAGTAGTATATTTTTACTTTTTGTATCAATAAAACAATGTGTACTTACAGTAAGATTTCCATACTGGGGGCCTGTATTCATCGTTATCTGAAATTTACAAATGGTGAAAATGGTATAAATAGATGTAAAAGGAAATAAAGGCATAGTATTACTGGACAACTAATGTAAACATGATATTCTTTATAATGACATGCTCAGCACTTTTGGCTGAATGTAATGTTTAAACCCATCGAATGGAGACACATATAAATATGTACAAGGAGTCATGTTGACACAAAGCTAAGCACTTTTCAAAAAGACGCATACATTATTGTACAAAAATGTCGATATACTGCCAAGTGGTCTTTCTTTTTCTAATTCATTTGAATTTTATTTCTGTGATATAAAGACTGTGTAACAGAATACTATAAAGACATTACATATATTTGAAAAAGCACATTTACTGGGTAAAACGCGTTAGTGTGCTACTCTATTCCATTCTTATATTGCTTTTATTACTATTTCTAAATAAAATTTATGTATTTTTACGACCTTGTTGCTACCTCTAAACCAATCTTACCTGTAAAGCTCTAAACAACTCTACCCCGTTATATTTCTTCACCAATTCATTGATACGCCCATTCTCGGTCTCCGCTCAGCGAGTAACCATCTCCTGTCTGCTGTGCTTACCCTTATTGCTTACTCACGCTTGCAAGATGTAGCAGAATGGATTCGTTTGAATAAACTTTAATTTCTTCTGGTTCGGCAGCCCATACACACTCTGTTTACCGAACTAACTCTGTGTGGGTCCCCTTGTTAACAACTCATAATCACCAACCACTCCTGACTGTTAACCACAAATGAGCAATTAGTTCAAGTGCTTTCCCTGTGTGGCCGTGCTCCAAGAATTTGTCTCCTGAACGCAGGTAGCTTTACATGGTCGTTGAGTGTCTGGAAATGTATGTCGACTATGCAACCCCGAGGACACCCAGGAAACGTGCACCGCTGCACGTGCAACTTCCTGATCAGTTAGGAGGATGGCATTCGGGAGAAAGGAACTACCGAACAGGGGGAGCATTTGCTCCCTTAAACCCAGGGCGAGCATTTGTCAGTGTTTGTATGAAAACCCCCGAAAGAAGACCAGTCGTTGCCTTATGTTCTGTGGAACTGTTTTGGGACATCAACAAGTGATCGACCAGTCAAAACTTCATTCCAATGGCAATTCCAAACCACCAAAGGGATCTGAGCGCTATTTCGACAAAGTGTGCGCTCAGACTCAAGCTATTCGGGGATATGACTTTTGTGGGGTTCGTGCATTATGATGATGTATTTTTGGGGTATTTTGTATTGTTTCCTGTAACAGAGATAATTGAGTTATCCGATTTTGGGCTCAATTATTTCTCAGACACAGAGACTCCTGGGAAGAGACCCGTGTATTTTTGCTATGTAGACCCGATGCTAGGTGCCATGCATAAAAGCTGCGTGTGGCCAAATAAAACTAAGTTGACTCCCAGAACGAAGTGTCGTCTAGTTGCTGGGGGGAAAGGTCTTTAAATACTACAGTGCGTCTTACAGCTTCGAGGAAGGAATAGTGGAGATACCTAGTCGTGGTATCGGAGCACCACTACACATGACTTCACTGCCAGCTCCTCTCCTCTAAAACAGCCACCTGCCTCCTCCAATCCGACTCTCCCCTAGTCCAGAAGTCCCTCAAAACCCATCTCTTCAGAATAGTCTATAGCCTCACGTAGTAATTTGCCTATCTCTCGCTCTCTCTATGCTACACACTCCACTCTCCCCATTAGATTCTGCTACTTCCCACCTTGTCGTTTGGTTGCTACCCACCACAATAACCTTCCTATTAAATATTATGTATTTACACCCCACCTTTTCTAGATTGTAAGTGCTTTACAGCAGGGTCCTCATCAGCTTATTATTCCTGTAACATTTTGTAAATGTCTCATCTATTGTTTAATCTCCCCCTTTATAACATTGTAAAACGCTGCAGTATAAGTTGGCGCTATATAAATGATGATGATAATAATGAAAATATACGTTTAAGGTAGTTATGATTTTTGCACAATGCCGTGAAAGTCAATAGTCCCATACCATATGTCGTGAATGCCTTCAAACTGCTTTCAGATATAAAGATTAATAATTCAACAATACGCACAATTTTTGTTTTCTAAACTTTTCTTTTGTCAAATACAAAACAGAATGAAAATAAATGGACTCCCATGAGTGTTTTTCAAATAGAAACATATTTTAAACACAGATTAATTTATGAATCAAACTGCTAAAGTACATTCTAAGCAGCAGATCCACAGCAGCTTTGTGTGTTATTTGGACTGAATTGTATATATAATGCACATAATATATTCTACAAGATAAGCCCATTATTCCAAAAGACAGATAATGTTTTCAAATCCTGTACTTCCCTCATCTGAGGGTAGCACCAGGCATATCTCTCTGTCTGCCCAAATTAAGTGGGAGATTTGCTCTTGGATGGTAAACTGCTACATACAGCAGCTGCCATTTTTAATTTAGCCCTCTCCCCAGCTATTTTAATAGATATTACACAATACAGACTTCTTAATTCTTACAGGTTATTCATACATACTTGCTATTTGGTGCAAACACAGACTGAATCTGTAAGAGATTACTGGATAGTGGAGATAAGAGTGCTAAATTGAAGCAAGCTTTGGTATAGTTTCCTTAATCATAACCCTACACTTAACAGGGACACTAAATTAGAGAATCATCTTTGCACAAACACAGCTTCAATCAATGTATGCCTATGAGGCAAATTGGCAAAGATCAGAGCTTCTGATGTCCACCTGGATAGTGTGTGTGATCACATATATATACACACACACACATACATACTTACATATATATACATACACACATACACAAGATCCAGCACACTCACCTATCCACTAGACAGCAACTTCAATGTTGAAAGATTTTATTAGTTTTTTTAAAAACACCTAATCTAGGCAAAAATAATGGGGGTTTAGTTACATTATGTGATCATACATTGCATAAGTCTGCCACAACGTCAATGTACCCCATCTTTGGCAGGTCCTACTCTAACAGCCTAATGTCTGCTCTTAGATTAAAAAAACTAATAAAATCTTTTAACATTGAAGTTGCTGTTTAGTGGATAGGTGAGTGCGCTGGATCTTGTGTATTGTATTATTTGGCCCCCAGCAGCACCCCCATTTATGCATGTTCAGGTGAGTGCAGCCAACCCCCCCTTGTTTATATATGCATCTTATCCTAAGTTGTATACTGCAAACACAAATTAAAAGGAATCCATGTTTAAAATGGAATGAGGCAAAAATGTGATTCTTTGTTAAACTAATTTGCATATGCCCACCCAGAATCCTTTGCGGTTGTAACATCACTGCTGATTTGGGATTTCTGTGGGAAAAGCAAGTCTTATGGCTTGACTGGTGTGCAGATTATTGTTTAGCATTGTATTAACTTATATATATATATATATATATATATATATATATATATATATATATAACACACATACATACACACACACACACACACACACACACACACATATATATACATACATACATATACACACACACACACACACCGTATATACTCGAGTATAAGATGAGTTTTTCGGCACATTTTTTGTGCTGAAAAACCCCCACTCATCTTATACTCGAGTCAAGGTCTGTATTATGGCAACTTACATTGCCATAATACAGACCAGGACCACCGAGCTCATTACAAGCCTGGCGGTCCTGTTGTGGGTTGGCAGAGAGCTGTAACTTACCTTTCCTGCAGCTCCTGTCAGCTCCCTTCTCTCTCCTCCGGTCCGCTCCCCTGTCAACTCCACTGTAAGTCTCACGAGAGCCGCGTGGTCAGAGCGTTGCCACGGGTTACCGTGGCAACGCTCCGTGCGGCACTCAGGCCGCAAGACTTGCAGTGGAGCGGACAGGGGAGCTGACCGGACCGGAGGAGAGGGAAGCTGACAGGAGCTGCAGGAAAGGTAAGTAACAACTCTCTGCCAGCCCCCCTCCTACACAGCCAATGCCACTGGACCACCAGGGAATGAGAGCCCCCCTCCCAGGCCAGCTAACAAGCAGGGAGGGGGGATGTATATAAATTAAAATAATAAAATAAAAATATTAATAATATAAAAAAAAATATTAAAATAATAATAATAATTTTTAAAAAATGCCGACCCCCCACCAAGGCTCTGCATCACATACACAAACACACACTGCATATAAATATTCAATTAACATAATTTTTTGGGGATATCATTTTATTTAGAAATTTACCAGTAGCTGCTGCATTTCCCCACCCTACTCTTATACTCGAGTCAATACGTTTTCTCAGTTTTTTGGGGTAAAATTAGGGGTCTCAACTTATATTCGCGTATATACGTTATACATATAAACACACACATATATACACACACAAATATATACACAGCAAATATGTAGAAAACAGACAGTTTTAATTGCAGTCTCTGTGTTTTATGCTTTCCTTTAGTGTAGCTGAATTCTAATCATATGCACTTTGAGAGGATAAATTGATTTTCACAGAGGGAATTCAAACAGCAGCACTTAAATATCACACTAACAAATTTGTTCCCAACAAGGAACATTTATTGTACAGTGTTATATCTTGCAAAATGACTAACAGTAATAGATCAATAGGGATTAAATTAGTAGTGAACAAACTCGAGATCCCTGCTCCATAGCAATAGCTGGAAGCCCACAGGACAGTGATGGATAATCTTGGCACCCCAGAGGTATATAACCTGCATTTCACACAAGACTAAAGGTACTATGGGAAATATTTTGTAAACAGCTGGGATCAATCATTACACTGGACAATAGTAGTAGAGACAGTTTAGACTACACCACGTTGAATCCAATGGCCTGATCATGTGGACACCTTGGAGAACCTCAATAATGTCTGGGACACATGGATTAAAAACCTCATTTAATGGGGGATTGATACTTCTCTAGAAATTACAACACTGAATAAAAGGGACACTAAGCAACCCCTGTAGGCTTACTGCTTAATTTTCTGCCATTTAGAAGTTAAAGAAACACTACAGTGTCAGAAATACAAAATGTGTAAAAATACATTTTAGGTAACCGCCTCCCCGCTCACCCCTGTTAAAAGGTCAAATAACTTACCTTTATTCCAGACTTGCGCAGGTCTGCCGTGGCGAGCTCCACACCCGCCCGCATCCTTGGCTGAGATCATCAAAATTAACAACCCTAGCCAATCCAATAATTTCCCATAGGAAAGCATTGGTAGGCTCCTGCGCATGTGCGGCAAAAGCCAAGCTGCGCCAATCAGCATCTCCTCAAAAATATGCATGGAATCAATGCAAAACGTTGATGCGCTGAACATCAGGGATGTACACTGTGCAGCACTGACCCAGAAACCACCTCTAGTGGCCGTCTGAATGACTGCCACAAGAGGTGTTACAAGGCAGCAATACTTACATGAAAAAGCCTGAAGGAACAAGCTATAGACACCAACAACTACATTAAGCTGTTGTTGTTCTGGTGACTATAGTGCCCCTTTAAGAGCTTCACTAGATCTAGGCAACCTCCAGAGAGGCAGAAACAGAACTGAAGATGGTGGAGGAGGAGAAGATGAAGAAGGACTTTATAGCTTGGTATAATGGGTATATCTGCCTATCTTTTAATAGTGAAGTATTTTTCTCACACAGGAAAGGAACCAATACATCGTTTGTTGGTGAATTACCCACCACTGCTGATACAACCCTCATGTCAGCTTAAACAATCAGACTGACAACACATCCATCTCTTGCTCAGGTCTCCTTAGGCACAAATTCTATAACCGTAACAATTCAGTATAATACCCCTTTAAATCACTTTGTTTATGCAGCCTTAGTTGCATCTCTCTGCATGCTATCCTCACAGTCTCCCTACACATTTGCTATTGTATAGTGTGTTTAATTTAGAATTTCTTACATCCTGCTGTGTTGATAGCCTACTAGAGCCTGCATGAACCACCTGTGCATGATTAAGTTTCAATTATCAGAGAAGGAGATGAAAATTTCTAAAACAGGGGGTGAGCTTAGGGCTGCATAAATGAAAAAAGTGATTTGATGCATAAATGGCAGAGAATTGAGAAAGGAGACTGAAATCGCTACGGAAACTGTTGGCGCTATATAAATAGTAATAATAATAATAATAATAATAATAATAATAAAGAGGCATGATCACACCATTACGGCTTTATTAAAGGACCACTATAGGCACCCAGACCACTTCAGCTTAGAAGTGGTCTGGGTGCCAGGTCCAGCTAGGGTTAACCCTTTTTTCTATAAACATAGCAGTTTCAGAGAAACTGCTATGTTTATATTAGGGTTAATCCAGCCTCTAGTGGCTGTCTCATTGACAGCCGCCAGAGGCGCTTGCGTGCTTCTCACTGTGATTTTCACACTGAGAAGACGCCAACGTCTTCCTGGCACTATAGTGGTCCTTTAAGCTGCAGTTGTTTTGAAACCAATGGTATCCTTTTAAACATTGAAAATCACCTCTAACTTGTTTTAACTTTTTTCCTGTTGTGCTCCATTTACGTTTAAGTGTATCTTAAAGGGACACTCAGTACCAGAACCACTACAGCTTAACCCTGTCACGAAGTAAGGATACTCCATGACTCCCTCCACAGAGTGGGCATTAACGCACTTAGGACAGCATTACAAAATGTCCTAACGAATTGGTGTTGGCAGGGTTAAAATATGCTCACAGCAAGGAGTCCCAGTTATCAATTAATACCTGGGGCTCCACTTTGTCAGCTGGGGCGTTTTTTTAGTGGCCACAGACTGGCAGATGAAAGGGAATTTAAATGCACATTGAAATAGCTGTATGCACTTTGACTGCATACATATCTTTCAATGTGCATTTAAATTCCCATTAACCAAAATGCGCAATTAGCAGAGTTAAATCCCTGCATAGAGTCATTTTTAGCAGCTTCAGAGTGACCAGTGAATAGTATGCAGCACTCAAAGTGAGTGCTGCATACAGCAATTTAAGAATATTTCATATTCCATCATTGTTATTTATCCAATACACTGTCTGTCTACTGTATTTTGTACAGGTTATGCTCTGTTTTAACTTCCCGTAAGAGAACGTTTTGCACTGTTTCAAACAATTCAATAAACCCAGATTTTAAAAATGGACACACAAAATGATACTAGGGATTGGAAGACCTATAATGGGTTCTCTATAGGACAGTAGATACATTTTGAAATAGTCTATGCTCTTATGCACTTAAAGGGACACTATAGTCACCAAGATCACTTCAGCTCAATGAAGTGGTCTGGGTGCCAGGTCCCTCAGGTTTTAACCCATATTATGCCTCCATCGATCAGAGCGTCCATAGGAAAGCATTGAGAAATGCGGCTCCGCTGACGTCGGCGGGGAAGGAGAGGTCACCCGGCGCTGGAATAAGGTAAGCTGCTGAAACGGTTTTAACCCTTTCAGCGCAACAGGAGGAGGACCCTGAGGGTGCTGTTATAAAGCAATGTCCTCTATTACCTTATAGTGATCCTTTAGGGTCAGGAAAAGAAAGCGGCTTTGCTGACACTTAGTGATCCTTTAAGGTAACAGAGGACATTGCTTTATAACAGCAAACAAACTAATCCGACACTCCTAGCTTTACAACTCTTTTCTCTTATCATACAAATGCAACAACCAGATATGCATTACTACTCACCAACGCATACAAAGGAAAAGAACATAAACAAAGGTTAATACATTTAATGAACCTGGAACAGAAGTAATTTTATCTTCAAAAACAATCTTGCGTATAAAGCGACGCTGATTACATGGCGCCATCTAGTGTACAGTGAATAAAATGTTGTAGTGCATGTTATCAGTTTAATATTACTGTGCAAAGATATGTAACAAAACAAATGATAAAGCAATATATCCAGTTATATGACGAGCTGTCAATGCCTCATGAACTTTTTAATAGATAGTGTTTTCAAAATAAATGCAAATACAATAAATTAAAGGGGACCCTATAGGCTCCCAGACCACTTCATCTCATTTAAGTGGTCTGGGTGCAGTATCCCTGTGACCGTAACCCTGCAATGTATAACACTGCAGTTTTAAAGAAACTGCAATGTTTACAGTGCTGGGTTAAGGCTACCTCTAGTATAGTCACGGTCTCCCTCCCGCCGGGCTCTAGGGTGAGGAAGGGGTTAAACTTACCTCTTTCTCCAGAGCCGGGCAGGGAGCTCTCCTCCTCCTCGGCAAGAGCTGCGCACGCATTCAGCCAGTCTCATAGGAAAGCATTATCAATGCTTTCCTACGGACGCTGGCGTCTTCTCACTGTGATTTTCACAGTGAGAAGCACGCAAGCGCCTCTAGCAGCTGTCAATGAGACAGCCACTAGAGGCTGGATTAACCCCAATATAAACATAGCAGTTTCTCTGAAACTGCTATGTTTATAGAAAAAAAGGGTTAAACCTAGCTGGACCAGGCACCCAGACCACTTCATTAAGCTGAAGTGGTCTGGGTGTCTATAGTGGCCCTTCAAATCAATCAAAACCAAGGTCATCTGTATGTGAAGTATTTGCAATTTAATTCCCAGGTTTTGCAGGGAGCTCTCATCTAACCAGGAAGTAACTCAAGCAATCATGATGCTTAGCTTTATATAACACTACTGAGATAGGCAGTTCTGAGCTGGGATTCTAGCCTTATTGCCATTTCTATTGTAGGAAGATACAAAAATACTGCTGGGATGGAGACACAGAAATGGCAGGCATATGGAGCAAAACTATTGAAATAAAATATATATATAATTGGGGTTAAAAAAAAAACAACAACCCACATGTAGCATTATCTTAACCAACATATTGCATCCAACTTGTGTGAAGTATTTGATTGTGTAGTGTATTTGAATGCCACACATGTCCCAAAGGGTACCAATACAGTTACTGTGAGGTGACTAAAACAGCTCTGGATAAATGCAACTAGCCTTTTTGTTTGTTTTCTACTTTAACAAGGTTCAATAATCTAATGGAGGCAGAAATCTTTAATTTTATAAATAACAATATTTAGCATACTAGAGTGTTTTTTGGAAGGAGCACTACAACCACTACAGCTGTTGTGGTTATGGTGCCAGGAGTGCCATCCCAGGGAAAGTAGTCATTAAGAACTTACCTAAAGTCTGCTGGGCACCCGCCACCACCTCCATTGCAATCAGCAGCAAAGAGCTTCTATTAGTTCGACTAAGCTATGCACTGCCATGCATGGCTGAGAGCTCTCAGCCAATGATCTAAGCCTTACCCTGCCAGACGTGGTTCAGGGCAGGAGCATCTAGCAACACAGGTTAAAGTGATCGATACCAGGCAGACTCCAGTTGAGTTCTCAAATAATCTGATCACTTACTCTGGGAGGAGGCAAGGGGACTGATAAATTACTTGATTACTGCACACACAAAAAAAAACACAACAACAAAAAAAACAGCCAAGACCCACACCAATAGAATTTACACAGTAAATTTACTTCTAAAATAATTACAAAACTTTTCCTGCAGGAAATTGTGTCTACACAAAAAAACTAATTTACTTTGAATCAAATGCATTTCTTTATTACTCTTGTTCCCTTGCTTTAACCCCTTAAGGACACATGACATATGTGACATGTCATGATCCCCTTTTATTCCAGAAGTTTGGTCCTTAAGGGGTTAAAGTCGAAGTTTTATCTATATACCTCTCTGAAGTATGTGACGCTTTTTTTTTTCAATGTCATATGTCACTTATGTGCTCGGACACAAGCAACAATCGAGTTTCTAATGTTTTCCAATGTCTCAGTATTTCTTACTTCATTATCTCATTTGTGATGTATGAATGTTATGATTTGTGAGAATGTTGTGGCTTAGAAAAGCTCTGACTGGGAGCCAAAACCTTGCCTCTATTCCTAAAAAAAGTCTGCTGTTGGATTTAACCTCTGATTTTATTAAGACACGGAGGCTCCTATTATGCTGCACTCTTTCTTTATTTCCCTCAGCAGCAAAGAAAAATAGAACATACAAACTGAAATGGTGGCTTCCTCACATGGAAGCATGGAACGGTCGCGCCATCTTCGGTGCAGCACCAGACACAAGCTTACACAGTTGGGGTGCTCGTTGTGGAGATGTCTCTACTGGTGGCAGATGGTCCGATTACAAATCGACTATTAATATCAACTGTCTGGAACTCCTGGCCGGCACAGTCGCTATCCGCAGCTTCTCCTCAACTCAAGCCCAGTGCTATAATCTCCTGATGATGGACAATATATCAGCTATCCATTACATCATCTAGGAGGTATGAAATCAAAGGTCCTGGTGAATAGAGAACAGAATTTTGGCCGTTCTACCTGGCACGGAACATATCTATTACTGCAGAATATATCCTCGGCCTCTCCAACACCACAGCAGATTGGTATTCCTGACACATCAGAGATTCCAGCGATTGGCATCTGGATTCAAGAGTCTTCCAGGACATCCAACAGTTATGGAGCCCACTAGAAAGAGACCCTTTCGCTTCCCGGGTTCTTTAGTTTGAGACCAAACCCAATGGCAATAACAACGGTTGCTTTAACCCAAGATTCGTCATCCGCAATTTCCACCCTTTTAATTGATTCCCCGTTGCCTCCTGCAACTACGACGCCAGTTTGGGACTTTGGTTATTGTGACGCCCTTGTGGCCATCCCAACCATGGTTTCCTCCTCTTCTAGAGATGGCTATCGACTTACTATGTCTACCTCCATCACACGACTGCCTCCTTCATGATCCAGACAGAATGTCCCCTGGTTCTCCAAGACCTTCTACAGCTCATGGTGTGGCTATTTTCAGGGGACCTTGGTCAATCGAGGGAGTTTTGGAATTAACTATCCGTCTTCTCAAGCATGGGCATCCGGCACGAGACAGGCTTCTAAGTCTAGTTGGAGCAGATGGCATGGTTAGTGCCTGGAATGAAACATGGATCCTGTATCGGCTCCTCTGACTTCGATCCTCCAATTCCTCACCTCACTCTTCGATGATGGTAAGGTCTATCACACAGCGAACCTTTATCGTTCTTCTATATCTGCTGGACACCAAGGTTTGGATGGAGACCGTTAGGCCGCCACCCTATGGTGTGTAGACTCCTCCGTGGAATAAGATTTGCTTGTCCACCTTTACCGCGTTATTCAGTTTAATAGGACATTTCTACCATACTCAACTTCTTCAAATCCTGGCCGACTAATGCCTCACTATGTCTGAAACAACTATCAGCGAAACTAGTCATGCTTCTCTATTTAATATCCTGCAGGAGGGTTTCTGACATCAGAGCTCTTGATATTACTGCTCGCTCATATACTCCGGAAAGTGTCCTCTTCAATATATCTCGGAGAATTAAAAACTTCCTCGAAGAATTTTATATCTATCTTTCCCTGACAGACCTCTTATGTCCGGTCGCATACCTGCGAACATATGAACTTCGCACCTCTTCACTACGGAACCCATCGAAACACGAACTATTCGTTTCCTTCCCGGAAACCGCATCTGCCAGTGTCTACACCTACCCTGGCTCATTGGGTCAAACGGATCATGTCTTCGGCTGGTATTAATACCTCACTATTTTCGCCTCACTCTAAGGTCTCCTCGATTGGTTGCCGCCTAGAGGACATTTTAAAAAGCGGCCGACTGGTCTTCTGAGTCGACCTTCCATGACATTTATTTTAGGCCTATTCACCACTTTGCGGGGACTGTAGTTTCACAGCTTTAAACTAGCTTATTAGGAGCCTCTGTGTCTTATAAAATGTACAGATTTTACTATTAACATGATGTAAAGTCATGATTTTATTAATGACATGGAGGCAAGTATTATCCCTCCCTCCCACCTGAGGCTTGAGTGGATATGGGTAAGTTGACTTCACGGTAAGTCTTAGAGTATAGGGTCATCCAATTTCAAAGTGTCTAGAGTTCAGTTTAGACTACTCATAATTATTAACGTACATTTATACTTGATGACAGATAGTATGATTTATGCATACATCCAGTTTTATACTCCGATATTACCATATTTCTCCGCTCTCTTCCAGCTTGATTTGACATTGCACCTTTACTGACATGCTCTTCTTGTTGGGGTTTTCCTGTTCTGTGCCACGATAGTCCTTGTTCAGGATCGCAAGAAAGAGGAAATAGATTACGCATCATCGCCTATTATGCTGGAGAGTGGAATCTGATTGGCTGTTTCTGTCGCTAGGAAGATATACCTCTAATGCTATTTATTGTTATCATACCGTTTATATGTTATATTATTTTATTTGCTGCGGAGGGAAATAAAGAAAGCGTGCAGCATAATACTCGCCTCCGTGTCGTTAATAAAATCATGACTTTACGTCATGTTAATAGTAAAATCTGTTAATTGCCCAGACATCTCTCAAATTTGTACACTACATGTATGGTGGCCTAGTCTGTGAGGCACCATTGGATTATCCCTTTGTTGGAAATTACACTAGATAAATACATTTTACTTTGCAGAGGCTGTTGTCTCCATTGCTCAAAGTACATGTTCTAAATGGCAGCTGGCAATACCCTTTATTGTATAGACACTTGGCCTTACCAGCAAAGTGGCTGCATCTTTGTAGGTCTTATTTAGATCCATGATATCTTAGGATGCAGTTCTGATGGCTCTACCGCATAATTTTAATTCACTCATTTAATAGAAGTTATCACATCCGTTTAGAGTTTATTCTGTCATTAGTGAAGACAGTTAGGTGCTCTCAAAGGCACATGGGTTACTTGTATCAATTATACTTATTTGGTACTTGTTATTATTACTACTTATTAGATACTTGCACTTCGAGGTAGCAGAAAATATCTTCCCTACTGTTATCATTCTACTCCCTGAGATCTTCAACTTTTGATAGAAAGTTTAGCCCACTCTCATTTTCTCTGTAAGCTATTTTTAGTGAATATTTATCACAAGTTATCTTGCATGCAGACATGTATGCAGGAAATATATGGAAAAATGGTGTGTGAGCATATTTACACAGAATAACCCATAGTGATGAGATTCCAATTCCCTATGATTCACCTTACTAGCCACTTCGCTCATATGATAGAAATGTGACCGTAGATTATATCCGAGCATACCTCCTAGTGACCAATACAGGGATTTACTACATATATCACAAGCCTGCTGAAGATACACTACAAGCACCATTTACACGAGCACTTAAAGGATCACTATAGGTTCAGGAACGCAAACATGTATTCCTGACCATATAGTGCTAAAACCACCATCTAGCCCCCCTGGGCCCCTAATGCCTCCATAAATATAGCAACATCTTACTGTATTCAAGCTAGAAGCTGTAGATCTGCATGCTGTTTGCCTCAAAAAACAAAACAAAAACAAAAAACAAGCACTCTGCCGACATCATCAGAAGTGGTAGCCTGATCCAATCACAGTGCTTCCCCATAGGATTGGCTGAGACTGACAAAGATCCAGATCAGGGGCAGGGCAGAGCCAGCATGATTCAAACACAGCCCTGGCCAATAAGCATGATGCTTAGGTGGCCCTTGCAATCCTCCATCCGATAAGTAATCACTACCAGGAGCAAAAAATAAATAAAAGATATCTCACCAGGCAAAATCAATTCTTACAGGCAGTGGAGGTTTACTTGCTATGTACGAATTTCTAATTGCCAATATCCCTGCAATAAAATAATATGTTTTAAGGGGCTACCCTACGGCCATTGTAGTTGTTTAAAGTGGTCATAGTGCTTGGAATCTGTATGTGCAGTGTTTCAGTTATACAGAGATAGAGTAGCTTGTTTTCTGACATAACTACAGAACAAAGACATTACCTACCCTGGATTGAGAGTTTGCAGCTGGCTAAAGTTAATTCTGTGCATATCAGGCATATGTCATAGTGACAGATAACCAATGGCTGCACTTCAAAATCACTCTAATTGCGTGAAGCTCAAACGTAATCTGCCCTCTTTGCTATTATATCTTTAGTTTCTCTGCCAAGGCATAGAAAGTGGTAAAAGAGTGTGAAGGAGTAAAAGTAAAGGTGGGAGTTCTACAAAAATGTGTTGCTTATGATTTATTTAAAGCACCTTGCTTTCTCCAGTTCAGTTAAGTTACATATGTGTTTAAAACCCTATGAATCACTGTTCAGTTTATAAGTGTTTTGTTTTATTTTATCAGCTAAACTATCACACAATACTGAAGAGTCCAGATTTGCTACAGTAAATCAGATTTTGTCGACACCAGACTGGATTATTGCATATAGTTCCTTGTGAAATAATAAAGTAAAGACACACAAAATGTCAACAGTGAATGTTAAGCAAGAACAATGTAAAGAACAGTAAATCTGACAAAGGAAGATTCTAACAAAATAAGTGAAAACAAGGAAATATTCCTTTGGCATTCAGCTCGGGGTGTTTGTTTGAATTCGGGTTGACTCAGCATTTCCTTTCCTGTGATTTGAATGAAGGCTCAAACTTTCACTCACCCATCCCTTGTTTAAAAACCACAGGGAGACGAGGAAATTTAAAGGAGGAAGAAAAACAACAACCAAAAACACAAAGGTTGAGGATTATTAAAATAAATATTAGAAATGCATACTTCATCACAACTGTAACTCAAATATTGATGCCAGTGGTGATAACATTGCTGAATGGGTTTCATACAGATATATAAAAACAATCAGATTACAAGCAGGACAAATCCCAAGAGACAGGTAGAGATGGCTCCAGAAATCTCACTGCACATGCCAAATGTTACATTGTTTTGGTTTGCATCAAAATTATGGGCACAAAGTATCCCTGCAGCTACATGTGAGCAAAACACAGGAAACATAATTATTCTCCAAATTTCAAAACAGTTTAACAATAAATTCAGTAAACAGGACTGCAAGTCCCATTCATTCTCAATTAATGGACTAATTCTCAATTTAATGTAGATCAGTCACCGCTCTGGATATGACAGTTGCTCATTCCCTTGCCCCTGAACACATTATTCATGTTTCAGTTTACTGGGGTGAACAGAGCAGTGGAGGTAAGAAAGAAAGGGAAAAAAACAAAAAAAACAAAAAAAAAAATTATCTCTGCTGCACTTGCATGTTCAGCAGGACTTTGTCAACCCCCACAGAAAAATGCTATATGCAATGTAGCGGTCTTAATTAACATACCCTTCCCAAGCAGCCTAAAGGGGCATTTCTACTGAAAAACTGCAACTAGAGAGAATTAAAAAAAAAAAAAAATAGCAAATCCCAGGGTTGTGCATAAATCTTACAAGTGATAGTTCTGTTTTAAAGGACCACTATAGGCACCCAGACCACTTCAGCTTAATGAAATGGTCTGGGTGCCTGGTCCAGCTAGGATTAACCCCTTTTTTTTTTTTTTAAATAAACATAGCAGTTTCAGAGAAACTGCTATGTTTACACTGAGGGTTAATCCAGCCTCTAAAGCCTCTAGTGGCTGTCTCATTGACAGACGTTAGAGGCGCTTGCGTGCTTCTCACTGTGAAAATCACAGTGAGAAGACGCCAGCGTCCATAGGAAAGCATTCTGAATGTATACACATACATACATACACACACACACACGCCAATAATGCTTTCTACACAGCCAGCTGCTGGGCATGTTGTAGGTTTGGAGATCACATTACTGATCCAGAGATGGAGATGGAGGGTTAGAAGTAGTAGGTAGGACAGATATATTGGAGGAAGAAAAAGACTCCTCATGTGATGGAGATGGTCACGTGTGTTTGTTAATTAAATCTCAATGTTTGGGTTTATTTGCAGTGTGGGTACTTTAAGATAAATAAGTTGGTTTCATGTTGCAGTTTGTGCTAAAAAAAATGTCTGCCATCACTACCTAGAGTCTATAGGTTCTAGACAAAACAAAACTTTCCTGCCAATGAAGAGTTAAACGGACACGCTGTTACTGTGCAACTTATAATCAGTAATATTACATATAATGTAACGATCTGTAATAGATTAAATTAGCTAAATCTAAGTTTTTTATATTTTCCTACTCTGCAATCTCTTTCCTTTTTATTTTAATTACATTTTTTTCTCTCAAGTGGCTTTGTAATAATGCACAAGGTTTATTATTTTTTTTATATAAAATTGGTATTTTAAAAACCACAGGGTGTTTATTTTAAACTCAGTGTCATTAACTTGCTGTAATTAACAGTAAGTGTGCAAAAAGAACATTGCAATAAAAGTTAAGTGGTCATAATCCATAAAGAAATTGCAGAAACAATCTAAAAGACTTAATTACGAACAAAAGGAAAAAAACGCTGAAAAGAGAGCAGAAACTGAGGATAAATTGCCACTTAATGCAAATGCTTAATGAAATCATTTTGATATGACAAGTTGACAACACTGCTTGTAGTAAGGAGCTTAAATAGAGGTTTGGCAATGAAAATACAAAATTTAGAGAAAGAGAAAGAAAAAAGTCCAGTTTTTGAAAATCTAATTTTACACACTGTGACGAGAGCAATCTCGCCACATTGCATTGGAGAAGCCTGGTTGCTCGCCTGCTGCTTTTGGACTATGGCCCCCATGTTAAAAGACTTTGTTTCGCCTGCAGAAAAGCTTTATTCGTGCTTTTCTGCCTGGTGTGCGGTAGATTCAATCTACCGAACAACCGCACGAATGACTGGACCACCTGGGAGCTGTAGTGTGCCGGCAATTAGCCTCCCTGAAGCTGCGGTTAACCGCAGCTTAATTGACGAATGCTGGGTGGCCGCCATTCGTATCCCGAACACAAGGTCGTGGCCATTTTAAACATGCGAATGTACAGCGGTGTTCGACGCTTAATTCATGGAACTGAAATCGGACACAGTTTTGCGCGAACACCGCTAAAGCCGCCGACCTCCCTTCTTGGTCGGTGAAAGTGCACAAACGGCCCGGCGTTCGGTAGTTTTACTGGAATGTGTTATACCCCAGAAAGGAATCCCATGGAGCCCATTCGCATGAAACTGACTGTGTAAAGACTTTAGCTCCATGGCGATTAAACTGTATTCGTGTGGTCTGAGCGCCATTCGCTTAATAATGTGCGCTCAGACCTGAGCTATCTGGGGACATGTTAAATGTATAAGTTTATTGTAATGTGTCTTACCTAGTGTATTTTAACAGTAATTCGTGTTTTAGTATCCCCACGTGCATAATGGCGATTTGCCTTTGTCTTGGGAGATAATTGAATTACTTCTCAATTATCTCCAAGGCAGAGGGGAGGAAGCCAGGATGCATTGTGGGAATATACTGTGACTGTGTGTCCTATTTGTCAACTTGTCTGTCTTTTGTCACAGTCTCCCATTTGGTCCCCTATGGGAGTGTCCACCAGGTGGGAGACCTGCATAAATACTGGGCAGGTAGCCCTCATTAAACAGACCACTGCTTGACCCACAACACGGAGCCTTGTCTCGTCTTTGGGGGATTTACTGAATGCTGATAGAGACTGATTGCTAGGAGTGTAAGCCGCTTGGATGCTTTTCCTATTCGTCTGCTAGCAGTGATTCGTATGGTTCCTGTTCGTGTGTTTGGAGTGCTATATTGGATGCTGTTCGGGAGTTTGGAGCATTCACTTATTGGCGGTTCGTGTGTTTGGTGTTCTACAATAGCTGTGCCTGCATCTCTGGAAAGGGGGACGATCGCCTAAACGTTTTTTACCCCTTGTGTGCAAAACGGTCCGTTACACACACACAATGCCCTGTTTTTGTGTTTTTTAATAACATACATTTATTTAGTAAATACCTGCATAATACTATACTTAAAGACCATAGAGCAGTGGGAATATAGATATTAATGCAAATACTATTTTAATGAAATGAAAACTATGTTAGGCAACTATACTACTAATTTCCCCAATAGATGAACATACATCTATTTTTCCAAGTGACTATGCACACACCATAATCACTGCATAAGCTATGCTCCCCGGCCCCTGATTATACAAAACCTTATATCGTCTGTGCATTTCTTTAGAACACACTCCAATATTTCTCCAAGTGATATGGCATGGATACTTATATTAACTGCCTTTGTGACAGGAAGTACAAATTACTATAGCAATGGTCAATAACATAAGCTAAGTCCTGCCTAGATATTGCCCTATTGTGCCATAGGTTCACTGACATAAGTGTTGTTGATGAAAGCATAAACTGCAAGTTCTGCTCATTCAAGGTGAGCATGTACAACAAATTCTAAGTAACTACAAGTTATCTCATATCTTCTGTGTAACAGCCTGTAGGGCAGACATAAATATGCAAGACCGCGAGCAATTTCAATCTTGCTGAAACAGCAATACAGATATTCAGTAAGTTAACAGAAGTTATCAAGTTAATAAATCTATAAACCAGCTACTATGGGTATATATATATTAAAAGGAACATTCAAAGCCATATTGCCGATAAAGCCTGCTGTAGTTGTTATGATGCCAAGACCACACTGGTACTCTCCCACAGTAAGATGTCAAAAAATGTTAAGGTTTGACAACTTAACCGGGTACCCGAGGTGCCCATACCAACCACATCCAGTATTCTCTAGCAAGAGAAACTAGGTGTCTCTGTAGAGTAAAGCGTAACCAATATAGGTCCTCAATAAAGCAAGATGGTTTCTCCTGCTGAAAAAGAGCAGCCATTGGCATCTCGCGAAGCCCAGGTAGCTGTTAAACTATGCTAAAACTGTTTTCTTCTTAATTTAGATCATATTGTGGGTTGTCAAGGCACAGCCAAAGCATAAAATGCAAATTAGTTTAATTCCCCTGATGCCATGATGGTACATTTATGTACAAGTCACAGCTTACTGACTGGGAACATGAGCCATGATTTGAGGGCTGCCAGTTCCATTGAACATTCCATGGGTGACTCTTTCCCTTTTGAATCTTCACCTCACTTTCCAGAACATGGCACATTGACAAATATCACCACTACTGTTTCTATTCTACTCTGCTCTATAATCAGACAGCCAGTATAAAAGAACAGACCTTGTGTTAATTAACAGGGAGTCAAGATGAAGGCACCCAGTATTAGGATAAAGAGGTGTGGATTTCTAGGTTTCATTTTATATTTCACACCCCACAAATACATATATAACCCTAGTATGTGATAGTACCCCTTTAAGTCGTGTGTCAATATAAAATAAGTGAGGTTACACTTTAAATATGTGTGAAAAACCTCACTATTAGCCGTCAACTCGCTGTTTAGTGGGTAAACCCCTGGGCATGTCACTCAGTAGATTCCCCTTAAAGTGAAATTTAGATTCTATCCCAGGGGAATATGGAATATTTATCCAGATTAAGCACTAGCCCCAGTGACATTAAGCAGCTATATCAGATAGCAGCTCTCCGAGGGGCTATTGCCTTATGCTACCAGGCATGATGACTTATGCTAGAAGTCCTTTGACAATATGACTTTGCAATCTTATCACAGCTAAAAAACACATTACAGCATAAAGCTCCATATTCCATATGTTCGAAAATTATAGCAAAGCAAGCTGAAATTTAGAAACCTGAAAGACAACACAGAATAAACACACAGCAATTAAATATATTATAATTCTATATAAATATGAATGTGATTTATCTGATAATACAGTATTTGTAATTGATGCTAATGTACATATAAAACCAGTCCCCTTGATCTGCAAAGCAAACATTACACTATTTCAATTTGAAAAACATAAAACTGATCAATCTATCCAAACACAAAAGCCCTGTGTGAAACTCTATAAACAACCTTCAGGAGGGGATTGATGGTTGATCTATTTAATTGTTTCTCCAAAAGTGGATAAATATTCACCATATCTTGTACAAATCCTCCCTCTAGAATGGGATCATTGTTTGTAATACAGGGAGCTAATATGAGGACAGGATCACGCTCCTGCATGTAGCTTAAATACCCTGACAAGAAAGAACAAGATCTATAAGCCGAGAACTTAAGCAATAAATAGCGACACAAATTGTTAAGATAAATTCTTGTTTCTCAACAACCATAAATGACAAAAACTGACATAAATGGATGTTAGAACATAATCCCGTTTAATTGGAAATGTGAGTTGGTGCAGGGGTGTGAAAAAAGGAACTGGACTATTACTACGATTTTTTTTACTTGGGAGTGGCTGGACTATCCCAGCCAATCAATGACTCGCAATTCACTTGAATTGGAGTATTAGTAAACAATTGCATATTGTTTATTCTTTCATTTTTTGTTTTGGCTCCACGTAAAAAAAAAAACCTAAAAAAAAAACCAAAACAAACAAAAAAAACTTTTTCAGCTACATGCTTGTACCGAAGGTGCCAGGAGTGTCCCTTTACCTTAAAAGGGACACTAAGATACTTTATAACCTCTTCTCATTGCATAAGTTGCAAGGAGGCCCTGTGTCACAGTGTCCCTAAACACAGTTTATAAAAAAAAAAAAATGATTTGCAAATATTAGTAGAGCTATAAGCCTGCCCTTTCAGTGTCCGACAACAAAGGATAAATTTAGCTTCTTCCTTTTCTATCCGAATTGCCATGACACTGTTTTTTTAGATATACTGTTTGCGTTTTATGAGTTATGTCATTGCTCCATTTAACATCTCACATATCTGCATAAATTATTTAAAATGTACTCAGCCCTAACATTTTACTGTCTAGTGTTGGAATATACAATCATGTATTTTCAAGCAGCACACTGAAATGCACGGTTATCAATAAGTTATCACCAGCATCCTTATATGTTATTAAAGCATTTTTTTTCATTGTACTAAGGACTAGATTAAATAATGGGAGACAAAACTCTCGTTTAAATAGCAAGTTGTGGACATATGTAAATAGGAGCTGTTTTTCAGTTAACAGAATTAAGTTTGTCTCTTATAATAAAATTCAGCCCGTTAACGGGAAAAAAAATATCTTGGCATTATGAATTAGTCATCTAAGTTCTTAATTAAAAATCAAAGAAAGATCTAGTCAACATGGATAAGCAACATTTAACCATTTATTCACCATTGCGGGCTTAACAGAGGTCCATCCCCCCAACACAATCAATAACAAAAAATGTAAACAGCTATTTGGGCAGTAGAGTGCTGAAGATTATTACAAGTGCCTGGCCTTCAAGGGTTAATTACTAAAACTTTCAGATGCAACATGGCAAAAACTGTCAACATAAACATACTATAAGCACCAACATATGGATCATAAGCTATTTAGCACCAGCAATTACTAGCAGCCCAGTAATGACAAAGCTAAGTATGCACAGACATTTTACTGCACTGAATTTTTGTAATTTTTTTTTATTTACACACAGAAAATATCTGAATAATGTGTCACATTTTTATTGCTGCACTGTAATGATGATCAAATGGATAAGGATTGAGAAACAATGGATAGGGATTAAACAATGGATAGGGATTAATTTAAAGCATGAAAAAGGCAGCCTCCTTGTAAAAAATAAAGCATGCATTTTGAGCAATCCCTATAGAAAGCAGAGGCAAATAATAATAATAATAATGATGATGATGATTGAGCATGGTTTTAAACTTACCAAATACTGTGAGAGCCATAGCTAGTCCTCTGGGTTTATATGTAACTGCAGCTGTATATAGAAACCCTTGCCTCCCAGGATCACTGCATTGATTTGCCTCAAATTGGGATGAGAATCACTGCAAAGATAAAAGTTAAAGCAGGAGATCAGCAGCTCATAAATCATTCCCAGGTGACAGATCCACTACCAGGGGGGGAGTGAGGGGAGGAGATCCCTCTGTATGGAGGTAAAACAAAACAAAAATAAAAAGGAGGTGGAGAAATGTCTTGGTTTTCATAGAGCAAAGAGAATGTGATCTGCAGGAAGGGAAGAAAAGAGAAAAAAAAAATAATAATAATAATATGCAGGGATTTCGCCAGCAGGGAGAAACTCACTTACTGAATGGGACTAGATGGTAATCATGCTGCATCTTTCTGGCTCCTGGCCGCCATCTTGCTTCACCCCACCCCACGTGACCAGCTTCACCTCCTCAGACTGAGGCGACTGTCTGACTGGCGGCTGCCTGGGTTGTCCTGGCAACAGGAAATCCTTACAGCCTCCTGTCCCTTATCCAGTGTCAGGGACTGAGTCTGTTTAGCTTCAAAGATGACATACACACACACGCACACAAAAAAAAGAAAGGATATTTCACTTTCATAATATATTTATATAAATTTGTCTTAAATCATACAAGTTCAGATGAGAACAATGACCTCCTCCCCCCTGTCCACCCATTGATTACAGTTTGGCACAAATGGATGTTAAGAGGAAGAATCTGTCAGATATAAATAAAGAGAGGCTAATTACTTGTCATGCTAACATAATAAAAGTATTACTGAATAAAACATACATAACAAATTGGAGCTGTTGTGGCAATGCTTTCTCATGATTATGGTTGGGTGTTTTTTTATTTTTTATTTAATTGTTTAATATTATATTGTTTTTATTTGCATTTTATTCTCCATTTTTAAATAATAAAAATAATATTTTTTTTATAGTCTAACTTTCAATGTAATCTTAGCAATTAGTAAACTCCTGAGTGTGCTGGAGATTGCAAAATCCTGTGCCATCACTGTAAAGTGTCTAAATATCAGTCTACATAGAATGTATTTGTATATATGTCTATATATTACATTTTTTTTTTTAAAAAGGACTGATTTTAATTTAATTTTTTTTTTTTAAAGCTTTGTAAGCAAAATATTTTCCCCTATTATTATACTTAGTTAATTGCTGCAATTAAAATTAAGTTAATATCCCTGTAATAATAGATATGTTAGCATATTTTCTTTGTAAATTCATGCTGTGGGGGTTGCCAATTTCATTGAATGCTTTTTTCGTGTGTTTTTGAATTTTTTTCTAAACTTCTGCACTCCACTTCTTAGTCTGTCCCGGAGTAGACATCCCATCTGCTACCAAGATTGTAATCTTGCCCACTTCAAGATGTGCATTATGTTGTTTTCCGATTCTAAGCCATATTGTGCAGATTTTGTACTGATCTTTAATTTACTGGGGGGAAAAAAATAATCTCCTATCAGCTCCCTTTTGCAGCCAACTGTTTTTGTGTCCATTTGTTTTCTACCATTTAAAATAAAACTACTCCGCATTTAAACCAAGACATTAAAGAATGGGCAAAATAAACATTTAATTTAATTTTCTCATTATGTATCCTCACACATTTTATAGGCATCGCTATGAGGAGATGCTTATTGGCGCAGCATGGCGTTTTTCCTATTGGAAAGTTTTGGATTGGCTGAGATAATCAATTGTGATGATCTCAGCCAAAAAGGCAGGAACAGGGTGGAGCCAGATGCTAAGAGATCTGTGGGGCACTAGAAATAAGGAGAGTAAAGACTCTTTTTACTCCTCTAACGGGGGGCCGGAAACCTAAACTATATTTTTACAGCTATGGTGTCAGGAATACTCGTAGTGGCAGAGATGTCTCCTATGCATTGATTTTGCTATTAGTTTGGCCCACCTCTACCAGTGAAGAATTGAAATAAAATGCCTATGTTTACATAGTTTTGTGATTTTTAAAGTACACTACAAGGCCAAAAATACAACACACTATAGTAGATATACCCCCCAAAAAACATTCATGCATTAAATTATGCATTATTTTAAGGTATATCTAAAAACAGCTTTCCAAATAAGTCTGGTAAGATCTGTGAGTAACTTAATTAAACCAGAGGATGATGTCATTAGCCTGGGCTGAACTAATTAACTGAGATCAGCTCAGACTTGGTGGCTCTGGGGAGGGAACATTTTCTATGGTTCTATTGTTTTATTAATCACCCCTGCGGAGGTAATATACATTCTACCTGGTAAATACATGTGTGAGTTAGTTAAAGTACACTTTGTTTTTACCCTTCATTAAGTCTTAACTGATGTTTGGGTAGCTAATATGAACATATATATATTTTTATTTACATTTACAAGGTATTTGGGTGAGAGAATGAGTGACTGTCGCTATCAGAGAAATAACAGAATCTCTTTAAACTTAATAAAGATGCAAGAAATCCAAGTAAAAACCAGACAAATTGTACAGCAGCAAAACAGAAGACATGCTTAGCAAACAAGGAATAGCCTGTATAAAATGAAACAAAAGGCAGCATTGTTTTACTATGAGCCAAAAAAATTTACTAATCTGCTCACACCTACCACTAATGCTTGAACAATGAACAGTTATCTGTACATAAAATGACAGGTGACATAGATTTTGGGTCAACTAGTGGCACGCCTATAAGGGACCATGGGGAGGCTACATCTTCAGCTCACTGAAGTGGTCTGAGTGCTGTGTCCCTTTTGCACTTAGTGCTGCAATGTAAAACATTGCAGTTCCACAGAACTACAATGTTGGCATTGCAGCTATAAGTCTGCCTTCAGTGGCTGTCTACCAGATAGCCACTAGATGGCTTCCGGAATCCAAACAGACCTTTGGTCTGTTATCTGACACTGGACATCCTCCCTCTCTGCAAGAGGACATCCAGCGTCAGATTTTTCCCCATCGGAAAGCATTGCGCATTTGGTCTCTCCGCCGGCTGGCGTTGATGGGGAGAAGCATGGGCAGAGCCTGACCCAGTGCTGAGGGACATCGGCGCTGTATTCAGGTTAGTGACTTAAGGGGTTTTAACCTCTTCAGCGCCGCGGGAGTGGGGGTGGGTACGAGGGAGGGGAGCACTTTACAAATCTATAGTGCCAGGAAAACGGCTTTGTTTCACTGGCTCTATAGGATCCATTTCATGAAGCAGTTTTGATGTATAGATCATGCTCCTGCAGCGTCACTGCTTAATTCTCTGCCATTTAAGAGTTAAATCACTTTGTTTATGCAGCCCTAGTCACACCTCCCTGCATGTGACTTGCACAGCCTTCCTAAACACTTCCTGTAAAGAGTCCTCTAATGTTTACACTTCCTTTTTTGCAAATACTGTTTAATATAGAATTTCTTATCTCCTGCACTGTTAATAGCTTGCTAGACCCTGCAGGAGTCTCCTGGATGTAATCAAAGTTCAATTTATAGAGAAGGAAATAAAAACTTTTAAAGTAAGTTACATCTGATTTTCATGCAGGCAGTGTGAGTCACAGCCAAGGGAGGTGTGACTAGGGCTGCATAAACAGAAACAAAGTTATTAAACTCCTAAATGGCAACACATTGAGCAGTGAGACTTCAGAAGCATGATCTATACCAGTAGTTCCCGAACTTTTTAGGTTGAAGGCGCCCTTAATATTTCAGTATTTTTCCAAGGCACCCCAAGTCAAAATTTCTAGATTGTATACAGGGGTCAAGTCCTGGGGAAAAAATGTGGGAACTCACCCAAGATCCCCTCTCCCCCCAAAAAAACCCCCCAAAAGACTTGTATACATATATAAACGCGTGCACACACACACTCAGACACACATACACTCACAGACGCACACACATACTCAGACACTCACACAGTGGTGTATTTTAATTTTGTGCTGCCCTAGGCATGACTATACCTAATCTAAATTTACCACCCCTTCCTGTCAAGGGTGCACCGCTTCCTGATTAAGAACCCACCCCTTCCTCTTTAGACTCCACCTTTTCCTGTTCCTGTTAAAGAAATACTATAGTGCCAGGAAAACAAAACTGTTTCCTGGCACTATAATTCCCTATAGTGCCCCCTTCCTTGTTTCCTCCCCCCCCCCACACTCGACACTGGGTATTTAGCAGATGCTGGATGTCCTCATGCACAGGGTGAGGACGTCCAGCATCAGTTAGGCGACTTTTGGTCACCTAACCACCCGAAAATCCATCTAGTGGCTGTCTGGTAGACAGCCACCAGAGGTGGAGTTACCCCTCAAGGTAATTATTGCAGTTTCCGAGAAACTGCAATAATTACACTTGCAGGTTTAAGGAGACTGGGACACTGCACCCAGACCACTTCAACGAGCTGAAGTTGTCTGGGTGCCTATAGTGTCCCTTTAAGTACACTCTCTGACAGACACACACTGGCAGATACATACTGACAGTAACACACACACTCAGTGAAAAACACACAGACATCACTGATTTGACACACACACACATTCACTCCCGGCATCAACAAACAGCGCGCGAGGGAGCAGAGCAGAGAGGACACAGCTCCCTCGCCGCGTCTGCCAGGGAGACAGCCACCTTCTGGGGGGGGTCCATCAGGTGAACCCCACATGACAGGGGGAACACAGGGCATTTGGGGGCGGCATTTTGTGCCGCCCCCTGGTTAGTGCCTGCAGGGGGAAAGGCGTTCCTGCTGTGAAAAAAGTGCAAGAACGCCGTTCCCACGCGTTCCTGCAGGACTCAAACCCTGGTTGTATATCTGTACAGCGTTGGTGTTTGAAGGGATGCTTGTATACATTTATTGTGTTTTAAGACAGGGGTGTGTTTGTATGTAATGTTTACGTTTGATTACAAGGGTGTGTCTGAATGTAATGTTCACTTTTAAATGTGGATGTACATTTGTGTGAAGTATTTGTGTTTGAGTGAAGGGGTGTGTTTGTATTGATTTTTTTTTAATGCAGGGGTGAGATTGTATGTAATATTTGGGTTAGATTGCAGGAGTGTGCTTGTATGTTGTGCTGGTGTTTCACTGATTGGATGTATGCACATACACTACTACCACATAAATACATACAGTTGCAAGAAGAAGTATGTGAACCCTTTGGAATGATATGGATTTCTGCACAAATTGGTCATAAAATGTGATCTGATCATCTTCTAAGTCACAACAATAGACGTGATTGCTTAAACTAATAACACACAAAGAATGAAATGTTGCCATGTTTTTATTGAACACACCATGTAAACATTCACAGTGCAGGTGGAAAAAGTATGTGAACCCCTAGACTAATGACATCTCCAAGAGCTAATTGGAGTGAGATGTCAGCCAACTGGAGTCCAATCAATGAGATGAGATTGGAGGTGTTGGTTACAGCTGCCCTGCCCTATAAAAAACACACACCAGTTCTGGGTTTGCTTTTCACAAGAAGCATTGCCTGATGTG